CTTGGCTCGAGGTTCATGAATTAATTAGGGCATCTTTCGGAAACTTCACAGATGTTACATTATGTTGTGCCCCCATTGTGGGGTTCTCTCTGACTTTTTGGCGGGAAGGGAATTCCTCAGTTTTTACACAGTGGGTATCACATCACAGTGTGATGTTTTCATTTCAAGAGCTGTGGTGGCACAGTGGTTAGAACGCAGTATTGCAGGCTAATTCTGCCAACTGTCAGCAGTTCGATTCTCACCGGCTCATGGTGGACTCAGCCTTCCATCCTTCCAAAGTCGGTAAAATGAGGCAATATTGTTGGAGGTAATATGCTGACTCGGTATACTGCTTAGGGAGGGTAAAGCAGTGTAAAGCACTGTGAAGCAGTATATAAGTAAGTGCTATTGATATTTACGTTGACTGCAAGGAGACACCACAGTAGAACTTGCATCCCATTGGAACTCATCATTTGTCAAGCAGTCAGTTAAGTCTTTAGAGTGGGTTTGATATTTTTGTCCACCTAGCGAGTGCTTTCCAAGAACCTAGGATAGGCAGATGTTGATGTTTGATGGTGTTAAAAGATAATCATTGCAGGATGTAAGCTGTTCCAAGGAGAACTGCCTTTTGCTATTAACCGATGGTGATTTTGTGAATGCCGAGGATGTTATGATTTGTTCTTATAATTAATTATTATTATTATTGGTTTTTATGTTGGTTTATAGTCTGTTTTTGATGTTTTTCTTATTAGCGGTGCTGTGGGTTTTTTTTGCTGGTGTTTTTGTGCATTTGTTAAAACTTGCAATGAAGTAAATAAGGTTAAATACACTTTTTATCAGGCTCGCCTGATTTACCAGTTGCGTCCCTTTCTGGATTGGGACTCCTTACACACAGTCACTCATGCCCTTGTCACTTCCCATCTGGACTATTGTAACACTCTCTACATGGGGCTCCCCTTGAAGAGCACCCGGAGGCTCCAACTGGTCCAGAATGCGGCCGCGTGGGTAATTATGGGAGCAACCCGACGCTCCCATGTAACACCGCTCCTGCGCGAGCTGCACTGGCTCCTGGTGGTCTTCCGGGTGCGATTCAAGGTGTTGGTTGCCATCTTTAAAGCGCTCCATGGCATGGGCCCTGGGTATCTACGAGACCGCCTTCTGCCACCGATAGCCTCCCATCGACCGGTACGCTCCCACAGAGAGGGGCTCCTCCGGCTGCCGTCAGCTAGACAATGCCGGCTGACGACCCCCACGGGGAGAGCATTCTCTGTGGGGGCCCCTACCCTCTGGAATGAGCTGCTCCCAGAGATTCGTAGGATTACCGACCTGCGTACCTTTCGCCGTGCCCTAAAAACATTACTATTCCAACAAGCAGGGCTGGCCTAAATAATAATAATATTTTTACTATTTTAATGGGTTATTTTATTAGAATTTTCGGCCAATTGATTTAATTGTTTTAACTTGTTTTTAATTTTTCTATTGTCATGGTTTTATTTCTGGCTGTACACCGCCCTGAGTCCTTCGGGAGAAGGGCGGTATAGAAATTTAATAAAATAAAATAAAAATAAATAAATTTTAACAGAGAGGAATAATACCGGTAATAATAAAAATAATTTATTAAACTTCTAGGTCACCCAACTCTAAACAACTTTAAACAAAGAAATTACAATAGAATCAATAAACGTAACAAATAAAGATAAAATAATGCCTCTTTTGTCGCCCATGATTGGATAGATTCCTGGTGAAAATGTGGCTAAAATACATTGATAAGATCTGATAAGTTTCTCTTGTCATAGGGGAAATGAAAAAAAGAATATTTCAGAGATAAAGTTTCCATTTTATAATGTTTACATACTTTGTCAGTGACCTTTCCTAACCTCTGGCATATCTCTGGAATGTTTTCAGAGAACTTTGGTTATTTCCTGGTTAATTTTTTACGTCACTCTTTTCCTGTTTATCTCTTATAACAAAGAATTGTACCTAATAGATTTATAATTAGATTTGCAATTGACCCTGGAGGTGAAAGAAATAGACTGTCAGGCTTTCCCCAGCTTGGGCATTTAGGAAAGAAAGACCCCTCGACTCCATATGTAGTGAAAGGCACACTTTTACTAAAGCCAAGTGGTTACAACATAAGCAAAGCTGGATCTGAATATTCCCGCTTAAAACCTGCCTTTTATTTATTTATTTATTTATTTATTTATTTATTTATCTATTTATTTATTTATTTCTTAAATTTATATACCGCCCTTCTCCCGGAGGACTCAGGGCGGTGTACAGCCAAAGTAAAAAATATAGATACAAACATTAAAAACAATTTTAAAAAGATATATATATATATACATTTGGCCCCATAATTAAAAGAACAATAACAAACCTATTAAAAACATTTTAAAAAGTGTTAAGCCAGCCCGGCTTGCTGAAAAAGAAAGGTCTTCAGGGCACGGCGGAAGGCACCGAGGTCTTGAATTCTTCGTATCTCTGGGGGCAGTTGATTCCAGAGGGCAGGTGCCCCCACAGAGAAGGCCCTCCCCCTGGGGGCCACCAGTCTACATTGCTTGGCCGATGGCACCCTGAGGAAGCCATGAACTCCCGAGCCACCTCAGACGTTTCACCAACGGATGGCAAGTTGAAATCACCCATGACTAAAAGCCTGGGTGTATCTACTGCCACCGTGGCTATCACGTCGAGTAGCTCAGGTAGGGCTGTTGCCACGCGGCAGCGAGCCAGGTACGTAAGCAACAAGCCTATCTGAACCCCATGACCCCACCTCACAAGGAGGGACTCACATCCGGCTATTTATATGCTGACCCTGTAATCTGATGTGTGTGTGTATGTATTTGCTGATTATTTAAACTAACTATGTATATCAGTGATTGCATCATCTCTTTAAGATGCCATATGTTAAATAAAATAAATGTGTCAAATGCAACTTAAATAAATGGCAGAGCTTCAACCACATTGTCCCTGTCACCAGCTGGATTCTTTTGAGGAGCCTCTGAGGACATCTTTGAATGACCAGATATAACACCTCTGGTTGTCACGCCCAAACTTGGATGGGATCATCTATATTTGTTCCAAGATATTTTCCCTAGTTGGCCTTAGTAGAGGTCCTATAATCAGCCATGGAAAGTAGAACTTCTTGAGCCTGATTCATAAAGTACCAAGCAACCAACTTTGCTTATCTAGTAGATTCATCCGTTAACTGTAACTCGACTTACAGCCACAATTGAGCCCTAAATTTCTCTTGATAGGTGAGACATTTGGTAAGTGAAATTTGCCCCATTTTGCGACCCTTCTTGCCACCGTTGTTAAGCGAATTGCTGCAATTATTAAGTTAGTAGTCCCAAAGGTGCTTTTTCAAGAGGCAACTGGACTTCCTGGTTTTTCTTTGAAGACGTTTCGCTTCTCATCCAAGAAGCTTCTTCAGCCATTTTCTATTCCCCACCATCCATGAATGCAAATGTCCAGCTGTCTGCAAAGAGTATAAAGCCTTCCATTCCCTCGCCATCCAGTCAGAGCTAAAGAAGCTTCTTGGATGAGAAGCGAAATGTCTTCACAGAAAAACCAGAAAGTCCAGTTGCCTCTTGAAAAAAGCAGGGACGACCATGACTTGGATGACTGAGAATCTCCATAGATATTAAGTTAGTAATACGGTTGTTAAGTTAATCTATCTTCCCCATTGACTTTGCGTGTCAGAAGGTCGCAAAACGGACACTGTAACCGTCATAAATGTGAATCACTGCCAAGCATCCGAAGTTTGATCACATGACCATGGGGATGCTGCAACGCAGGGGTGAAATGCTCCCGGATCAGACTGGATCGCCCAATCTGGTAGCGATCTTGGCATTTATGACAATTGCAGTCCCCTTTTGCAACCTTCTGACAAACAAAATCAATGGGAAAGCCAGATTCACTTAACAACCGTGTTACTAACTTACCAACTGCAGTGATTCACTTAACAACTGGGACAAGAAAGATTGTAAATTGGGGCAAAATTCACTTAGCAAATGTTTTGCTTAGCAACAGAAATTTTGGGCTCAACTGTGGTCATAAGTCAAGGACTGCCTGTGCTGAAAAACCTATTCGTCTGAAATTTCCTTCAGATATTTTTGCACAACCACAAAGGCAAGAAATGTCTTTAAGAGAAGGTTATGAAAAATGTACGATAGTTCTTGATTCCAAGCCAAGTTCCACAATCGATACTTACACAATATAAAAAGAAATAACGCACAACTCTGGCTGCAGTCATCCCCTATAGCAGCGGTGTCAAATTTGAGTCGTCACAGCGACGTCATGCGACGTATTGGGACTGTTTTCTCCTTCGCTAAACCGGGCGTGGGTGTGGCCAGTGCGTGATGCATGCAGCCGTTTTTCACACTTAATAACCGTTGCAGCATCCTCATGGCCATGTGATCAAAATTCAGAGGCTTGGCAACTGACTCATAGTTAGGACGGTTGCAGTGTCCTATGGTCACATGATCCCCTTTTGCGAAGTCAATAGGGAAGCCGGATTCACTTAACAACCGAGTTACTAAGCTGTCACAACTGTGGCAAGAAAGGTTGGGAAATGGGGCAAAATTCACTTAACAAATGTCTCGCTTTAGCAACAGAAATTTGGGGTTCGATTGTAAGTTGAGGACTACCTGTATTTAAATTAAACCAGTGGTGAAATCCATTTTTTTTTACTACCGGTTCTGCGGGCGTGGCTTGGTGGGCGTGATGTGGCTTGGTGGGTGTGGCTTGGGCGTGGCAGGGCAAGGATATTGCAAAATCTCCATTCCCGATCCACTCTGGGGCCAGCCAGAGGTGGTATTTGCCGGTTCTCCGAACTACTCAAAATTTCCACTACCGGTTCTCCAGTACCTGTCAGAACCTGCTGGATTTCATCCCTGAATTAAACCCTGCTAATAATGTCTGTATGTGCACCCAGCCCTAAAGATCAGATTTTACGGAACCTCTTCTTTTTGTCATACTTTTAGAGGAAACGTGTTCTCACTCTCGCTTTTTCTTTTCTCTAGGGGAGAAATCTCAGTACGATCCTTCTTTTCATGGTCCTATCCAGAAGAGGTAAGAACACCTCGTGCGACGGAGGGATGACTGGAGTGTCAGATAGTAGATCGAGGCTGCTGGAGTTAAAGACAAAAGAGAAATTTTAGTTACTCAGAAGGAAAGAAGGGAGGTCTGTGAACAAGGACATCCATGGGGAAGTGGGGCACTAGAAAAATTTTAGAGGAGGCAGATAGTTGCAGGAAAGCATGTGGAAGAGATTTACATTTTGCTCGGGATGCTGAGTTTTATTTCTGGGCCTCAGGAATTAGATCTGCTGTCTGAATACACATTTTTGGAACCGTGAATATTTGAGATTCTGAAAAAACACCATTTTCTTTCAAGCAAGCTTCTTGGTTTTCGATGCTGTTTGCTCCCACAAAACTGGACTGGGACAACTCACCGCAGTCAATTTGCCATGGCCAATTCAGTGTGGTCGACTCGCTACAGCCAATTTGCCACAGAACAACTCACCGCGACAATTCAAAAATTCAATTTAATTGTTTAAAATAAGTAAAAAACTGATTTCAATTTTCATCATTCACATGTCATTTTGTCCCTCCTTTGGCATCCTTTCTTTAATGATTCTGTCCCACTATTTCTTCGATATTAGTGTAACTCTTGTCCCATAACGAGTTCTCCCTTTTTGCCATCATGTGCCAAAAGTGGGGGGAGTGTGGTGGGGGGTCGCTCGCGCACATGCCCACACCCATAATTCTATGCACCCCACCCCCCATGCATGTGTGTGCAACCCCCCCGCGCTCCCCCGACTTTTGGCATGTGATGGCAAGGTAGGCCCGTTTTTCGCTCTCCCCAGGCTCCAGAGCCTTTCTAGGAGGCTGGAGAGGGCAAAAATGGCTTTCCCCACTCCCCCAGAGGCCCTCCGGAGGCCGGAAACAGCCTTTTTCCTGACTTCCGGTGGGTCCAAAAGGCCCGAAAATCAGCTGGCCGACGCATGTACGCATGCCAGAGCTGAGCTCGCGTGCCCACTGATATGGCTCTGCATGCCACCTGTGGCACGCGTGCCATAGGTTCGCCATCACGGTTCTAGGGTGAGTTGGCCACAGTGAGTTGGATGCAACAAGTTGGCTGTGGCAAGTTTTTAGAATTTAGAATAACAGAGTTGGAAGGGACCTTGGAAGGTCTTCTAGTCCAACCCCCTTCTTACGCAGGAAACCTTACACCACTTCAGACAAATGGTTATCCAATATCTTCTTAAAAACTTCCAGTGTGGAGCATTTACAGCTTCTGGAGGCAAGTTGTTCCACTGTTTCATTGTTCTAACTGTCAGGAAATTTCTCCTCAGTTCTAAGTTGCTTCTCTCCTTGATTAATTTCCACCCATTGCTTCTTGTCCTGCCTTCAGGTGCTTTGGAGAATAGCTTGGCTCCCTCTTCTTTGTTGACTGTGGTGAATTGACCACCGTGAGTTGTTGTAGAGCCCCACATCTCCCTACTACAAAATGCATGTTTAATGTTTATAATCTGAAAGGGAGTGGAGAGTCACTAAATTTGAATATAATTATGATGAGGGTTGGCAGTTACTTGTTTATCTATTTCATTCCTTTTCCTTTATTACATTCTTCTCTTTCTCTTCTTCCTTTTTCATTTTCTGCACTTTTTCTCTTCTCTTCTCTTTCTCTTCTCTTCTCTTTCTTTAAGTTTAGTTTGAATTAGTTTTTACTATTGTAATCAGATATCACTAATAAAATTATATTCAAAAAATGCAAGTTTAGTGCTTTAACTTCCTGTTGGTGATGCATCAACATTATCCACTGTTGAGTCTACTGCAGTCAGCCTTCCCAACTCTGGACGGGTTGGATTTGAACCCCATAATCCCTTAGTAAGTAAGGCTGGTCCTAGCCCTGTTCTACCAGCACTGAATTTATACTCTGAATTCCAGGGCATGGACAAGGACACTGTAGTTTGAAGTTTAAGGGGACTGGAGGGTACCATGCTGGGAAGTGCCATTTTTTGAATTGGGTGGGGGGGAGAATAGGCTACTTAGAGAAGAGTCTTATGTTCCTCCCACCCATAACCAATGGTAGAGCCCAGCATCCAATGATACCAATAGCACTTAGGCTTATATGCCGCTTCATGGTGCTTTACAGCCCTCTCCGAATGGTTTACAGAGTCAGCATATTGTCTCCCCCCCCCCAAACAATCTGGATCCTCATTTTACCAACCTAGGAAGGATGGAAGGCTGAGTCAACCTTGAGTCGGTCAGGATCGAACTCCAGGTTGATATCTCAGGGGCTGCCACAAAGAAGAGGGAGTCAAGCTATTCTCCAAAGCACCTGAGGGCAGGGCAAGAAGCAAAGGATGGAAACTAATCAAGGAGAGAAGCAACTTAGAACTAAGGAGAAATTTCCTGACAGCTAGAACAATTAACCAGTGGAACAGCTTGCCTCCAGAAGTTGTGAATTCTCCAACACTGGAAGTTTTAAAGAAGAGATTGGGCAACCATTTGTCTGAAATGGTATAGGGCAGGGCTGAAATGTAAAATTTGTTACTACCGGTTCTGTGGGCGTGGCTTGGTGTTTGTGGGGGGGATGAATGTGACTGGGTGGGCGTGGCCAACTTTAAAAAAAAAACTTTTCAAAGCACTTTTTATAATGCTTTGAAAAACCTCTCTGAGGATCAGGCAACTCAGCTGGGATCGTCAGAGACTTTTCAAAGCATTTTTTTTACCACCTCTTTGGCCCAGAGGCTGCAGAAAAAAATGCTTTGAAAAGCCTCTGACAATCCCAGCTGAGCCACGAGATCATCAGAGGCTTTTTTAAAAAACTTTTAAAAGCATTTTTTCGTCGGAAGAGGTTGTAGAAAAAATGCTTTTAAAAGTGTAAAAAAAAAAAGCCTCTGATGATCGTGTGGCTCAGCTGGGCATGTGGGGGGGGGGGCAGGGATTTTTTCTACCGGTTCTCCGAACCACCCGCCGCCATCGCTACTCAGTCCGAACCAGGAGCATTTCACCCCTGGTATAGGATTTCCTGCCTAAGCAGGGGGTTGGACTAGAAGACCTCCAAGGTCCCTTCCAACTCTGTTATTTGATTCTATTCTAAATCAAGTTTGCTTGCAATACTGCAATCTAACCACTGCGCCATCACAGCTCTACCTAGCAATTATGTTCTGGATCCGACTTTGCATAAAGCCTGTGATGTTGTAGGTGAAATAAATGCACTCTGTGCATAGTATTTAAGGACATTTTTTTTCTTCTTTTTCCCCCAATTTTAAGGCTTGATAATGTGTGAACACATCCCTGCTGCACACATCACAGCACCAAGCCAACTTTGGCTGACCTCAGGAAAAAAAACCTTGGCTTGGTTAGTGCTTGAATAAGAAAGTACAAGAAGTCCCATGTGTGTTAGCTGGTTTGAGAAATCATAAAAAAAGCTTTATGGCACGAAGGCACTAGAATTTAAGGCTGACATTTTAGTTTTTCCATTTGATGTAAATACTCATACACATGTGCCTATAAGTTAGTTTGTTGATGACTGACCCTTCACTCTCTCTGTTCCAGGAGCTGTACAGATATTATTTGCTGTGTTATCTTTGGGGTCTTCCTCTTTGGCTACATGATAATAGGGCTTTTGGGTGAGTAAGTTTCTTAACTTAGAGAAGAGAACCGAGGGAGCTGGATCCAAATATATTATTCCGTTGCAAAGGAGCCAGTTTAGTAGACCACATATGAGAAACAAATGTGCACACATAGTGTTATCACCATATAGATGAACAGCGTGATGATTTAGTGGTGAAGACACTTGCCTCCCACTTGGAAGGTTGAGAGTTCAACCCTAGGTAGCGACAAGTGTTTCTTTCTTAGGGTGCAAGGAAAAAATATCTGCTGTGAACTCTGCATGGTGTCAGGAAGGGCATCCAGCCAGTAAATTCTCAGCTCCATCCAGTTGCCCTGACTCTACCCCGAATTAAGGGAATACAAGGGAATTAGTGTTATCTCCATAGATCAAGGGTGGGGAACTATAGCCCTTTTATGACTTGTGGACTTCAACTCCCAGAATTCCTAAGCCAGCCATTAAAGTCCACAAGTCATAAAGGGGCCATAGTTCTCCATCTCTGCCACAGATCATCAAAGGTCTTCATTGTTCAACACTAACAGACATTAAAATCTGGGAACACTCTGGACGGGGAATGTGCAGATTCAGACTGTAGTTCCCCCCTCAACCACAAAAACTCCCTGGAGGATTTGGGGTTGTTTGTTTTTCTCTCTCAACCCAAGAGCCAGAATGGGGTAATGGAGAAGGTTTTGAACTACCGTGTTTTCCCGAAAATAAGACCCTGTTTTATATTTTTTTGAACCCCGAAATAAGTGCTTGGCCTTATTTTCAGAGAGGTCTTATTATTTTGGGGAGCGTGGAGCAAGATGGGGATCCTCTTGTCGTGTTACCTGATTTCCAGCTCTGCGTTTAAATATTTTTGGGGACGGTTTATTTTTGGGGGGGAGGCTTATTTTAGCGCATGCGCTCAAAAGCCCGATTGGGCTTATTATCAGAGGATGTCTTATTTTCGGGGAAATAGGGTAGAAGCAAAGACAATTCTGTTCTGGGCCCCCTTAGACACAGAAGCCAACTGGGTGACTTTGGGCCAGTCTGTTTTTAGCCTTTTACTAATTGATATTTTGCCATCATTCCTAACAATAATTGTTGGTTCTCCATGAGGATCTGTCCCTAACCTGGTCTTTCAATGCTTTCAGTTACTACCAGTACTTTAATTGGAACGATCCCTGTTACTGCTGGTCATCTTTATATTCTATTTATCATATTAAGTAATAATATAATACATTGTATTATGTATTATTAATTAATTATTACTGTACAATAAATTATACCGATCATCTCTATTTATTATACTAAATAAGACAAATCTCATATATATATTATTTATTCTGTAAATAATATATGTAAATATAAATAATATATGTAATATAGCCTCTGTATTCTAGAAAGAGTACAGAGAAGAGCAACAAAGAGGATTAGGGGAGTGGAGGCTAAAACATATAAAGAACGGTTGCAGGAATTGGGTAGGTCTAGTTTGATGAAAAGAAGGACTAGGGGTGATATGATAGCAGTGTTCCCATATCTCAGGAGTTGCCACAATGAAAGTTCCACAGTGCTCAGGACCTTAGACTGGGCCGAATAGTTCACTTTCCAACATGACAATGATCCTAGGTACACAGTCAAGACAACCCAGGAGTGGCTTAGGGACAACCTTGTGAACATCCTAGAGTGGCCCAGACAGAGCCTCGATTTGAACCCTTGAACCAACAGTCTCCCAGTCCCCGCTGCTGAAAAACACCCCCACAGCATGATAGATAAATGGATGGATGGATGGGTGGATGGATATCTATATCTATCTATCTCTATCTATCTATCTATCTATCTATCTATCTATCTATCTATCTATCATTTATATTTGCTGATAAAGATATAAAGGAAAACTTTATTTCCTCAGCAAATATAAATTTGGTATAAAATGGTGTGTCACGAACGCGACTGCTTGAGGGCTCCTGGATTGGAGCTGAAAGGCGAAAGGGAAGCAGTATGCTCCCTCCCATATTGGGGTAATTTGACAAGCTGGTTGTTGAAAGAAATCATTAGGGCAGAGATGTAGCAATAGGAGACAATATAGAAGAGAACATCTTCCAGATGTTGCACAATATAACTCCAACCTTCCTTCCGTACTCGCCATGCTGTGGTTTGCGGTTCAATAACATGATAACCAAGTTTCTCATCTCTTAAAACATCTGCCTCTCCAGTGTTCAGATAGGTAGGTAGGTAGGTCGGTAGATAGATAGATAGATAGATAGATAGATAGATAGATAGATAGATAGATAGATAGATAGATAGATAGATAAGATTAGATAGATAGATAGATAGATAGATAGATAGATAGATAGATAGATAGATAGATAGATAAAATAGATTAGATAGATTAGATAGATAGACAAACAAGTATTGATTGAACTGGGAATGTAGAGAAAATGACCAAAAGAGGGCAAAGCCAGGGTTAGCATGGAAATATTCAAAGGTCAGCCTATGGCCATCCCAGGCCCCAATGATTATATCCCAAAAAGCTGTAGAACTAAAGAGTCCTGTATCCTTTGATACAACTTTCTTTGTGGCTCGATTGAATGGGTGCTGACTAGCAGAGCCTATTGTCACTAAATCATGCATTTCCTGGGCACTGGGAAGAGATCATTGTTTTGGAGGAGCCTGTATTGTAACTTGTCAGCTTTAAGCATTCAGAATCCATCCTATGGCAAGAAGGAGCCTTGGGTTTCATTAACAAAAAGGGTAAGAAGGGTCAAATAGCCTCCTTAAGCTTTCTTAAAAGAAATTATCTCTTTTGTCCAGCAGATCATTTGGTTAAAAGCCTCCCTGGGCTCTTAAAGGAATAACTCCTCTCTTGAAGGCTTTAGATAGGACGAATGTACCGGTATCTCTCCCCCCAATCCTCCTCCTCTCCACTCCACCCATAACAGCAAAAATAGTAGAATCGAGCCTCTGTAATTAAGAAATAAGGAGAAAGTTGCTTGGACATTAAAAAAAAAAAGAGGGATCTGCAGTTACCATGTGATTTTTTTTTTTTGTCCTAATCCAGTGTTTCTCAACCGTTGCAACTTTTAAGAAGTGTGGACTTCAATTCCCAGGATTCCCCAGGCAGCATGGGGAAGTTGAAGTCCACACTTTTTTTTTTAATTGAAAAAGTTTTACAAATACAAATTTTTCCCCATTCCCCCCCCCTTTCCCTCCCTAACCCTCCCTAACCCTCCCCTCCTCCCATGACTTCCCCAAGGTGAAATCCAAATCCAAATCATATTATGTCATCATACTTTACCACACATCTATTCTACCCCCTGGGTACTATACATTTCTACATGACATTGAACTATTCTACCCCTTATATACTATACATTTCTACACAACATTCAAGTGAAAACTATCTGGTACTTCCTAGTTTGGTATTTGTTCTGCACATAGTCTATCCATTTCTTCCACTCCCATACATAAGTCTCTTTGAGTCCGGTCTGTTAAGTATGCTGATATCTTCGCCATTTCTGCAAAACTGGCCACCTTCAAAGTCCATTCTTCGATAGTAGGCAAAACATCCCTTTTCCAATATTGACCAATCAGTAACCTAGCTGCTGTCACCATATATAATATCAATTTTGTCTCACCCCTTGAAAAATCCTTAACTATGCCCAATAAGAACAATTGAGGAGAAAATTGGAGTTTTTTCTTCAAAACATTTTGCATAACCCACCAAATTTTTATCCAGAAAGCCTTCACTTTCTTGCAAGTCCACCATATATGATAATATGTAGCGTCTAAACAATCACATCTCCAACATTTTGGTTGAACATTAGGATACATACACGACAATTTCTTAGGATCTAAATGCCACCTATAAAACATTTTAAAAATTTTTCCCTCAAATTCTGTGATTGCGTAAATTTAACATTCTGAACCCAAATTTTTTCCCACATTTCCATCATAACTGGTTCTGCAAAATTTTGTGCCCATTTTATCATACAATCTTTAACCAAAAAAAAAAAAGAAGTCCACACTTCTTAAAATTCTCACTTTGTTAGGGGCCTCAAAGTTTCCAGGTAACTGGTGAATATTGATGGTAAATTATGAAAGCTTGATTTTTTATTTATTTTTTTTTACTCTTGCCTTCCTTCCCATTTTCTTCTTCCTTCCTTTCTTTCTTTCTTTTCCCCCAAGCCTGGCTCTACGGTGATCCGCGACAAGTTATTTATCCCAGAAATTCAACGGGATCCTATTGTGGAATTGGCGGCAATCGGTACGTTTGAAACAGTGGTGAAATTCAATTTTTTTTTACTACCGGTTCTGTGGACGTGGCTTGGTGGGTGCGGTGTGGCTTGGTGGGCGTGGCTTGGTGAGCATGGTAGGGGAAGGATACTGTAAAATCTCCATTCCCACCCCACTCCAGGGGAAGGATATTGCAAAATCTTCATTCCCACGCCACTCTGGGGCCAGCCAGAGGTGGGAATTGCCGGTTCTCTGAACTACTCAAAATTTCCGCTACCGGTTCTCCAGAACCTGTCAGAACCTGCTGGATTTCACCCCTGATTTGAAATCCTGGAAAGGAAGGGAGGGACTCATCAAAATTGTTGCTTGGTTAGAGAGGTGGGGTGGATTGTAACAAGCAGAGATTTAACTAAGCTCAAACAGCCACAGTTTTCCTGGAATTAAAAAAAAAAACCTGTACAGGTAGACCTCGATTTACAACAGTTTGTTTAGTGACAGTTCAAAGTTACAACTGCACCAGTGGTGGGTTTCAAAATTTTTTATTACCAGTTCTGTGGGCGTGGCTTGGTGGGCGAGGCAGGGGAAGGATACTGTAAAATTTCCATTCTGACCCCACTCCAGGGGAAGGTTACTGCAAAATCCCCATTTCCTCCTGATCAGCTGGGACTCGGAAGGCAGAGAATAGATGGGGGCGGGGCCAGTCAAAATTTTTACTACCGGCTCTCCGAACTACTCAGAATTTCCGCTACCGGTTCTCCAGAACTGGTCAGAACTTGCTGAAACCCACCTCTGAACGGGACTGAAAAGAGTGACTTAGGACCATTTTTCATTCATACAACCGCTGCAGCATCCCCCTGGTCACCTGATCAAAATTCAGACGCTTGGCAACTGGTTCCTATTTATGACGGTTGCAGTATCCCGGGGCCATGTGATCTCCTTTTCTGACCTTCGGACAAACAATGCGGGAGCTAGATTTACTTAACAACTGTGGCAAGAAAAATCATAAATTGGGGCGAAATTCACTTAACAAATGTCTCGCTTAGCCACAGAAATTTTGGGCTCAACTGTGGTCATAAGTCGAGGACTACCTGTACAAGATAGTGTCCAGCAGTAGGTTAACCAGACGTATTTTGAGAATTGAAGCAGCCCGAGTGTCTTTATTTTCTTAATTACCCGGATTTCTTTCTTTTAATACGTTCGTCAATTCTCTTTTTCTGTTTAGTGACAAACCTTACCTTCTCTACTTCAACCTCATGAAATGTGTCATGGAAGTGAATCCACTGGCAATAGCAATGAAGGGTTTGCAATGCCCTACCCCACAGGTAAGATCTATCATGCTTTATGTGTATATGTGTTTGTGTATGTGTGTGTGTGTTGAACATGGTACAGATAGTCCTGGGTTAGTAATTACAACTTGGTCATTAAGCAAAACAGTCGCTAAGTGAAACCGTGACCGTACTTAGGTTCTTAGAGATCTGAGAAGGTCATAAATGCGAGTATTGGTTAGTTTTTCATCACCTTTGTAATTGCAAACAGTCACTAAACAAGACAGTCACTAAACAAGCACAGCCTGTGCATCTGCTTTTGTGCATGTTTTGTAGGCCTTTGGGGCCTCCCAAATTTCTTATCCACAATTTTAATGTTTAGGGAGTATTCTTAATGAAAAAAAGAAATAAAAATACTGCTAACACTGTACCAGCCTGGATTTCCCACAATGCCTCTGGGTTTCACATTTCAAATTTCCAAATTTCAAACCTTTATTGTCAGTGCACAACATATGTACAATGAGATTGGCTGAGCTCCCTCAGTGCACCCCCTCCAACACTCACAGTGAAGAGAGAAAATCGCTGACCCAATAAATCATATTAACAAAACACCCAGTCGTATTCTACCAGTGTGAACATGTTACACATTGCACCGGCCCTGCAGTCCATCATACTATGTAGTTATGATGTTATTTCTCATTCAGGAGTCTGACAGCCCACGGATAAAAACTGTTCTTCAGCCTGTTTGTGCAGCTGGCTATACTTCTATATCTCCTTCCCGACGGTAGGAGGGTAAAGAAGTGGTGATCAGGATGAGAGTCCAGAAAAAGCTTCACCAAGCTACCACCTCACCTGGCCAGGGGAAAAAAAGGACATTGAGTTTTCCCAGATGTGCCAGTTTACCTATTCTAGTAAATAGAACTTTGAAAAATGCTTGCTTCAGAGTTTTTACTTGGAGTTGGGGGGTTTTCTGGAACGCTGACAGACATATTGGGCCACTAAGCAGCAAAATGGTGACATTGTACTTCAGACTCCGCCTCTTTGGAGATGATGTGCTATATGGGTTGATATACAGGTAGTATGTCAGGGTTCCAAGGAACACCCTCAATGAAAGAAGACTCCGGGGCTAGAAGTTCCTCAAAGTTCCATTTTATTAGAGATGTCATATTGGCACATCTAGGAAAACCCGAATCTGAAAGCTTCCAGGTTTCCCCCATCTAAATGAAAATCCAAATCCCTGCCCAGCACCCACATTTCCATCACATGGTCCAATCAATGCACCGTTCCAACTAGGGATGCCTCCCAGTCACACCCCCTCCAGGTGCAGGGCAAGATGTCCTTGACTCTCAGAGAAAGGAATGTTATTATGACTATATATCACCCGTGCTCCATACAATCCCCCCTCCCAGTTTCCCACAGCAGTAAATGTGGCAGCCCTGAAGATCCAATGCAAAGATGGCTTTCAGGCCTGACATAGTCCTTGACTTACAACAGTTCATTTAGTGACTGTTCAAAGTCACACTGAAAAAAGTGACTTATGACCGTTTTTCACGTGATCAAAATTCGGACGCTTGGCAACTGACTCATATATATGACTGTTGCAGTGTCCCGGGGAATGTGATCCCCTTTTGCGACCTTCCGACAAGCAAGCCAGATCCACTTAACAACCATGTCACTAATTTAACAACTGCAGTGGTTCACTTAAGAACTGTGGCAAGAAAGGTCGTAAAATGGGGCAAAATTAACTTAACGAATGTTTCATTTAGCAACAGAATCTTTGGGCTCAATTGCGGTTGTAAGTCGAGGACTACCTATACATACCCATTAGACATGAATACAGATAGTCCTTGACTTATGACCACAACTGAGCCCAAAATACCTGTTTTTAAGTGAGACATTTATTAAGTGAAATTTGCCCCATTTTGCAATTTTTCTTGTCATAGTTGTTCAGTGAATCACTGCCATTGATAAGTTAGTGACACAGTTCTTAAGTGAATTTGGCTTCCCCATTGATTTTTCTTGGTTAAAAGATTGCAGAAAATTAAGAATGTCCACTGCATATAAGGAAAATCAATATAAAATGTTTTATAGATGGCACACGCCCCCTGAGAAACTGGCAAAAATGTTTAAAGATAAATCAGCTAAATGTTGGAAATGTCAGGTTCTTATTACCATATGTGGTGGACATGTCCAGAAGTAAAAATTATTGGAATAAAATTAAGATATGGCTGGAAGAAATGATACAACAACGTATTGATTTAAAACCAGAACTGTTCCTACTGGGTATCCTGCCAGAAAAAAATAGCAAAAAAAATATTTATTTGATTATACATGTAATAACAGCTGCAAGGATTATATATGCACAACATTGGAAAGCAGAGAAAATACCTTTGGAAGGAGAAGTAATTTAAAAAAAATTAGATTGTGCAGAAATGAATAGCTTGATTATGATGATTAAAGAGAGAGAAGATTCAGAATACTTTAAGATATGGAATCAACTCTACTATTGGTTAGAAAAGAGATACAAATAAGTAAATTAATAGTTATGTATAAAAACGCTATAATCAGAATATTTTGTTAGTGATGAATTGTTGTAATTGATTGGATGAGAATGAAGACAGAAGAAGTAACAAAAAGAAGAATGATTGGAGATAACACCAAGATGTCACACGGAAGGAATGACTGATAGATTAAATGTATGTTTGTTTAAAAAATAAAAAAACTTTTAATAATAAAAAAAAAGATAGCAGAAGGTGAGCACATGGCCTTGGGACACACCAATGGTCATAAGTTTGAATTAGCTGCCAAGCATCTGAATTTTGCTGACATGATTATGGGGATGCTATAAAAAGGTTGTTACAGTGAAAAATGGTCATATTACTTTTTTCAGTGCCGTTGTAACTTTGTTTATTTTTTGTAAAAAAAAAATATTTTTTAACACACAGACAAACACACAAACAATTTTTTTTTTCCTGAACAAAGTATTGGCTGGTTCATAAATTTAAACAATTTTTCAATACAATTTATATATTCCCTTTTGCCATAATATCTTCCCTTCTTCTCCCTTTTATTCCTTTTTTTTGACTCTATATTGCCCATTCATCCTAGCTCTAATCTTCATCAAATTCCATTTTCCCTTCATCTCTATATGAAACCCCTTAAATTTAAAATCTCATTGGACATATTCCCTAATGTTACAATCATTCATTTAATATGAAAATAATAATCACTTGTACGACAGGGTTTTTTTTCCCCTCCTCTTTATATGCTGACAGTAAACCAAATTGCTTCCTTAGATTTTGTCTCTTATTTTCAAATATTTTATCAAAAATACCTATTTCAAACCCTCTTAATCATTTCTACTAAAATAATAAGCCAACAGACATTTTATACCATACATTTTCTTAGATCTTATTCTAAATAATACACTTCAACCTCTTAATAAAAATCAATTACTCATATAACAATTGTTTCCCCTTTTTTATATAATAGTGTGTGCCTGTTGACTGGTAAATCAAGGATTACCTATAGCTGGTTGGAATTATTCTATCTGCAGTCTTGACTATCCGTTGAAGTCTATATACCCATCCTGTTGGGCGACTATACTAAACCAGACAATTATAGGAGTACAAATAACAGACTCGATAGTTGTCTCAAAGGTGCTTTTTCAGGAGGCAACTGGACTTCCTTGTTTTTTCTTTGAAGACGTTTTGCTTCTCATCCAAGAAGCTTCCTCAGCTCTGACTTCCCCACCATCCTGTCAGAGCTGAAGAAGCTTCTTGGATGAGAAGCGAAACGTCTTCAAAGGAAAAAAAATCAAGAAAGTTGCCTCCTGAAAAAAGCACCTTTGGGAGAAACAGGACTTAGATGATTGAGAATCTCCATAGACTTTTAGACTCAATAGTTCCTCCGTAAAACTGTATCAACAGCTCCTGGGGCACTTTGAACTTCCTGAGCTGACACAAGAGAAACCATTGCAGATGGTTTTTCAGACTGATTCCCTGCGCTCCTTCCTTTTCAGATTTGTGTCTCCAATTGCTCCAGCAAATTCTGGGCGGTGCCTCCAACTGATTTAGTACCTCCAAGTTCCTTAAGAAAGAAACCTTCTGATGTGTGGAATCAGACAATGTGCCAACCCAGCATTGATATCGAAACTACCAAGTTGGTAAGTTGCCTTCGGATAGCCCCAATCTTTAATTCTTTGCCTTCCCTGTAATCCTGAAGGAGGTTTCAAGTTTCCTTGGATAATTCAGTGGGGCCTTGCCTCAAAGGTGGTGTTTTTTTCTACAAAAGACAACTGGACTGGGTTTTTTTCCCTTGAGGAAGGAGAAGAAAAAGTTTCGCTTCTCATCCAAGAAGCTTCATCGGGTCTCATGGTGGAGGGATGGAAGGACAAGGTTCTGATAGGACAGGGGTGTCAAACTCGATTTCATTGAGGGTCGCATCAGGGTTGTGTTTGACCTTGAGAGGGCCGGGGGGCATGGCCGGGGGAGCGGTGTGGCCAGGGGGCATGGCCAGCTTGACATCACTTGTTGAGGCTCCGTTTATGGCTGCAACAGCCTCCTGCAGTCCTCTGGCAACAAAAATGGAGCTCTCCATGGCACCCGCAAGCTCCATTTTTGCTGGCACAGGGCTGCAGGAGGCTGTCGCAGCCGAAAGCAGAGCCTGGCTGGGCCACACACGGCCCTCCCGAGCTCCGTTTTCACTGGCAGAGGCACTGCGGGCCGGTCCTTTGCTGTTTCCAGCCGAAGAGGTTGCAGAAAAAAATGCTTTTAAAAGCCTCTGACGATCGCAGCTGAGCCACGTGATCATCAGAGGCTTTTTTTTTTTTTTACTTTTAAAAGCATTTTTTTCGGCCGAAGAGGTTGTAGAAAAAATGCTTTTAAAAGCCTCTGCCAATCCCAGCTGAGCCGCACGATCATCAGGGGCTTTTTTTTTTTTTCACTTAAAAGCATTTTTTCGGCCGAAGTGATTGTAGAAAAAATGCTTTTAAAAGTTAAAAAAAAAAAAGCCTCTGATGAGGTGGGCGGGGTAAGCGAGCGGCGACCGGGCCAGTTCGGGGGCGTGGCCAACCAATGTTATTACTGGTTCTCCGAACTACTACAAATTTTTACTACCGGTTCTTGCGAACCGGTGCGAACCGGGAGCAACCCACCACTGAGTATTGCAGACTAATTCTGCCCACAGCCTGGAGTTCGATCTTGACTGACTCAAGGTTGACTCAGCCTTCCATCTTTCCGAGGTCAGTAAAATGAGGGCCCAGATTGTTGGGAGCATTAGGCTGACTCTGCAAAAACCATTTAGAGAGGGCTATAAAGCACTGCGAGGCGGTATATGAGTCTATGTGCTAATGCTCGTCTACGACGCAGCCCTTGTAGCAGTTCCAAGAAGAGTCCAACAACCAATTGCAGCCTGATTCAGGCGACCTTGAGAGCACAGATAAACCTCTTGGTGGCCTCAACGGCTCTCACAGAGAGTGCTAATGATCAGATGGCTCTGTCTCATTGCAATATTCCTGGCATTTAACCCGAAGAATTCCCCCATTAGGGGTCGTTCTAATTATCTGAATGCAACCTTGCTAAGAATCTCTTGCTTTTTTTCCCCAGACTGTGTCAGAAATCATCAACCAGCAACTTTGTCTTCAGTTCACCATCCCAACCAAGCCAAGTAAGTGTTGATTCTGCAAAGGAAAAACAAAAAAAGACTCTTGGAATCAGCGATTACATTGCTAAAATGACAGAAAACAAAAAGATCTCAGACCAGAGATGTCAGGTTTTCAAACTTTGCTATACAGGCAGTCCTCAATTTACAACAGTTCATTTAGTGACCGTTCAAAGTTACAACGGCATTGAAAATAGTGACTTATGACCAGTGGTAGGTTGCTCCCGGTTCGCATCGGTTCGTAGTAAAAATTTGTAGCAGTTCGGATAACCGGTAGTAACATTGGCTGGCCATGCCCCTGAATTGGGTCCCCGGCCCGGTCGCCACTCGCTTACCCTGCCCACCTCATCAGAGGCTTTTTTTTTACTTTTAAAAGCATTTTTTCTACAACCTCTTCGGCCGAAAAAATGCTTTTAAAAGTAAAAAAAAAAAAGCCTCTGATGATCGCACGGCTCAGCGGGGATCGTCAGAGGCTTTTAAAAGCATTTTTTCTACAACCTCTTCAGCTGAAGAGGTTGTAGGAAAAAAAATGCCTTTAAAAGCCTCTGGCGATCCCAGCTGAGTTGCCTGATTGTCAGGCAACTCAGCTGGGATCGCCAGAGGCTTTTAAAGGCATTTTTTAAGGTTGTACAACTGCTTAAGGTTGTAGAAAAAAATGCTTTTAAAAGTAAAAAAAGAAGAAAACGTTGGCCACGCCCACCCAGTCACATTACCCCCCCACCAAGCCACGCCCACAAAATAAGCCACAGCCACAGAACCGGTAGTAAAAAAATTTAGAACCCTCCCCTGCTTATGACCATTTTTTTACACTTATGACCATTGCAGCATCCTGATGGTCACTGACTTACATTCAGATGCTTGACAACGGACTCATACTTACGACGGTTGCAGAGTTCAGGAGTCACTTTGCGACCTTCTGACCAGCAAAGTCGATGGGGAAGCCAGATTCACTTAACAACCGTGTTCTTCATTTAACAACTGCAGTGATTCACTTAACAAAGCAAGAAAAGTCGCAGAATGGGACAAATTCACTTAACAAATGTTTCACTTAACAACAGAAATATTGGGCTCAGTTGTGGTCGTAAATTGACCTGTAATGCCAAATCCCACAGCCAGATGCAAAAAACCCCGCACCTATTAGGATTAAATAATTCTAATTTTCATAGGCTGGCAGATCATGATTATGGTTGCTTATTCTTAGTCACCTCTTGCTTGATTGCTGCCTTGACTCAGCCTTCTGTCCTTCCGAGGTCAGTAAAATGAGGACCCAGATTGTTGGGGCAATATGCTGACTCTGTAAACGGCTTAGAGAGGCCCGTAAAGCACTGCAAAGCGGTATGTAAGTCTAAATGCTACCATGTTTCCCGAAAATAAGACCCTGTCTTATATTTTTTTGAACCCTGAAATAAGCGCTTGGCCTTATTGCCATGCACTCAAAAAGCCAGATTGGGCTTATTATCAGGGGATGTCTTATTTTGGGGGAAACAGGGTATTAACAACTGTGGCAAGAAAGGTCATAAAATAGGGGGAAATTCCCTTAACAAATGTCTCGCTTAGCAACAGAAATTTTGGGCTGAATTGTGGTCATAAGTCAAGGACTACCTTCATTATGGTTTAGCACTTTGATTATAGGTAATCCTCACTTACCAATCACAATTGGGACGAGCAACTTCATTACTTAGCAGCATTGTTTCTAAGCAAAAAAAAAAAAATCACAGGTGCCGGATTTATGACATATTCCCTTCTGCTTCCATCATTAAGCAAATCACTCATAGTTGTAAAACTGGACATCACGTGACTGCAGAGTGCAATTTCACTTCCACAGTTCTTCATGAGTTCTTTTTGTCGGAAGCAGACGTGAAGTTTGCAAATGTGCAATCACATGACCACAGGCCCCTGCAGTGGCTGTAAATGCGAGGACTATCTACAAAGCTGTTTTGAATGGTTGCTAAACAAGACAGTAAGCTAGGACTATCTGTATTTACATAATAGTTCTGTAAATAATCAATGCTTATCCTACGTCAGGGGTCTGCAACCCACGGCTCTGGAGCCGCATGTGGCTCTTTCATCCCTCCCTGTTGCTCAAAATATGTGTCACAACTGCCAATGTGCGACACCTGCCGGCACGTGATTTATTGAGTTTTTCAACCCATCTCTTTTTTTTCCGGAGTTCAAAATGTTTTTGTTGCATGCAGAAATAAAACTTTGTTTTCTCTGTAGCAGGTCATTGATTTCATAAATGCAACACACTATAGTTTTTTTTATTCCTAACATAAAGGTAAAAAATGATATATGCAGTGTTGTCTTCATTTTAGATGTCAAATGGGTTTTGTGGCTCCCGGTGTTTTCTTTTCTGTGGGAAACGGGTCCAAATGGCTCTTTGAGTATTGCCAACCCCTGTCCTACATAATCCAGCATAGTGGGAATCTTCCAGGTTTCTTCAGTTAAACTATGCCATCTTCTGGGATTTTGAAGAGATAGCAATACCAGTAGCAACCAGGAAATTGGAAGATAGACCACAGGAGAGTTATTGGTGCTCAAGAAGGAGGGGAAAATGAATATATTTGCTTCAAAATGAGTTGATTAAAACTCATTGATTTGTAATTCACCCTAAGGTCTGGGACTTTGCAGAGATAAATATTTCTTGTCAATGGTCTTTCCAGAATGACCCCTAATTTATATTTTCCACCCTTTTATTTACAGTTCTTAATCGTTGCTTGCCTTCTTTTAACATCTCTGAAATTGGAAGCTTTAGTGTGGGTACAATGTCAGTGAATGAAACTCTGACACACCTCACAAATGGCACAGAGTAAGTTTTTTTTTAGTAGTTCAAAATCTTCATCAAGGCCTTTCTACGAGCAAATGTCTTACAGCCAGTGGCAATTTCCTTCTCCTCCCAGACCTTGTTCTCAAAACCCAACCAGACTAAGAAAACACAGAGATCCAGAGATAGGTTTCAGCTGGTTCTGACCAGTTCTGGAGAACCAGTAGCGGAAATTTTGAGTAGTTCAGAGAACCGGTAAATACCACCTCTGACTGGCCCCGCCCCCATCTATTCTCTGCCTCCCAAGTCCCAGCTGATTGGGAGGAAATGGGAATTATGCACTAACCTTCCCCTGGAGTGAGGAGGGAATGGAGATTTTGCAGTATCCTTCCCCTGCCATGCCCACCCAGCCATGCCAGGCCACGAAGCCATGTCCATGAAGCTACGCCCACAGAACTGGTAGTAAAAATTTTGAAACCCACCACTGCAGAGATTCATGATCCATGATTCTAGTCTATCTTTTATCACAGAGTTATCTCCATCAGTGTAAACTCACCCTTGCCTTGATTGTTTGAGTCTTTCTGGGGGGCTCTGTGTGATCCAAGAAACTTGCTGGCTTTACCAGAATGAATTGATTGATTTGATTTGATTTTTTTTTTTGGATGCCCCAATCTCAAAAAAGGGACGTGCTGGCTCAGTGGCTAAGACGCTGAGCTTGTCGATCAAAAGGTCGGCATTTCAGCGGTTCGAATCCCTAGTGCTGCGTAACAGGGTGAGCTCTCGTGACTTGTCCCAGCTTCTGCCAACCTAGCAGTTCGAAAGCACGTAAAAAAAACCCAAGTAGAAAAATAGGGACCACCTTTGGTGGGAAGGTAACAGTGTTCCGTACGCCTTCAGCATTTAGTCATGCCGGCCACATGACCACGGAGATGTCTTCGGACAGCGCTGGCTTTTTGGCTTTGAAACAGAGATGAGCACTGCCCCTTAGAGTCGGGAACGACTAGCACATATGTGCGAGGGGAACCTTTATCTTTACCTAATCTCAAAATTTGTATTGTATGGCTTGATGCCATGTGGCTGAGCAGGCCATGGAAAACAGAACAAGAGGCAATTCTATAGCAAACTCCCTGTTTCAGTAGAGAATATATGTAGCACAGGGTTGAACTGTGGGGTCCTTTCTGAACTTGGTTTTTTTTTCTTGCAGATATTTCATTACCGAACTAGTTAACGTTATCAGTGCTAGTGAGTACAGGGGTTTGCTCCCTGTTTACATACAGTAGCTTGCTTTGCCAGGGTTGGTGGGGGTATGATTTCAGACAAATGAGCCATCAATAGATACATAGAGGTAGTAAATCACATTTACACACCATTCAAAAGAGACATTAAAAAGCTAAGAAGGAAACAAAAAGACCAGAATATATCATATCCAGTGACCAAAACCCAGATAAGCAGGGATTAATACCAGGCAAACAATCGAGTAGAAAACAATATTCTAATCAAGGAACTGCCAAGGAGAAAACGACATCCTCACCAACACTGGCAGGGCAACTTATTATATATTAAACAGGAAGCAAACTTCACGTTCAGTAGCACTGATGATGTTACCTGGTCAGGTAACGAAATGTCTGTAAACAAACAACCAAGCTCAGCACCAAGGACTCCGCAAACTTTGTGTAACTTACATAAGGATGGAAGTACTGCTGGAGTTTATACTTGCAAAAATAGGGGATTACTGCACTTTAACCTGTCCAGCAGTAAATAGACAATGCCACAACTACTGCGGCAGAGTAGAGACCGGTTATGTAGATCTAACAAACTGTGTTGGTGTATATTTGCATTGGAATGGAAGGAAAGCACATTAACCTGTTTTTCTGTATGGATTCCCTTCTATAAAAGTCTTCACTTTGGCTTCTTGTTTTTATAGACAACTTCTCAGTTCTCTCAATGTGAAGGATATTAGTGTGAAGATCTTTGAGGATTTTACACGGACGTGGCCATGGATTCTCATGTGAGTACTTCTTGCAACAGAAGGAAAATGTCCATGGGGGCTGAGGAAATCAAGAGGGCTTTGTGTATGTTGTGTTACGTTGTGTTTGTTGTGCTGTGTTATGTGGTGTTATGTGATATGTGATATTATACCATACCATACCATACCATACCATACCATACCATGATTCTGTTGTGACCTAGGCCCAAGTAGTTATTATGTCTGCACAATCAGTCCTAAACAAACATATAACTGAGTCTTGGTGGTGCAGCAGACTAAAGTGCTGTTAAGTAGCACTTAGCTGCCAGCTGCCTGCAATTACTGCGAGTTCAAATCTCACCAGGCTCAAGGTTGACTCAGCCTTCCATCCTTCCGAGGTAGGTAAAATGAGGACCCGGATTGTGGGGGCAATAAGCTGACTTTGTATAAAATAGAACACTGCTTAGGGGGGCCCGAAAGCCCTACTAAGCAGGTATATACAAAAGTATGAAGGCTATTGCTTAACGCATTGTAAGCCGCCCTGAGTCTCCGGAGAAGGGCGGCATATAAATCGAACCAATAAATATTTTATTAGAACAGCTGAAAATTACTTCATTCTCAGCTTAGTCCAAATTAAGTCCAAAACAAATTCTTCATAAACAGTCCTTAGGCCTTATCACCAACCTTTGTCTACTTTGGCACCCTGCCAAAGGCTTTTCTTGGCAAAAGTTCAGATGCAAGAGATGCAAGAAACAAGAAACAAATGTAGCAACGTTGCTTTCCTACAAAGATTCCAAGAGCCCTTCTGGGAGGGGCCAATCATCTCCTGGCCTTACTCCCGAGTTGTCCCTTTTGCTTTAGCTGCTCTTGCCTTCTGGCAGCTCTTCACATGCGTGCACTAGGAACAGGCTCCTCCTGTTCCTCTGCCTCTCTGCTATCCGCCTCTGGAGGCTCCAGAGTCCGCGCATCACTCCCAGATGGCCCTGGCCCTATCTCTGCCTCCAACGCAGAGCTCTCGTCCAGGCCTTCCCCAGACTCCAGGACTGGCCCATTGTCCTCCCCAGCTCTCTGTGACTCTGTGAGGTTCCTGCTTGTTGCAGGGGCCATTTTATGTGAAGTCCAGCTGCTTTTGCATTGTGTGTGAGTCAGTTGTGTAGCTTTTGTGTTATTTTTGTGTAAAGTGTGATAGTTTGTTTTTGAGCTCTCTTTGAGGTTCCTGCTTGTTGCAGGGGCCATTTTGTATGAAGTCCAGCTGCTTTTGCGTTGTGTGTGAGTCAGTTGTGTAGCTTTTGTGTTATTTTTGTATAAAGTTGGTTTTTTCGGTCACATCACCACCAAGCCACACCCATCAATCCGGTAGGGAATTTTTTTGAATTTCACCACTGGACAGGGTTCACCAACCTTCGCAACTTTAAGCCATATGAACTTCAACTCCCAGAATTCCTCAGCCAGGCTCTAAGACCCCCGCTCTATGCTCCAGAATGGATGTAGCTGAAGACACAATGTCTCAGTCAGAGGTGGGTTTCGGCAGGTTCTGACCAGTTCTGGAGAACTGGTAGCAGAAATTTTGAGTAGTTTGGAGAACTGGTAGTAAAACTTCTGACTGGCCTCGCCCCCATCTATTCTCTGCCTCCCAAGTCCCAGCTGATCGGGAGGAAATGGAGATTTTGCAGTAACCTTCCCCTGGATTGGGGTGGGAATGGAGATTTTATAGTATCCTTCCCCTGCCATGTCCACCAAGCCACACCCACCAAGCCATGCCTCACCCACCTAGCCACACCCACAGAACCGGTAGTAAAAATTTTTGAAACCCACCACTGATCTCAGTTGAAAGTTGGTTGAAAGTCAATAGATGCATCTATAATTGATTTATTAAAGGTGCTGAAAACTCTTCAGAACAAAATAACTGTTCTGTCCACGTCTCACACACGCATACCAGCAGTCGACCAAGAGTTAAAATAAACCAGCAGACAAGAATTTCCTTTGATAACAGAATTGGCAGCAACCCAGTGGCTACTTGCCAAAAGTTTTTACTTACAAAGGGAGGTTTATCTCCTCCGCCCGAAACATCAAAGTAAGTCCACAAAAGCCAAAGAATAGTCAAGTCCAGTCCAAGAATCAATCCAAGCAGAGCATATAACAAAGTTCCAGAAATGCAGAATGACTTGCTAGCTTTCAGTTTTGTCCGTCACAAAGCCTGACTGGCCACCACACCCCCTTTTATCCCCAGTGACTCAGCTTAATCTCTGGCACGCCTCCTTCTCTGCTGCGCGCACTTGTCTTTCCGACTCTGTCGGGGATCCAGCCAAGACTTATCTCCGTCACTGTCTAACTGTGGCGGCTCGGAAGTGCCTGGCTCCTGGCCTATCTCTTCTCCTTCGGAAGACACCTGAGGCCTTGCCAACTCCTCTCCTTCATTTTCGGAGTCTTCTCCCTCCGATAAAATGGGCTCGGGGGTCGGAGTCACAACAATAACGTCTTTGTTTCTCATAAACAAAACAAATTAAGGCAGGAAGATTAGCTCTAAAGTTGTCGGTCAAGTGGACCTTTTGTGAACCATAATGTAATTGAGAAAATCCTTCAGATTTGGGATTTGTCTTCCTGCTCAGGGAGAGAGAGAGAGAGAGGAGGGATTAGACAGAGAGATTAGAGTTTATAAGAAGAAGAGGCGGAGAAGAAAGTCACTCCATCCCATCCTTTCTCTTTTATGTTATTCTCTTTCCAGAGCTCTCCTGCTTGCCATGTTACTGAGCTTCATTTTTCTCCTGCTGCTGAGGTTCATCGCTGGCGTCCTTGTATGGGTTCTCATTGCGGGAGTAATATCCATCATTGCATACGGTGAGTCAAATGAGACCAAGTAGCTGAAGTAAAGATCTTGATATACTGCACGAAACTGATGAATGGACTAAGAGTGCTACCACAGGAGATAGAAGTGGACAATGGTTTGAGGAACCTTTGTAAACCAGTCAGGTCCATCATGTCAAATCATTTGGTAAATGGGCAAGGCCTCTTTAGCAAGCATTCTGCGGTTTGCTATGACAGATCTTCCAAATATTCCAAATAGGCGACCCAGTCTATAGATCGGGGGGGGGGGTTTCAACCTTAGCAGATTTAAGATATGTGGGCTTCAACTCCCAGAATTCCCCAGCCAGCCATGCAGTTTAAAGTTGCCAAGGTTGAGAAACACTGTTATGGATACTTATGCTTAGGATAGGAAGAACTTCCTTTCTGTCCAAACCTTGAAAAACTATCCACAACAAAAGTTATAATATTAGCTTAGATAAGGGTCCCCAAATTTGGCAACTGTAAGACTTTAAGGATGGCTGGTTGAGGAATTCTGGGAGGTGAAGTCCACAAGTCAAGTTTGGAGAGTCCTGGCCTAGATGATCAGAAATCTTCTATGTAGGCCAAAGCTTGTCCAGTTCTCAGAATTATATTTCCTCCCACTGATTCTATTCTATTCTATTCTATTCTATTCTATTCTATTCTATTCTATTCTATTCTATTCTATTCTATTCTATTCTATTCCATTCCATTCCATTCCATTCCATTCCATTCCATCCCATCCCATCCCATCCCATCCCATCCCATCCCATCCCATCCCATCCCATCCCATCCCATCCCATCATTCCATTCCATTCTACTCTTACTCTACTCTGCTCTGCTCTGCTCTGCTCTACTCTACTCTACTCTACTCTACTCTACTCTACTCTACTCTACTCTACTCTACTTTGCAATGTTCTACAGATTGATCACTGCAGAACATTGATTCTCACACATACATGTACCTGCCAAGCAGGGGTGGGTTCTACTTCTCTTTACTACCGGTTCGCAATGGTAGCTTCTGCGCATGCGCAGATTGTCCATTATGATGTCCGGGCGGGTAGGCGGAGCCTCCCTCCCGCCGCTTTTACTACTTGTTTGCAAGAACCGGACAGAACCGGGAGCAACCCACCACTGCTGCCAAGTGTCATAACCATAGCATAAGCCATCCAACATCTTTGAATATATTTAGCAAGTGAATATAGCAAACAAGCAGCCAAGCTTGGTATGGGTGATCTGTAACTCTCCAGATGTTCATGACTTCAGACCTTGCCTTGCACCCTCAGCCCATATGGCCAGTAGCGAGGGATGCCGGGACTTGTAATTCGGCAATATCTGGAGTGCCATGATATCTTAACAATCACCAAGATATGGTGTCCTGGGGCCTTCCTGTATGCACATCACATCAGTGGTTGGTTGTTGGAAGAAAGAAGGTTGAAACGGGGAAAGGACTCTTCTGAAACAAGGTGGCGGAAGGAGGGAAATAGGATTTGAAGAATGCTCTTGTTTAGTATTTTTTTCCCTTCACTTTTCCCCTTCCAGGAATCTACCACTGTTACACAGAGTATGATATGTTCAAAAAGAATGGAGCCACTATACAGACCATTGGATTTACCACCAACTGGAGCGCTTATGGCAGTGTCAAGGAGACCTGGATGGTAGCCTGTAAGTCAGGGAAGAAGAGTGAACTTCCTTTTGCTTGCTTGGATAAGGGCATGGATACATGACCTTTTGTGGATTTTGGGAATGTGTAGGAGCAGGACAAGGGCGGGAACATCTGATGAAAATAGAGAAGGGCCTGTGCTCCATGTATTTCTCCCCACCGCCATAGGTTTTGCTTAAACCTCATCCTTTTTTCGATATTCATTTCTCCTTAGCTCTCTCCCTTTATCCAGTTCTTACCAAAATACCGTTATTCCTCGGCTTATGCCCACAATTGGAACCAGAGTTTCCTTTGGGAAGCAAGGCAGTTGTTAAGCGAGTCACATCCAAGTTGTATGACTCCCCCTTTTGCAACTGGTTAAGCGAATCAGTGCCGTTATTAAATGAATTCTTGGTCGTTAAGCAAATCCACCTTCCCTCATTGCCTTTGCTTGTCGAAAGCTACTAGCGGATTTGGGCAACGCACAACTGGCAAGTGAAACACGTTTACTGGTCAACCAGCAGGCAGTTGCGAGTTGCAATTTTTTGTACATAGAGTGCCTGTGGGTATGTTTTTGAGTATGGTATGTATGAGTAAATTCCAAAGGCGAGAGGACCAATATCATGGAAAGGATAAAATGTATTGTAATGATAAACTCTCCTTGTTCTAGTCTTGCCCCCTTTCCATTTTAAGCTCTCCCTTTTTTCTTAAGTCTTCTTTCTCTGCAGTTAAACATGATTGCTCAGTTTTGGTCTACCATTATCAAGCAAGAGACATGAAAATGTTCTTTCTTTTTAAAATTAAATTTGCTAATTCCAGAATGGAATGGAATTACCTTTATCAGGTTTCCCATCCATGATTAACTTCTGCTTCCTGGACTGTGAACGTTCCAGCTGTTTTGGGGTTCTAAGCTTCTGACTTTGGAGAGCTCCAGACGGAAAGGCTGGTTGGACGGGTCTGTCTGTCTGTCTAGAGAGAAAGGAGGGAGAGAGAGAAAGGGAGGGAGGGAGAGAGAGAGGGGGAGAGAGGGAGAGGGAGAGAGGGAAGGAGAGAGGGGGATTGGGAGAGAGAGAGATGGAAGTATACGTGCATGCATAAGCTTCAGCGTCACCATTTTATTATTTGGGGATAGATTTGTACTAACTCTGACTTAGAAATGCAAGATAATAACAAGCTTACCAATGAATAACAGGCCAATCATGGTTTTGATCTTCTTAATGGTCATTTTGATCCATCCTCGCCCATTATCATAATCCATAATAATCTTCTCCATAGACATGAATCAACAGTTGATTTGGGAAACATGTTGAAGAATATCTGGAAGCTGCAGATGGTTCAGAATGTGGTGGTATAGATTGTTACAGATACATGTTGTTGTGTAGCTATGACACTTTTCGGCACTAAAAGCTACATTGGGTGTGCAATACTATATTACAGACATTCCTTGAGTTATGACCGCAATTGAGCCTAAAAATTCTGTTGCTAAGTGAAACATTTATTAAGTGAGTTTCACCCCATGGATGGCTGGGGAATTTTGAGAGTTGAAGTCCACAAATCTTAAAGTTGCCAAGTTTGGAGACCCCCGAGCTAATCCATTGTTTGGGTTAACAAGAGTTGTTTAACATTGCTCAGTCGATAGTGATAACTATAGCTAGATCTGTAATTAAGATACAGTCACACTAGGCCGTGGTTTACAAATTCGGTGGGTGATTTCAGGATGAGCTTCAATGAAACAAATCCCTCGATGGCCTCCACTTGGGGTGATTTGGCTCAAAGCTCTTCCCAGCTTCTTTTGAGGTGGACGCAGTCCAAACCGTCTCCTTTCTCTCTCCCTCTTCCAGTGATTGTCCTCTGTGTGGCAGAAGCCATCTTGCTGCTTAGCCTCTTGTTCCTCCGCAAACGAATCTTCATTGCTATCGCGCTCATCAAGGAAGCCAGCCGGTAAGTGGAGCCCCTCAATGCTTTGGTGCCGTTGCAGTTTTAGATTCTGGGTGGGAACTGAGGGAGAGATTGATACTTCTCCGTTGTCTCTTTCTCCAGAGCCATTGGACATATGATGGCCACCCTCATCTACCCACTGCTGACTTTCGTCTTAATCGTGATCTGCGTGGCCTATTGGGGCATGACGGCTCTGTATCCTTTCCGATGATGCTGTGATCCTTTATTTATTTATTACATTTATATGCCACCCATCTCACTCTAAAACGACACTGGAAGGCTTTTTCTTGCTTTCCTTTGAGAGAATCAGTCAATGCCATGTCTGTAAACGATGATGTTGATGATGATATCAATTCGGTCGTATCTGACTCTTTGCAGTTCTATGGTCAAGGTCTCTCCACATCAGCTAACCTTGCACTACTTCTTTGAGTTGTTCTATGCTCTGGCTGGTGTCAGTTTTGATAATGTTCAGACACTGTGTTTTTTGGGGTCTAGGACAGAGGTCTGCAACCTTAAACACTCAAAGAGCCATTTGGACCCGTTTTCCACAGAAAAGAAAACACCGGGAGCCACAAAACCCTTCCCGTGCCTGACTATTTCTTGAATCCCCACAAAATTAGCATATTTAGTTGAATTAAATGTTTTGTTTTCCTCTGAAACTTTTCTTTTCTTGGATTTATCCATGGTTGGCCTACCGGAGGTCAAAAAGTTCAATAAATCGCATGCCAGCGGGTGTCGCTCATTGACAGTTGCGACGCATATTTTGAGTGATGGAGCCACAGCAGAGGAGTGAAAGAGCCACATGCGGCTCCAGAGCCACAGGTTGCTGACCCCTGGTCTAGGTCAACTCACTGCAGCCAACTCGCCACAGCCAACTCGCTGTGAGACAACTTACAACGGCCAACTCGTCACGGGGGAAAACTTGCAGCAGGACAATAGTTACATTCATTCTGAAGAAATGGTGGAATAGAATCATTAAAGAAAGAGTGCTAAAGGAGGGACAAAATGAAATGTGAATGACAAAAATTAAAAATAATTTTTAAATTATTTTAAATAATTAAATTGAATTGTCCTGCGGCAGGTTGTCCCACAGCGAGTTGGCTAGTGTGAGTTGGTTGCAGAGAGTTGTCCATTCCAGTTCTTCGGCAACCTTTTACTGCTTCTGTACACCAAGCAATCGTAACACCCCTTTCTATCCTGCCTGTCCTTGTCCCTGAACCTTAAACTTGAAAATAAGGAAATTATTACAGCTAGTCCATCACTTAATGAAACATAGAAAACAGATGGCAGAAAAAGACCTAGTGGTCCCTTCAATCTGTCCTCCCAAGTTTGTTTGTTGTCTTCTTTTTAATTTATTGATTTATTCATTACTTTTAATTATTATATTTATATTTTATTTGTTTTAATTTTATTTTTAATTTTTGTCAAGATGATGGACATGTGTTTATCCCAAGCATGTTTAAACTCAGTGACTACTGGAAGTTGGCTCCAAGCTTCCACTACTCTTTCTGTGAAGTTATACTTTCTCACCTTACTTTGGAACTTCCCCCCTGTCAGTCCGAGGTTATGCTCTCATGTTCTTGCTTAATGTTGAAAATAATGCCTTCTAATGCCAACCTGTGGGAGGCAGGCCCACTAGTGGGCTGTGAGAGGTTTACACAACTGGGCATGGAAACGGCCGACGAGCTCACACACGCTTGTTGGGGTTAATATGCTGGCTCTGTAAACTGCTTAGAGAGACTGTAAAATACTGTGAAGCAGCATATAAGTCTAAGTACTATTGCTATTGCTACTTACATAAGGAGACAAATCCCTTATGTGTCCAATCACACTTGGCCAATGTTCTATTCCAGGGTCTGCAAACTTAAACACTCAAAGAGCTGTTTGGACTCACAGACAAGAAAACACCGGGAGCCACAAAACCCTTCCTGTGCCTGACTATTTTTTGAGCAGTCACAAAACTGGCATATGTAGTTGAATTAAACGTTCTCTTTTCTTCTGAAACTTTTCTTTTCTTGGATTTATCCATGGTTGGCCTACCAGGGGTTGAAAAGCTCAATAAATTGTGTGTCGCACATTGGCAGTTGTGACGCATATTTTGAGTGACAAGGAGCCGCAGCAGAGGGATGAAAGAGCCACATGTAGCTCCAGAGCCGCAGATTGCTGACCCCTGTTCTATTCTATTCCACATTGTGAAGGACAGAAGGGGATATTTTTGTTTGAAAACTTCCTTGACTGTTTTCCATTTTTCAAGGTATCTTGCGACTTCCGGAGAGCCCCTTTTTCGTATCACCCCAACAAATGACTCTGCCCCGGGCTGTGAAAAATATCGTGGTAATGAAAGTTGCATGCCACTGGTAAGTGGTCAGATACAAAACCAAAGTATCTTTGGTCTTGGGAATTGTGCAGCAGCTGTCCAGACAAAGTCGGAGAGACTAATGCAAACTTGTAGTCTACAAGTTTTAATCATCATACAGAAAGAGAAAACATAGGAGAGTCAGGAATGCAGGAACATTGTGAGGTAAATTAAACAGTATACAGATTGCACATAAGGAAAAGGCGGGAAAAAAGGGAAACTCCCCCGCCACACCCACAGCAACCAACCTACAGTGTAGACTGCGCCATCCATGCAGGTGTGTGCTCTGGCCCACTGTACACTTCATTGTTCACCATCGTCATCTTTTAATGACCCCATAATCCTTTGCGGGGTGGAGTCTGGGAAATTGAATGGAGCTGAGTGTTTACTGGCCGGAAGCCCTTCCTGTCGCCAATGCGGAGTTATATTCAGCAGATATATTCTCATTGTGCGCAGAGAGAGAAATATCTGCCTCTACTTAGGATTGAACTCAAAAGTCTCTTGATTGTGAGGCGAGAGCGCCACCTCTAGGCCACCACACGACTTCACTGTACACTTACTTCACTGTTCCAGCTATTAAATTCAATATCCTAACATCTTTGATCCTCAGAACCGTTTTGGCTAGTCCTTGAATGATGAAAAATATGATCATACTTTGAGAACCTCCCAGTTTTTCTTATGATGATGCTTTGGTGTTAAGTGAGACATTAAGCACGTTAAGTAGTCTCATGAATGAATTGGATAACTTTTGGCCACACTGCTGCTTTTTCAAACTTAAGCATGATTGGGAGAAAACGGATCCTGTTCTTCCAGGATAGAAATTTCGGGAGCTGCCTAAAATCAATTCAGTTCTGGATAACTGAGCTTCATGTTGCCTGTATCAGAAATAGGTAATCCACAGCTTTTACGCTGCCAAAAGCTCCTCTCCCAATTCTGTATGCTCTCCTTTAACCATAAAATCAAGTTTATAGCAAATTAGCCAGAGTGAAAACCAAATGCCAAGCAAGATAGACATTATTTATTTATTTTATATGCTGCCCATCTGATTGCTGCGGCAACTCTGGGAGATCTTTAAAACAATTCAAAGATTAAAAAAAGCTAAAACCATGAAAAATATTAAATAAGAAACAAGAAATCTGTAGGGGAAGATGTTGTGGCTCCGTTACCTGAGCCTGTGTCATTGGCAGGAGAGGACTCCGAGACTGAAGGAGAGGAGTTGGCGAGGCCTCCCTCTCCAGGACCCTCCTCTCTGGCAATGCCTTTGGTGTCCGCCGAAGAGCAAGAGATAGGGCCGGGGCCAAGCACGTCCACGCAGCCACAGATGGACAGTGATGAGGGTAATAAGTCTTGGCTGGATCCATGCCAGCGTCGCAGAGATAAGCGCGCGCAACAGAAGAAAGGGCGTGCCTGAGATTAGGCTGAGTCACTGGACCACACCCCACAGGATATAAAAGGGAGCGTGGTGGCCCGTCAAACCCTGTGACGAACAAAGCTGAAAGCTTCCACGCCATTCTGCATTGCCAGACTTTTGCTTTAAGACTTTGTTGGAAGTATCTCTGGACTTGATTTAATTCCGTAATTATCGAACTGCTTTTCTTTGATGTATCAGAAGTGGGGAGAATTTATCTCTCCTCTTTGTAAATAATAAACTTTTGGCAGGCAGCCACTAGGTTGTTGCCAAGTTCCGTTGTCATAAGGAAAAGGATTTTGCCGGCTGGTTTGGTTTTTAACTCCTGAACGTCTGTTGGTGTGTGTGCGTGGGGTTGGGGACAGAACAGAAGAGCCGGCAGAGCTGGGAGGTGGAGTGAAATGCTTTATCAGCTTAGAGTCAATAAGTTCCCACAAATGATCCAAGTTTCACCTCTCTTGGATTCCACTGACCCTTATCTGGCGCCAATTTTGCGAACTTTATTTGACTAGATCTTGTGTATAATCTTGAGCAATAAATCTTTTGAACTGCAACTTAACATACGGTCATGATCCTTTGACAAACCCAAGAGAAACGGGTGATCTGGAAGTAGTAGGGACCTTCTCTCTGTCCCATCAGCCACCCCAGCATAGTAGAAGTTCCATTAAGGCCCCAGATCAACCAGCAGATTTTAAGGCTCTTCTGGAAGACCAGCAGTGTAGAGACTGACATCACCTCCAGGGGGAGAATATTCCAGAAAGTTGGGGCCACAGCAGAAAAGGCTCTTCTCCTGGACCTGCCAGCTGAAGTTCTTTAGAAGATGGGGTTCAAAGTTAGGCCTCTTCCGCTGGAGCGAGTTGACAGGCCAATCCTATTGGATGAGACAGCTCCTCAAATGTTTGGACCTGTGTTTAAATGTTGGACCCTATAGCCAGGGATGGGCTGCTGGAGGTTCACAGGGGTTCGGTAGAACCCCTAGCTAAGATTCTCTGCAGTTCGGAGAACCCCCAAATCCCACTCCTGACTGGCCCTGCCCATCCCACCCTGCTCCTCCCAGGAGTCCCCACGTGGCCCGTTTTGGATGCAGGTAAGTACAGGGCGCGCACGGAGGCTCGGGGAGGGAGAAAAACAGGCCTACTGGAAGTTTGGGAAGGCCGGAAATGGGCCCAGAGCGCCTCCGGAGCCTGGGGTGGCTGTTTTTGCCCTCCCAGAGGCTCGAGAAAAGCCTCTGGAGTGTGGGGAGGGCAAAAACGCCTCCCACCCCCGCCGTGGTGCAGGAGTCTGACTAGGCCATGCCCACCATGGCCACGCCCACCCAGCAACCGTGCAGAGAACCCCTTGCTAAAATTTTCCTGCAACAGATTAGAGGTGAAAGGGACCTTGGAGGTCTTCTAGTCCAACCCCCTGCTCAAGCAGGAGACCCTATACCATTTCAGAAAAGTGGCTATCCAGTCTCTTCTTAAAAAACCTCCAGGGATGAAGCACCCACAACTTCTGAAGGCAAAGCTGTTCCACTGGCTAATTGTTCTCACTGTTAGGAAGTTTCTCCTTAATTCCAGGTTGCGTCTCTCCTTCCTTAGTTTCCATCCATTGTTTCTTGTTTTGGAAAATAAGTTGACCCCCCCACCCCTCTTCTTTGTGGTATCATGTCTCCCCCAGTCCTTCTTTTCTCTAGACCAGCCAAAAACCCAAATCCTGCAACCGTTCTTCATATGTTTTAGTCTCCAGGCCTTTAATCATCTTAGTTGCTCTTCTTTGCACTTTTTCCAAAGTCTCAACATCTTTTTTGTAATGTAACCAAAATTGGTATTCCAGGTGTGGCCTTACTAAGGCTTTATAAAGCGATATAATGATTTTGATTCTATTTTTATACAACTATGGACTATATTAGATTGTATTCACTTAACAGCTGTGGCGAGAAAGGTCGTAAAATGAGATGAAACTCACTCAACAAATGTCTCACTTAACAACAGAAATTTGGGTCTCCGTTGTGATCGTTAAGTCGAGGACTACCTGTATCACACGTGTCTTGTCTTGTCTTTTCTCAGGATTTCAATGCCTCCTCCAGTCTCCCTTGCATAACCGAATGCATCTTCTACAGATATAATGATGAAGGGCTCTACCAGCGCAATCTCTTCAATTTGCAAATCTACAACTTTGTGGGCTTCCTTTGGTGTATCAACTTCGTCATTGCTCTGGGACAGTGTGTACTTGCGGGAGCCTTTGCCTCTTATTACTGGGCCTTCAACAAGCCTAAAGATATCCCAGCCTGTGCCCTGTCCAGTTCCTTCCTCCGTACATTAAGGTGCGTAATTTGGGGAGAAATGTGTGTGGAGATTCTCATGTTCTGACCTAGGCTCCCTTAAAAAGCAGGAAGCAGGAATTGGTCCCGGCAAAACCGCTTTCATTTACACGACTGTGAATTACTTTCATTCACAGTCAGCAAGGTTTGTCCAAACAGTTTTTCAAAGGAATATTTATCAACACACCTCATCTCGTTTGGCAAGCAGCCACGTAACTTGTTTCCAAATTCAGAGTAAGGCGAAACTTGGCACGGAGTCTCTTAGAGTCACGAACAGAACTTTCCACTCTTGAAACGATCGAAAGAACAAATTGTTTCCTGCAAAAGCCCCCTTCCCCTTTGCTCCTCTTTTGTTTCCTATGGGAGGGGCCAATCATCTCCAAGGTGTGGCTTTACTCCCAGGTTGACCCTGCTTTCTGACTTGTTCTTGTCTTCTGGCTGCTCTGTGCATGCGCACACTGGGAACAGGCTCCAGTTGTTCCTCTGCCTCACTGCTGTCTATCTCCCTCTCTGCCTCCGACACAGAGCCCTCGTCCGAGCTTTCCTCTGATTTAGAGCCTCTTTGATCTAGTGCAAGGGTGTCAAACTCATTGCTTTTTTAAATTTTAAATTTGTCTTATAAATTGGGGTGTTTTAAATTTGTTTTCTGGGCCAAAGGATTTAATGTATTTTAAATGGTTTTTAACGTTTGCATTATATGTATTTTATTTTCTGGCTGTTCACCGCCCTGAGTCCTTCGGGAGTAGGGCAGTATATAAATTTAGGGCCGGGGTACTTACGAGACCGCCTTCTGCCACCAATAGCCTCCCACCGGCCAGTACGCTCGCACAGAGTGGGCCTCCTCAGGGTGCCGTTTGCCCGACAATGTCGGCTGACGACTCCCAGGGGGAGAGCCTTCTCTGTGGCGGCGCCCATCCTCCGGAACAACCTTCCCCCCAGAGATACGTACAATAACAGACCTCCGGATTTTTCGTCGGGCCCTGAAAACCCATTTATTTCAACTAGCTGGGCTGGCTTGAGTTAATTTTAAATTGATTTTAAATTGGGTTATTTTAATTTATGGCCAATAATATTTAATTATTTTAAATTGCTTTTAAATTTTGTATGTATTGTTTTTTATTCTGGCTGTTCACCGCCCTGAGTCCTATTCTGGAGAAGGGCGGTATAGAAATTTAAATAATAAAATAAAATAATAAATAAAATAAATAAATCTGGCCCTCAGGGCGCTTAAATGTGGCCCACAGTTCCACCCTAGAAACAGCAAAGGACCAGCCCGCGGTGCCTCTACCAGCGAAAATGGAGCTTGGGAGAGCTGGGCGCGCTACCGCTAAGGTCCATTTTCAGCGGCAGAGGGCTGTAGGAGGCTGTCACTCCAGTTTCACTTGCAGAGGACTAGCAAAACAAACTAAGAACAAAACAAAAGGAGAAATGTTTCCTCTTTTGCATTTGAGCATGCAAGAAGGGACAGGAAAGGAGAAAGGGATAGGAAAGACAAAGAAAAAGAAGGGGAGATGGGAAAAGAGCAAGGAAGGAAAAATAAGGAAAGAGGGGAAGGAAGAAGAAAGGAGAAGGAAGAAGGAAGGAAGGAAGGAAGGAAGGAAGGAAGGAAGGAAGGAAGGAAGGAAGGAAGGAAGGAAGGAAGGAAGGAAGGAAGGAAGGAAAGGAAGGGAAGGAAGGAAGAAGATTATAATGAGAGGAAGGTAGGGTCTGAGAGAAGTACTGCCTTAGCACTTGGCCACCACAGGTGCTCCCGACATGAGTGACATTGAGCTGGCCATGGCCCCCCTGTCCCCCCCCAAAGTCAAACACAACCCTGATGCGGCCCTCAATGAAATTGAGTTTGACACCCCTGGTCTGGTGGTTAAGGCACCAACCTAGAAAGCAGGAGACCTTGAGTTCAAGTCCCGCCTTAGTCATGAAAGTCAGCTGAGTAACCTTGGGCCAGTCCCTGTCTTTCAGCCTAACCCATCTCACAAGGGTGGTTGTTGTGGGGAAAACAGGAGGAAGAAGGAACATTAGATGTGTTTGACACCTTGAGTTATTCGTAAAAATAGTAAAGGTGGGATATAAATTAAATATAGTATAAATAAAGTATAATAAATAATTTATCAACAGATACCACATGGGGTCACTAGCTTTCGGCTCCCTTATCCTCACCATCGTTCAACTGATACGCATGGTACTAGAATATCTGGACCACAAGTTGAAAGGCAAGTGACAAACTGGCTTGACTTGATGACGAAATAGCCATTTTGGTTGGGTCTAAGACGCTCTACATGACTAGTGTGAATCTTTCAAAGTCAGGAGGGGTTTGGGAGATGGAATTCACCCGCTGGTGACAGAAATACGTTCTCCAGTCACATGCAGCCAAAATAGGCACAGAATTGCTTGCATGCAGCATGAGCTCCTGTACATCTGCACCTCGTCTAGCATGTAGTAGACAGACGTCACTTATTGGATCCCTTAAGCCCAGATTTTGCACCAGCCCTGCAGATGTTCGAGTGACTTACAGGTAGTCCTCGAGTCACGAATGTAATTGGAGCCTGCCCGTTCCATTCGTAACCCGAGGATCTGTGGGAGTGAATCTCATACCTTGAATGGGATCACTCCCTCCTTTCGCCCACGCATTTGTTAATCGAATGCGAGGCTCGTTAAGTGCACATGAGGTATTTCAGGGTGGGGAAGGCCATGAGGGGGCCTAGTGATGGAACAGATCACCTGATTAAGACCATACAAGACCACAGTGGGTTGGGGAGACCCACTGAAATACTTCATGCTCCTCACAATTGCTTCCCCCGCCCCCCATCTAACCTGCCACACGAGCTCACTTACCGTGTGAAGATCTAGCAAGCTGTCTCCTCTTCAGCATCTCAGCCATGTGCGCCCCTCTGCAGCTCCGTTTTGGCCTGCGCAGGCCTCACCTGGCAGTTTGCCGACCAAAATGGAGCTCCGTTTAGGCCAGCGCAGGCCTCGCATGACACAAGCTCCATTTTGAAAGTGCAGGACGAATGTTGCAGAGCCTCTGGGGTTGTTCGTAAGGGCGAACAACTGCCCTGGTGCTGCAAGATTCATGGTTTTGGGAGTTGTTCGTAAATACTAGGGGGGCAATGACTGCGTAACTTCAAACGTTCGCTAAGGGAACGCTCGTAACCTGGGGATTATCTGTACTTCCTACCAACACTTCAGAACATAAGTTTCAAGAAAATAGCAGCAATAGCGCTTAGCAATTGCACTTAGACTTATATATTGCCCCATAGTGCTTTACAGCACTCTCTGAGCGGTTTACAATGTCAACATATTGCCACCCAACAATTTACGTTTTCATTTTACTTGGAAGGATGGAAGGCTGAGTCAACCTTGAGCCCGTCAGGATCGAACTCTAGATTGCAGGCAGAATTTGCTTGCAATACTGCATTCTAACCACTGCGCCACCAGGGCTCCTCTCGTAGCAGTTCAGCCCATATTCTGAGAGTTAAATAGTGTTATAATCATAGCAATGTCTGTGGAGATTTTCAGTCATCCAGATCATGGTTGTTTCAAAGGTGCTTTTTCAAAGGGCAGCTGGACTGTTTTTTTTCCTTGAGGAAGAAGAAGAAAACGCTTCGCTTCTCATCCAAAAAGCTTTATCCGTTCTGACAGGATCAGAATTGATTCCTGTCAGAACTGATGAACCATCAGAACCGATGAAGCTTTCTGGATGAGAAGAAAATGTTTTTTTCTTCTTCTTCTTCCTCAATAAAAAAAAAAAAGAACAGGCCAGTTGCCTTTTGAAAAAAACACCTTTCAGACATAAGCCATGTTGGTCTTACTGTACTTCTAATTCTGCTTTGATATTTGCAGATTCCGAAAATCGAGTTGCCAAGTTTTTTCTATGCTGTCTGAAATGTTGCTTCTGGTGTTTGGAGAAATTCCTCAAATTCCTCAACCGAAATGCTTACATTATGGTGAGCCATGGCTGCTATTATTAAACTATCTCTCTCTCTCTCTCTCTCTCTCTCTCTTCTCTCTCTCTCTCTCTCTATATATATATATATATATATATGTGTGTGTGTGTGTGTGTGTGTGTGTGTGTGTACATGTACATATACATATACATATACACATACATACATATATATATAATTATATATATATATATTATATATATATATATATATATATATATATATATATATTATATATATATATATATATATAATATATATATATATATATATATATATATTATTTTTGGTGGCTGTGGACTGCAGGATTGAACAATAATATAATCATCATGCAAAGGTAGGGCTTGGAGGAAATTAAACCTCCCCAAAGTTCTGGTGCACCTGCTTTCTTCATTTCCCCTTTAAATTTAGGGAAATTCAAAATTTGGTAACCAAATTTGCTATTTTGTATGTAGGTCAAAAGGGGGTTGGCAATGGCACATGTCATGGATAAAACAATTCAGGTTTTCTTAAAAGTAGCAATAACACTTAGACTTATATACTGTTTCACAGTGCTTTACAGCCTTCTCTAAGTGATTTATAGAATCAGCATATTGCCACACAACAATCTGAGTCCTCAGTTTACCAACCTTGGAAGGATGGAAGGCTGAGTCAACCCTGAGCAGGTCAGAACTGAACTGCCAAACTTCAGGCAGCCGGCAGTCAGCAGAAATAGCCTGCAATACTGCATTCTAACCATGGTGCCACCAAGGCTCATATGGTATATGGCCATGATGGCTAACCTATGTCACGCATGCTACAGGTGGCACGTGGAGCCATATCAGTGGGCACGCGAGCGTTGCTCTAGTTCAGGTCCAGCATGCACGCGTGCACCGGCCAGCTGATTTACAGGCCTTCCAGGCCCACCGGAAGTCAGCAAATGGGCCGTTTCCGGCCTCCGGAGGGCCTCTGTGGGGGTGGGGAAGGCCGGTTTTCGCCCTCCCCAGGCTCCTAGAAAGCCTCTGGAGCCTGGGGAGGGCAAAAAATGGGCCTACTGCGCCCACTGTGCCATCACGTGCCAAAAGTGTGGGGAGCATGGGGGGGGTTGCATGCGCATGCGCAGGTGCTGGGGTGCATTGAATTTTGGGTGTGGGCACGCATGCATGTGACCTCCCGCGCTCTCCCCGCTTTTGGCACGTGACGGCAAAAAGACTCGCCATCGCTTGTATATGGTATATATATATATAATACGGTTTAAGGCCATTATCTTATTCTACTGCAGCAAAAGGAATAGAAATAGAAGTAATAGAAATAGAAATAATAGAAATAGAAATAGAAATAATATAGAATGAGTTGGAAGGGACTTTGGAGGTCTTCTAGTCCAGCCCCCTGCTCAGGAAGGAAAGCTTACATCCGTGATGGCGAACCTATGGCACGCGTGTCAGAGGTGGCACGCAGAGCCCTCTCTATGGGCACGCATGCCATCGCCAGCTGCTTTTCTGGTTTCCAGCGTGCCCAAGCACACCAGCCAGCTGCTCTTTCTGGGCGCCAGAGCACCAGAAAACAGGCCCAAAAACACCCAAAAAACCAGGCCGTTTTCAGGCTGTTTTTCAAGACAAAAACGCCCAGAAAACAGCTCAAAAATGGCCTGAAAATGGCCCCAAAATGGCCTGGAAACGGCCAAAAAACAGGCATGTGCATGCCCTCCAGCTGGTCTTCATGTTTCTGGCGCTCCGGCACACACACATGCACGTGTGTCCCGGTTTGGACACTTGGTGCTGAAAAGGTTCGCCATTCCTGCCCTATACCATTATATAGGCATAAATCAATGCCTCCTCTTTCTTTTTTCCCTTTTTCCGATACTTTTCCCTTCTCTTCTCTTCTCTTCTCTTCTCTTCTCCCTCCTTTACTTTCCCAGTACTATTATTTTTTATTTTATATTATATTATAAACTAATAAAAAAAAATCTCCCTTCATTTCAGATTGCCATTTATGGAAAGAACTTCTGTGCATCAGCCAAAAACGCCTTCAATCTCCTGATGCGGAATGTTGTCAGGTAACCAAGTTGGGACGATGGAGTCCCTGAGACAAGCTGGCCAAGGAAGGAGAAAAATATGGTCTCCATTTCACCTTTCTCTTCTTCTCAATACAGAGTCGTCGTCCTGGATAAAGTCACAGATCTGCTGTTGTTTTTTGGGAAGCTCCTGGTGGTAGGAGGAATTGGCATCCTGTCCTTTTTCTTCTTCACGGGGCGAATCCCCACTGAAGATCCCCGGTTCAAATCCCCAGTCCTCAACTACTACTGGTTGCCCATTATGGTATGTCGTGGTGGTGGTTTGGTTTGGTGGGCAATTACGTGGCTTCTTTCTGCCTCCTTGAAACCTTCTTAAAACAATTTTGGACAGGGAAGATCCAAAATTGGGATCTGAGGGCTGAGGTAGTCCTCGACTTGTGACCATAACATAGTCTGGAATTATGGTCATTGCAGTCATAAATTGAGGCATCCCGTGACTGAATCCTTTTTTTTCTTTTTGGGCAGCAGTTGTGAGGTAAATCCTTAAGCGAATGCCGCAGTCGTTAAACAAATCCATTTTACCCAATTGCCGTTTTTGGTTTTTTTGTTCTTTTGCCGGAAAGCAGAAATAAATAACAAAACTAGCAAAAATAAATTTTAAAAATCACAGCCGTGACTGTGGGACACTGCAAATGGCTGTAAAGGTGAGCTGGGGGGGGGGGCGGTGTCCATTGCAACTTTGTAAATGTAGCTTTTGAGGGGGTCCATCATTAAGCATCCAGTTGTAAATCAATGTACATACAGAATCTGGAGCTCTGGTAGTGCAGCAAACTAAAGCACTGTTATTAACATCAGCTGCCTGCAATTACTGCAAATTCAAATCTCACCAGGCGCAAGGTTGACTCAGCCTTCCATCCTTTCTAAGGTAGGTAAATTGAGGTCCCAGATTGTGGGGGCAATAAGCTGACTTTGTATAAATATACAAAAGTATGAAGGCTGTTGCTTAACGCATTGTAAGCTGCCCTGAGTCTCCGGAGAAGGGCGGCATATAAATAAATTTTTTTTAAAAAAGAATATTAAATCTATGAAAAGGTTCTGCAGGTCCGCTAGCCTCAAATGAGTGGGCTGGCATAAAATTGCATGGAATCGGTAGAGAAAAAAATGTTGCTTAGGGCAGTAAGAATGGAGAGAAAGAGTCAGAGAAACTTTAGGAAAGTGGTCATTAGCAAACTAGTGACTTAGACTATAGGCAACTGAATAGAATAGAATAGAATAGAATAGAATAGAATAGAATAGAATAGAATAGAATAGAATAGAATAGAATAGAATAGAATAGAATAGAATAGAATAGAATAGAATAGAATTCTTTATTGGCCAAGTGTGATTGGACACACAAGGAATTTGTCTTGGTGCATACGCTCTCAGTGTACATAAAAGAAAAGATACATTCATCAAGAATCATAAGGTACAACCAGAGGTGGGTTTCAGCAGGTTCTGACCAGTTCTAGAGAACCTGTAGTGGACATTTTGAGTAGTTCGGAGAACCGGTAGTAAAAATTCTGACTGGCCCCGCCCCCATCTATTCTCTGCCTCCCCAAGTCCCAGCTGATCAGGAGGAAATGAGGATTTTGCAGTAACCTTCCCCTGGAGTGGGGAGGAAATGGAGATTTTACAGTATCCTTCCACTGCCTCGCCCACCAAGCCACACCCACAGAACTGGTAATAAAAAAACTTGAAACCCACCACTGGGTTCAACACTTAATGATAGTCATAGGGAAACAGTCAATATAAATCGTAAGGATACCAGCAACAAGGTTAAAGTCATACAGTCATAAGTGGGAGGAATGGGTGAGGAACGATGAGACGATTAATAGTAGTTCAGACTTAGTAACTAGTTTGACAGTGTTGAGGGAATTATTTGTTTAGCAGAGGGATGGCGTTTGGGAAAAAACTGTTCTTGTTTCTAGTTGTTCTGGTGTGCAGTGCTCTATAGCATCGTTTTGAGGGTAGGAGTTGAAACAGTTTATGTCCAGGATGTGAGGGGTCTGTAAACATTTTGTGAACCACTCTTCAGACAAGGTATGGTTGATAAGAGAAAGAATAGAAAGTAAGAGTACAGAAAAGAGCAGCAAAGATGATTAGGGGACTGAAGGCTGAAACATATGAAGAATGGCTGCAGGAATTGGGTATGTCTAGCTTAATGAAAAGGAGACTAGGGTTGATAGGATAGCAGTATTCAAGTATTTGAGGGGCTGCCACAGGGGTGAAACCTACTTACCTTCCCTACTGGTTTGGAAGTGCTCACACGCGCACCATCTTCACATCCCATTTTGGACCCTCTGGTTACTTCCCAGTTAAAACCAGGAAGTAACGACGTCCAGACGGGTGGGCAGAGCCTCGTGCTACCACCGCTACCGGTTCACCGAACCATGCGGCGGCGCTACCGGTTTGCCTGAACCGGAGTGAACCAGTAGCATTTCACCACCTTTTTTCTAAAACACCTGAAGGCAGGACGAGAAGCAATGGATGAAAACTAATCAAGGCGAGAACCAACCTAGAACTAAGGAGAAATTTCCTGATGGTTAGAACCATTAATCAATGGAATAATTTGCCTCCAGATGTTGTGGGGGCTCCATCACTGGAGGTTTTAAAGAAGAGATTGGACAACCTCTTGTCTTAAATGGTATGTAGGGTTTCTTGCTTGAGCAGGGGGTTGGACTAGAAGACCTCCAAGGTCCCTTCCAACTCTGTTATTCTGAATATAAATTGTGAACCACCAATTGCATCTTTAAGAACATTTATTTATTTATTTATTTATTTATTTATTTATTTAATTAATTAATTAATTAATTAATTAATTTGTATACCGCCCTTCTCCCAGAGGGGACTCAGGGTGGTGAACAGCCAAAATTAAAAAACATACAAATACAAAAGTTAAGATAATTAAAAAGAATTACATGATTCACTTCAGGGTTGACACATGGTTGATAGGAATATCATAAAGTCAATTGCATCCCACCGTATTCTAAAACTGAAATCTCACCGTCTTCCATTTCTCTCTCATTTCTTTCCTCTCTTTCTTTTGCTTCAGACTGTGGTTGTAAGTGCCTACCTCATCGCCCAAGGATTCTTCAGCGTCTACAATATGTGTGTTGACACGCTGTTCCTCTGTTTCTGTGAGTATTCCTCCTCACTTCTCCCTTGGATCCCGTTTCCCTAAGAGCAGTGTTTCTCAAAGTGTGATCCAAGGAAACTTGAGGGATCCCCAAGATCCTCTCAGGGGGGGTCTGTGAGATCAAAATTATTTGCCAGTCTTAATAATACAATATTAAAATCCCATCGAACAATGGTGAGAAGTGGTAGTGGTAGCAAATGTATTAATTTTAAAGTTTAATACGGTAAATATCAATACATATAACCCATACAAGGAGGTGTGGCAGCTCAGTGACTTCAAAGACACCGGAGAAGGTTTAAACTCCAGCGCTTTGAGTCCTACCACTGTGTGACAGAGCGAGTTCCCATTACTTGCCTCTACTCCTGCCAACCTAGTAGTTGGGAAGCATGTACCGTAAATGCGAGTAGATAAATAGGTACCACTTCACTAGAAAGCTAAGAGCTTTCAGTGTTATGCCGTGGGTTTTGCACTGTGATGTGATGTCATTCTGGTCTCATGTCCGTGGAAACATCTTTGGACAGCGCTGGCTCAAGGGCTTAAAGAAATGGAGATAACCATTGCCTCCTAAATTCGGCTACAACTAGGGATGTTAAACCCACAGGGACTCTTTTACCTTTTTATAACCCATACAGACAAAAGCTCTTTTGGGGTCATCCATAATTTTAAAAGGTGGGGGGAGGGGTTCGGCTGCGACAGCCTCCTGCAGCCCTGTGCCAGTGAAAAGAGAGTCCAGGGAGGTTGCGCGCGGCCTGCCCAAGCTCTGTTTTTGGCCGCGACAGCCTCTTGCAGCCCTCTGCCAGCAAAAATGAATCTTGGGGAGGCCGTGTGCGGCCCATCCAGGCTCTGTTTTTGGCCATGACGGCCTCCTGCAGCCCTCTGCCAGTGAAAACGGAGCCCAGGCGACCTCCCTGAGCTCCGTTTTCGCTGGCAGAAGCACCATGGGCTGGTCCTTCGCTGTTTCTAGGGTAGTCCTGCGGGCCAGATCTAAGCACCCCGTGGGCCGGATGTGGCCCGCGGGCCTTGAGTTTGACACCCCTGTTCTAGAGAGTATACCAGCCTTCTCCAATCTGGGGAAACTCCTCCAGATAGGTTGCGGCTGCTTCAGTTTGGGGTTTAGTCCCAAATATATCTGGTGCTCTGGTTAAAGGTAATAGATTTGGAGCAGGGGTGGGTTCTACTTATCTTTACTACCGGTTCAAAAAAGGAGCACGCATGCTTCTGCACATGCGCAGATCGTCCCTGATGACGTCCGGGCAGGTGGGCGGAGCTTCCCACCGCTTTTACTACCAGTTCGCAAGAACCGGACCGAACCAGGAACAACCGATCAGTGATTTGGAGGAGGGAGTCTTGAGTTCTAATCCTGCCTTGGGTACCAAACTCAGCTATGTGTCCTTGAGCTAGTCACAGTCCCTAGGAAGACATTTTCCTGGCAAATTAACCAGTGGAATGACTTGCCTTCAGAAGTTATGGGTGCTCCATCACTGGAGGTTTTCAAGAAGAGATTGGACAGCCACTTGTCTGGAATGGCATAGGGCAGTGATGGCTAACCTTTTTGCCTTCGCGTGCCAAAAGTGGGGGAGCATGGGTCACGCACATGCGTGGCCATACCCATAATTCAATGCCCCCCATGCCCCATCCCCTGTGCATGGCCACGCTATCCCCGCTTTTGGCACACGACAGCAAAAAGGTTGCTGGTGGGCCTGGTAGGCCCGTTTTTTGCCCTCCCCAGGCCCCAGAGGCTTTCTTGGAGCCTGGGGAGGGTGAAAACAGCCTCCCCCACCCCCCTGGAGGCCCTCCAGAGGCCGGAAACGGCCCGTTTCCCGACTTCCGGTAGGCCCAAAATTCAGCTGGCTGGCACGCTGGAGCTGAACTAGGGCAACGCTTGCATGCCCACAGATATGGCTCCGCGTGCCACCTGTGGCACACGTGCCATAGGTTCACCACCACGGGCATAGGATCTCCTGTTCAAGGAAGAGGTTGGACTAGAAGACCTCCAAGGTCTCTGTCATCTCTGTTATTCTATCTACTTCTATGAAAACGTTGCTAAGAGAATGTCAGGGAGCTGTCCATGGAGTCAGCAGGAATCAAGGACCCAGAACAGTTATCTGGAGAGTCTCAAGCTGGAGAAGAATTGTATCATACTAGCCCACCTGGTGTAAATACCTTCTCTTTGTCCTCTTAGTGGAAGACCTGGAGCGAAATGATGGTTCCGAGGAAAAGCCGTATTTCATGTCCAAGTCTCTTATGAAGATCCTGAACAAGAAAAATAAGGCAGTCAAGGACAAATAGAAAAACCTGGGGCTGGAGGAAACTCATCAACTTATGATATTGGTCCCCATCATTTCTTCATCATTTTTTTTTTCATCTACATCAGAGACAACTTAATGTACTTCCCTTCCCCTTCACACAATGTTGTGGACTTCCACAAGATGACTTGAAACTCTTCAATTTATTTTATTTTGTTGGGTTGCCATATTGCCTTTTACAGAAAACAATCCACCCATATTGCTGTTTATTGTGCAGATTGTCTATTTATGAATAATTGATCTATTTAATTTAATCTCCCGTGCCATGGTCTGTTTGGAATCCGTGTTTCGATCTCCGTCTTCCCGAACCTTTTCTGCTTCAGAATAAGCCACTCCCGCTTCCTTGGTTTGGGGTTCCATGATAGGTTCCTCAATTCAACCTATCATGGCTGTTTTGCACTCGTTCTGGCCAACTGTCTTTTCTGATGGGTCAAAATCAGGGCTCTTTTCATAGTCTTTGGTTGTCCATTTGTAAAATACAACCTCCTTTTTAGCTACGTTCCGGGCTAAATCAGGCAGTGGTGAACCACAACTAAGCTCCTTCTTAAAACGTGTCCTGCAGAAGTACATCTTCTCCTGTTGCCACCACCCGTGTGGAATCTCTTGTGTGGACTTTTCTGAAGGAAAAGTCAACGTGGTTCCCTGGCACGTTGAGTGGATACCCTCTGGAAGAGTGTCTTGGACCAGGTGTTCCAGATGTTCTCCAGATGTTTTGAATGTGAACTTCTGAGCTGGAGTCAGGAGTCGAAATCATTTTGATTGCTCGGTCCATCCTTCTTCAGCTTTGGTGACTGTTAGCACATGGTTGGCCTTTTCGGAGGTACTTGGAGCATTTTCTAAAGGGCTGTTCCTACCCTGTCTCTCTGATTTATATTTTTATCCTTGACTATTTTTAGAGGATTAAACCCAGTGTGTTGTTGAATTCCTGTTTCTGGCTTCTTCCCCAGCCAAAGACTTTTCTGAAACTGGAAATTATTCCAAGGTGCCATCTTGTATTTCAGATCAAATTGTTCCTTTTTTCCTCCTGAGCCAATTCTCTTTCTGAATGTCTTACTGGTGGAATTGTTCAATATTGCACTGGCCAAGCACCAAATGACAAATGGTTTTCGGTATGCTGAATGTTGGCCATCTTATTTCCTAAGTGCCTTTGTGGATAAACTCCATGTCCGATATTGTGATGCCAACATTTGGCCCGAGTTTGATTTACAAACCAGCTTAATTCATGCCAACTTCCTGTCACCTCTATTTTTTGCTTTGTTTCCCTCACTTTTATCTTCCTGCAGTCTTCTGCGTTGGTTTTCTTTTCTCTTTCCAGGGTATCTCTTGCCATTAAAATAAAAAAAATCATAAACACAATATTATGGCAAGATGCAAAACACTGCTCTTCGGATCAATTTATATCTTATGCAAGGGTGCTGTTGCAGGCATTTTCTGTACATAGCTTTTCCTCATGTATAAAAATGAAAAAATTGTTTTATACAAAGAATACGTGCATATTAAATATGATTTTAATAAGTGATTGTGGTCTTCCTTCTGTTCGTTGAGTCTCATTTTGCTAATAAGGGTTTACCTATTCTGCCCCAGCTACGGACCCCAAAGAACGCAGCACACACAAAGTCTATTCAAACCTTAGTTTACTAAATAAACCAGTTTTTTACAACAATGGCTGTTAATTAACTGCATTAACAGCTGCCAAGAATTCAAAGAATAATACTGAAAGCTTACTGTGGTTGGCAGAATGCCCAGAAGCAATTTGTAGGAAGCTGATAACATAAGCAAGACAAGACACGAAGGTATGTGAACGAAGTTGTTCCCTGCAAATTGCTTCAGTCGGCGTTCCTCCTTAAATAGGCTAAGGGAGTGGCCAATTAGCCCCAAGCCTTACTCTCGAGGAGACCTCCTCCTGAGGAGCCACTCCTGCCTTTTGGCAGCTCTGCGTGCCCATGCATTGAGAAGAGGCTCCTCCTCTTCATCCTCTTCACTTAAAGGAGTTTCTGGAAGTTCTGAAGGCCCTGGCTGAATCCCCGCCTCTGGCACCACATCTTCTCCAGCCTCCTCATTGTCCGACTCAAGTGCCAGCTGCACAGGCACAGCACCACACCAGCCTCCTCGCTGTCTGAATCAGCTACTAACTGCACAGGCCGCTGACGGGCCACAATATTATCTGGTTCACTCTTTTATCAGCCCTGGGATTTTCCTCAGCAAGAAGCTACCAATCAGAAAATGAGCATCCAAAGATAAGAGAGGCAGCCTTACTGCACAGGTAGCCCTCAACTTGCAACCACAACCTAGCCCAAAATTTCTGTCGCTGAGCGAGACATTTGTTAAGTGAGGTTTTCCCCCCATTTACGACCTTTCTTGCCACAGTGGTTAAGTGAATCACTGCAGTCCTCTACTAACATGATTGCTAAGTGAATCTGATTCCCCCGTTGACTTTGCTTGCCCGAAGGTCACATGACCCCTCTCCCCCCCAGGACACTGCATCATAAATATGAGCCAGTTGGCAAGCATCTGAGTTTTGATCACCTGACCATGGGGATGCGGCAACGATCGTGTGAAAAATGGTCACGAGTCACTTTTTTCAGTGCCGTCGTTACTTTGAACGGTCACTAAACTGTTATAAGTCAAGGGCTATCTGTAGTTTCAATTTTTTTTAAAAAAAAACCGTTTTCTGAATTCTGGGTTAGTCGGTCATTCTGAAAGCCACAGAATTCCAGAAAATACAGCTAACCCAACAGATGGTGAAGATTTTGATGTTGAATCTCCTCATCGTGTTTTGGTTCTTGTCTGATTTTCATTAAAATGGGCCACCCTCTAGTACAGTGGTTCTCAACCTTCCTAATGCCGCGACCCTTTAATACAGTTCCTCATGTTGTGGTGACCCCCAACCATAAAATTATTCCTAAAACCATTGAAAATATGTGTTTTCCAATGGTCTTAGGCGACCCCTGTGAAAGGGTCGTTCGACCCCCAAAGGGGTCGCGACCCACAGGTTGAGAACCACTGCTCTAGTAAAAAAACCCAAAGGAACCACAGAAACATCAGAGGAGGCTTCATATTGACATTTTAATTTATTTCAGGCAGTGAATTTCTAAAACAGCATCTTCTAGCTTGCAAAATCTTCTGAGGAGAGCTCTCCTCACTACAGGGAAATGCAACCCCATCCCCCATCAACGTTCATCCAGCAACATATACCTTCCCTCCCCAAGCAATGAAAATCAAAACACCACCCCATTCAATCAACATCTGCTCATTATTTCCATTCACCAAGCAGCGAGTTCTCGTTCTTTGGCATCTCTTGTTCTTTGGATCTTGAAGGTCGGGTTCAAATGGGAGGAAGCAAGAGATGGCCTGAAAATGAGGGGTGGGGGGGAGAAATAGCATTATTATTGCTTTCTGAGGACTCCCTGAATCGTTAAGTGTCACAGGTGGTGTGAGATTCATCATTGCTTAAAGCCTAGGAAGGAATGCTTTGAAGGGAAGAAGATGGTTTGCCAAAGAACTGAAGTACCGGAGCCAACAGTACTTCAGTTACCACATGACATGACTGGTTCCAGAGCAGGATGCAGGTTAGGGTTAGGGTCGTTCCTTCCTCCCTCCCTGCCCCTCCCTCCTTTCCTTCCTTTCCTCCCTCCTTTCTGTCTTTTCTCCCTCCATCCTTCATTCCTTCCCTCCCCCCTCCTCCTTCCCTCCCTTCTTTCTTCCTTCCTTTCTCCCTGCCTTTTTTCCCCTGCTTTCCTTCCTTCCTGCCTTCCTTTTCTCTCTCTCTTTCCTGTGGTGGCGCAGTGGTTAGAATTCAGTATTGCAGGCTAACTCTACTGACCGCTGACTGCCAGCAGTTTGGCAGTTCGATCCTGACCGGCTCAATATTGACTCAGCCTTTCATCCTTCTGAGGTGGGTAAAATGAGGACCCAGATTGTTGGGGGCAAATATGCTGACTGTGTAAACCACTTAGAGAGGGCTGTGAAGTGGTATGTAAGGTATGTATGTATGTAAGTGGTATGTATGTATGTAAGTGGTATGTAAGGTATGTAAGTGGTATGTTATTGCTATTGCTTTCCTTTCCTTCCCTTCTCCTCCTCTCTCCTTCCTCCCTCTTACAGAGTTCATCCACCAAGCCAGTGGTGGGTTTCAAATTTTTTTACTATCGGTTCTGTGGGCGTGGCTTGGTGGGCATGGTGTGGCTTGATGGGTGTGGCTTGGTGGGCATAGCAGAGGAAGGATACTGTAAGATCTCCATTCCCTCCCCCCTCCTGGGGGAAGGATATTGCAAAATCTCCATTTCCTCCCAATCAGCTGGGGCTTGGGAGTCAGAGAATAGATGGAGTCAGAATTTTTACTACCGGTTCTCCGAACTACTCAAAATTTCCGCTACTGGTTCTCCAGAACTGGTCAGAACCTGCTGAAACCCACCTCTGCACCAAGCCAAACCCCTTGAAAAGCACCCGGAGGCTCCAACTGGTCCAGAATGCGGCCGCGCGGGTGGTTATGGGCGCAACTCATTGTGCCCACGTGACACCCCTCCTGCGCGAGCTGCACTGGCTCCCAGTGGTCTTCCGGGTGCGATTCAAGGTGTTGGTTACCACTTTTAAAGCGCTCCATGGCATTAGACCTGGATACCTTTGAGACCGTCTTCTGCCACCAGTAGCCTCCCACCGGCCAGTTCGCTCCCACAGAGAGGGTCTCCTCAGGGTGCCATCAGCCAAATTATGTTGGCTGGCAACACCCAGGGGGAGGGCCTTCTCTGTGGGAGCCCCTGCCCTTGGAATGAACTGCCCCCAGAAATTCGCAAAATCTCTGATCTCCGTGTATTTCGCTGTGCCCTCAAAACCTTGTTGTTCCACCAGGCTGGGCTATCAATGTAAAGATTTTAATTGGTTTTTAAATATGGGATTTTAAATTTGGGGTTTTATAATTGGGCCTATCATTTAATAATTTTAATTATTTTTAAATTTTGTCTGTCTTTGTGTACAGCCTTTTAATCAGGCTGTACACCGCCCTGAGCCCTTCGGGAGAAGGTCGGTATAGAAATAAAATAAAATAAAATAAAATAAAATAAAATAAAATAATAAAATAAAATAAAATAAAATAAAATAAAATAAAATAAATAAATAAATAAATAAATGGAGGACGTAACTGTATGTGCCCAGCATCTCCAGTGTGGTGAAAGCTGGTCTCCCCACTCTAACTCTTTATTGCGGTCCAGTTCCCATCCACAAGTGTTTCCTTTGCCTCTTTCAAAGGTCAGCAATGGGCCAGCCCTGGTTGCCATTCCCACACTCTCAGCCTTGTTCCTGTGACTTACTTTGTCCCTCTGGAAAGTGCTTTCTTGCCGTGGCCCAGTGGGCCTGCAGGCGTTGAAGGAGCCGGTCCTTCTCCTCTCCTTCTCGCAGAGCTTTCTGCCAAAAATAGAAGAGGAAGGTGAAGTTGAACCTGAGCAAATAGGAGGAGTAAATCCAGGGATATCTGGGAAGGGGCAGAAGTTCAAAGAAGTCAACATGGCGGCTGTAGCCTTGCCATCAAAGCTCCCTCCTTTTTTTTTTTAACATGGGAACACGTGGCTGCCATCTTGATTATTTTTGACACCCGTGGACTTCCCTGAGTAAATCTTTCCTGCTGAAAAAGCACCACTTAGTTCCACATGGAAACCGCTTCTGAACTTTTTGCTTGGAGCGGAAAAGAATGAAACTATGATTTGGGGTTTTACCGATTAGATTGATAGATTTTTACAGAAATGGCTTGTTCATATTATTATGAAAAACCCAAAAGTTGTGATTCTTGTTAATGCCTTATTTTACTGCAACAGAGAGAGTTGGAAGTCGATGTTTTTCTTTTTTTCTTATCCTTCTTCACTTCTTTTCTCCTTCTTCCTCCTCACCATTTTCCTATTTACTTTTGTGTTTGTATCTTATCTTCTTTTAATGACCCCATAATCCCTTGCGGGGTAGAGTCTGGGCAACTGAATGGAGCTGAGTGTTAACTGGCCAGATACCCTTCTTGTCGCCAATATGGAGTCATATTCAGCAGATATATTCTCAACGTGCCCAGAGAGAGAAATATCTGCTCTACCTAGGATCAAACTCACAGCCTCCTGATTGTGAGACGAGAGCTCCACCTCTAGGCCACCACACCACACCACTCATCTTATTTTATCTTATAACCCAATAAAAATGTTAAACTGAAAAGGCACTACTTTGGAGAAAACTCTGCTGGTGATTAATCCTGTATGAAGGGAAATTGTTACATACAGGGAGTCCTCAACTTACGACTGGTCCCTTAGCGACCATAGTACTGTCCAGACAATACTGGTAGTCCTCAACTTACAATCGTTCATTTACCGACTGTTCAAAGTTACAACAGCACTGGAAAAAGTTACAACCGGTCCTCACCCTTACAACTGTGGCAGCATCCCCAAAGTCATGTGCTCAAAACTTGGGCCCTTAGTAACCACGTAGTCCTGGGTCATGTGATCACCAATTGTGAGCTTCCCAACAAGTCAAATCAATGGGAAAGGCCAAATTCATTTAGTTAAGTGAATTTGCTGTGATTTGCTTAACAACCCTGGGGGGAGGGGGAAGGTTGTACAATTGAGAGTGGGTCACTTAACAACTACCTTGTTCGGCAGTAGACGTTGTGGTCACAATTGTGGTTGTTCAGTTGAGGACTACCTGTAATTTGGATAAACACTGAGTGTTTCTGACCCCAAATCTGAGAACCTTCTTCCCGTCATTCAATTGTCTCCCAAGTCTAGTGCAAATGCCTTAATAACTTTGATCACCTCCAGCGCATGTGCCTTTAGGTTCTCCATCTCTTGGAGTCCAGCCAATTTTGTGCAATGTTCCTCTAGGAGAACAGCTCCTTGGCTTAGTTTGGCTTCAGCCTGGGCCAGCAGCCTGCGGAGTTGTGCAGTATCCTGGCCTCGTTCTTTGGCATCCTGAGATTGTTGACGTAGCTGCTCCTAAATAGGAGTAGAAGCGGTTTACTTCCACAGAGAAGGAGTACAATCAAAAAACATTTTAAGTTGCACTGGCCAATAGTTGAAGTGACTGTACATGTACAGGTAGTCCTCGACTTACGACTACAATTGAGCCCAAAATTTGTTGTTGAGAAATTTGTTAAGTGGGTTTTGCCCTACTTTACGACTTTTGCAGTCATAAAGTATTTATGAATGCAGTTATTAAATTAGTAACATGGTTGTAAAGTGAATCGGGCTCCCCCATTGACTTTGCTTGTCAGAAGGTCACAAAAGGTAATCCCATGACTCCGGGACACTGCAACCGTCATAAATAGGAACCAGTTGCCAACCATCCAAATTTTGATTAGATGATCATGAGGATGCTGCAATAGTCATAAGTGTGAAAAATGGCCGTAAGTCAACTTTTTTCAGTGGTGTTGTAACTTCCAACAGTCACTAAATGAGCTGTTGTAAGTCGAGGACTATCTGTACTGCAGTTTTACACATAAAGTAGATCACGGGTGTTAAACTCGATCGTGTCATGGGCCGGATCATAATGTATCACAACCTTTTTTGCCTTTGCAGAGCTGGGGTGGGCGTGGCCTTCCTGTGATGTATCCAGCCCGCCGGCCGCCAGTTTGACAGGCCTAAAATAGATTTAGCTCATCTGGTTTTAGCTCTCCTAGTTGTTTTATCCTATGAGGGATCAATCTCGCAAGTCAGAAAGTACACTTCTCTTCTCCCCACCCTCCACCTTCTTTACCTCTTGAGAAACTAGGGAGAGTCCCTTCCAGAGGTGGGCTGCTGAGGGTTTGCAGGGGTTCGGGAGAACCTCTAGCTAAGATTCTTTGCAGTTTGGAGAACCCCCAAATTCCACTCCTGGCTGGCCCCGCCCATCTTGCCCCTCCCCTTCCAGAAGTCCCCATGCAGCCTGTTTTGGACACAGGTAAGAGCAGGGTGCACGTGGAGGCTCAGGGAAGGCGAAAAATGGGCCTACTGGAATGGGCCTCCAGAGCCTGGAAAGGCCATTTTTGCCTTCCCGAAGGCTCAAAGAAGGCCTCCGGAGCCCAGGGAGGGCAAAAATGCCACCCCCCCCAACATGGTGCAGAAGGGCGACTAGGCCACGCCCACCATGGCCACGCCCACCCAGCAACCAGGCAGAAAACCACTTGCTAAAATTTTTGAAGCCCATCCCTGGTCCCTTCTAAGCTTCTTGCCCCACCCACTATCCAGCTGTGGGCTATGCTGCCTCTTCTCTGACAATTCCATTGGTAGAGTCTCTTTGCCAAGCCCCCCCCGCCCCCCGAAGGTCTTTCCCACATGCCATCACAAGATCGAAGACAAGATTGAAGAGAAGGACCAATCTTCTTTAAGGTTCCCGAATCACGGGATGCTCCCCGTCGTACCTATTATTTACCTGGAGTTTGTGTTCTCGGGCACTGGCTGCATCTTCTACCACCTGCAGCTGCCTCTGCCACTCGGCCTGGAGCCGGGCCTGTTCAGCCAAGGACTGGGCCAGCAAATCCTCCTTCTCCTGGATCTGCTGGAGCAACGCTGGAGCCAAGTCGGAGCTGCTGAGGGAATTTGCAAGAGCCTAGATAGAGAGGCGGAAGAAGAATAGAATAACAGAGTTGGAGGGGACTTTGGAGGTCTTCTAGTCCAACCCACTGCTCAAGCAAGAAACCCTATACCAGTGATGGCTAACCTTTTTGCCATTGCGCGCCAGGAAGGGGGGGCAGGGGAGGTTCACGTGCACGTGTGCCCACACCCATAATTCTATGCACCCCGCCCCGCGCATGACACCCCTCCCGCTCCTGGCATGTGATAGCCCAGTAGGCCCGTTTTTCTTCCTCACCTGGCTCCAGATCCACTCTATGCATCTGAGGAGGGTGAAAACAGCCTTTCCCACTCCCTCGGAGGCTCTCCAGAGGCCTGAAATGGCCTGTTTCCCAACCTTCGGTTGTAGAGAGGCTCTGGAGATTGGGGACAGCAAGAAAGTCACTTCCTGTACAATTGGAAGTTGGAAAATGGGTTGTTTCAGGCCTCCAGAGGGCCTCCGAGGGGGTGAGGAAGGCTGTTTTCGCCCTCCTCAGATGCATAGAGAGGATCTGGAGCCAAGTGAGAAAGAAAAACGGGCCTTCCCCCCCCCCAGGCCCTGCGGAGGCAGGAAACAGCCTGTTTCACTACTTCTGGTGGGCCCAGAAGACCTGAAAATCAGTTGGTTGGTGTGCGCATGCGTGCCGGAGCTGAGCTGGTGTGCCAGGCGACATGGCTCCGCGTGCCACCCGTGGCACACGTGCCATAGGTTCATCATCACGGCCCTATACCATTTCAGACAAATGGTTGTCCAATATCTTCTTAAAAACTTCCAGTGTTGGAGCATTCACAGCTTCTGGAGGCAAGCTGTTCCACTGATTAATTGTTCTAACGGTCAGGAAATTTCTCCTGAGTTCTAAGTTGCTTCTCTCCTTGATTAGTTTCCACCCATTGCTTCTTGTCCTGCCCTCAGATGCTTTGGAGAATAGCTTAACTCTCTTTTCTTTGTGGCAGCCCCTGAGATATTAGAAGACTGCTATCATGTCTCCCCTAGTCCTTCTTTTCATTAAACTAGACACACTCAGTTCCTGCAACCGTTCTTCATATATTTCAGCCTCAAGTCCTCTAATCATCTTTGTTGCTCTTCTCTGCACTCTTTCCAGAGTCTCCACATCTTTTTTATATCGTGGTGACCAAAAGTCACCCAATCTGGAAAGGGCCATCTTCTACAGTAAAAATGTTTGAAGGTGCAGGTAGGGTAGTGGGGGAAGGTGCTGGATTAGAAGCAGAGAGGCCCAGGACATAATCATCTCTCAGCCATGTAGTTTCCCTGGAGTACTCTGAGCCAGCCCCTCTCTTACAACCCAACAACCATTGTGGAGCAGAAGGGAAGATTCTGGGCCAGGAAAAGAGAGACCCAGGTTCTAATCATCCTTCAACCACGAAAGCTGTATGGAACCCACTTTCCACCCAACCTACCTCAGAAGATTATGACTGTGTAGAAAAATAAGAGGAAAAGCACCATTAGGGTGCCTCAAGGTCCTGAATAAAAGGCGGGAGACAAAAACAGGTAGTCCTCAACTTACGACCAGAATCGAACCCAATGTTTCCGTTACTAAGTGAGACAGTTGTTAAAAGAGACTTCTGCCCCATTTTATGACCTTTCTTACCACAGTTATTAAGTAAATCTCTACAATTGTTAAGTTAGTAACATGGTTGTTAAGTGAATCTGGCTTCCCCATTGACTTTGCTGGTCAGAAGGTCGCAAAAAGTGATCACATGATCCCCCGGGACATTGCGACCGTCATAAATAGGAGTCAGTTGCCAAGTGTCTGAATTTTGATCACGTGACCACGGGGATGCTGCAATGTCAGTCATAACTTGCTTTTTCCAATGCCGTTGTTAACTTCGAACGGTCACTAAATGAATGGTTGTAAATCGAGGACTACCTGGACAACGTATCGATAACTAAAATCTGAATTTGGTAGAGGAAGAGCTACCTCCACATCCTTGGTGCTACTGGTCAAAGCTTCCTGGAGGGCTTTAATTAAGGTTTCCTTCTCCTTCAAAGTGAAGACCAAGGTTTGGCCCTGCAGTTGCCAGAACTCCTGAGTTGAGGTACAGAGAGACTCCAGGCGATGGATTTCCCGCTCCTTCTGGTTCAAAAGCTCCCTCAGAGCCTGAGACATTGGGGGAAGGGAAGGAGAAGAAGGGCCAGAGAAGGTAAAAAGCTTCCAGACAACCCAACAACTGCAAATTCTCGTCTGTCCCAAGTCTCCCTCTCGATATTCATTAGAGATTTTACACCAAGGATGTTGTGGCCCATCAGTGGCCTGTGCAGCTAGTAGCTGATTCCGACAGCGAGGAGGCTGGTGTGGTGCTGCGCCAGCAGCCTGTGCAGCTGGCACTCGAGTCGGACAGCGAGGAGGCTGTAGAAGATGTGGTGCCAGAGGCAGGGATTTAGCCAGGGCCTTCAGAATCTCCAGAAGCTCCCATAAGTGAAGAGGAAGAAGAGGAGGAGCCTCATCTCAATGCACGGGCGTGCAGAGCTGCCAAAAGGCAGGAGTGGCTCCTCAGGAGGAGGTCTCCTCAAGAGTAAGGCTTGGGGCTAATTGGCCACTCCCTTAGTCTATTTAAGGAGGAATGCCGACTGAAGCAATTTGCAGGGAACAACTTCGTTCATTCTCCTTCGCGTCTTGATCTTAGTTCTCTGCAAATTGCTTCTGGGCTTTCTGCCAACCATAGTAAGATTACGATTATTTATTCTTTGGATTCTTGTAGGCTGTTAAGAAAGTTAATTAACAGCCTTTGTTTGAAAAAAAACTGATTTAATTTAGTAAACTAAGGTTTGTACAGACTTTGTGTGTGCTGCGTTCTTTGGGGTCCGTAGCTGGGGCAGAACAAAGGGTCATTCCTCCGACCTTTGGAAAAATCGACATGATGGCTAGTCCTTGATTTATGACTCTAATGGACTCTGCCCATGATGGTCTTAAGTCATGAGAGTCGCAAAGCAGGTCACCGACGTGACTGACCCAATTTTATATAAACTTTTTTTTTGCAATGGTCGTTAAGCGAACGGCATGGAGTGGTGCAGTGGCCTAGAGGTGGAGCTCTCGCCTCATGATCAGAAGGTTGTGAGTTCAATCCTAAATAGCGGCAGATATTTCTCTCTCAGGGCACAATGAGTAATTACCGTATTTTTTGGAGTATAAGACGCACCGGTGTATAAGTCGCACCTTAGTTTTTGGGGAGGAAAATAAGAAAAAAAGCTGATTGGCGGGTAGATCGGCCTCCCGGAATACCCCCAATCAGCTGTTCCCAGAGGTGAATTTTAGCAACAGGTTCCTTGGTTGTGAGCTCTGTGCCTTGCTTTTTTTTTGCTTTTTTTCTGCCTCTGAAACTTCTGAAACTCCGTTTCAGAAAAAACTTTTTTTCCTGCCTCTAAAAGCCTCCGAAAGAGAGCTTCAGAAAAAAAGCCTGAAGCTCTGTTTGAGGGCTTTTTTTCTGAAGCTCTGTTTCTGATGCTTTTTTCAGCCTCTGAAACCTCTGTTTGAGAAGCTGGGCGGGGCTACATTCAGAGTATAAGACGCACCCAGATTTTCACCCTTTTTTTTGGGGAAGGAAAGGTGCGTCTTATATTCCGAAAAATACGGTATATGCTGCAAACTCTGCATTGACAATAGGAATGGCATCCAGCCAGTCAACACTCTGCTCCATTCAGTTGCCCCAACTCCACCCCTATGTAAGGGATTGTGGGGTCATTAAAAGACATAAAAAATTAAGCGAACGGCATGGTTGTTAAGCAACCATTGTAAAGTGAGTGCCGTGGCCATAAAATGAGGCCCTTGTTTCCTGTGAGCCGATTCTGCTGAAAACTAGAACCAAATGCTAGTTTTCAACAAAACCATCATAAATATGATCATGGGAACAGATGGTTGTTGCGAATGGCTGGAAGTGTGGGCCAGTTGCTAAGCACCATGATCACGGGGAAGTGGGCCGGACATTGGAATTTCGGAACCGGTGTCGTAAGTACTTCTGAGGAGGTCTGTTATAACTTTAATGGTCACTAAGCAACCACTGTAAATTGAGGACTACATCGGTTCATACAGCAAGAATGCATACTTAAAAAAGAAAATAGAACATATGTTATTAAAAACATATAAATGTATAAATAACATGTAAACAAATAAACAAGGTGTGATACAATATATCTGGCATGAAACAATCAGTCAATGCTTCTCTATGGTTCTAGAGGCAAGAAACTTGGAAAGAAGGAAAATGCAATATTGTTAAATACTATTTGAAGTTACACTATACTTCCATGTCGGAAGCACCAAAGCATTTCCATGGTGAAAGGATCAACTGGTGACATCACCATTGCCTGAGGGATGCCCAACTGGGGGCTCCTTTTGCATCCCTGTTAGGTTTTCCACCAAAGTGGTACCCATCTATCTACTTGCAGTCGTCCACTTTCAAACAGTTTGTGGGGGCAATAAGCTGACTTTGTATAAATATACAAAAGTATGAAGGCTATTGCTTAATGCACTGTAAACCGCCCTGAGTCTCCGGAGAAGGGCGGCATATAAATCAAAAAAAAAAAAAAAAACTGCTGGGTCGACAGGAGCTGGAGTGAGTGATGGGAGCTCACTCCACCACATGGCAGCAACTGGGTCTCAAACCCGAGCCTGACAATCATCAGCCCAGGAACCTACCCACCTGAGCCATCATGCTTCTAATGTTTGAAGTTGTCACACTCTTTCCCAAAACTTCACACATCCAGAAACATGAGAAAAACTACTAAGAAGGAAGCCAGATCTATAACAACTTCTGCCATCATGCTGCACCAAGTCAAACAATCTTCCACCATATTGTCTGCATTACCAGATCCCTCCCCAGATCTGCCCATTCATACATGCATGGTCTCCTCTTCCGTGCGGAGGCTGGTGTTGAGTTGTGCCAAGTCAGCATCTTTATCTTTCAATGCTTCCTGAAGGTGTCTTAACTGACGATGAACGGACTCCAGGGCCAAGAAATGATTGGATTGAGTCTTCTGTGGTAGTCAAAGCAAAAAAAGAGAATTAGGAGTTAGGACAGATAGATAGATAGATGATAGACAGATGATAGATAGATTAGATATAGAGATTCAATAGCTATAGCTACAAATATATAGATGTAGATAGATATAAAATAGATTAGATAGATAGATAGATAGATAGATAGATAGATAGATAGATAGATAGATATACAGAGTGAGAGAGAGGATAGATATAGATAGATAGATAGATAGATAGATAGATAGATAGATAGATAGATAGATAGATAGATAGATGATAGAGATAGATAGATTAGATAGAGATTAGATAGCTATAGCTACAAATATATAGATGTACTTAGATATAAAATAGATTAGATAGATAGGTAAGATAGAGATAGATAGATGATAGAGATACAGAGTGAGAGAGAGTCACATGATCCAAATTTGGATGCTTGGCAACTGGTTCATCTTTATGACGGTTGCAGTGTCCCAGGGTCATGTGATCCCCTTTTGCGACCTTCCGATAAGCAAAGTCAGTGGGAGAAGCCAGATTCACTTAACAACCGTGTTTCTACCTTATAAATGCAGTGATTCACTTAACCCCTGTAACAAGAAAGGTCATAAAATGGGGGAAAAAACTCATTGAACAATTGTCTTGCTTAGCAATTGATATTTTGATCTCAATTGTGGTCATAAGCCAAGGACTACCTGTAACAAAACATTCCTCATAAATAAATAGGCCTAGTTACAATAATTTATAACGGTAATTTATAACATAACTTTCAGAAGTTGTGGTTGCACCATCACTGGAGGTTCTTAAGAAGCGATTCGACAGCCATTTGTCCAGAATGGTAAAGGGCCGTGATGGTGAACTTATGGCACATATGCCACAGGTGGCACGTGGAGCCATATCTGTGGACACGCGAATGTTGCGCTAGCTCAGCTCCAGCGTGCACGCATGTGACAGCCAGCTGATTTCCGGGCCTTCCGGGCCCACTGGAAGTTGGGAAACGGGCTGTTTCCGGCCTCCAGAGGGCCTCTGGAGGGCCTCCAGTGGGGGGGGGGGGTTGGAGGCCATTTTCACCCTCCCTAGGCTCCAAGAAAGCCTCTGGAGCCTGGGGAGGGTGAAAAATGGGCCTACTGGGCCCACTGTGCCATCACGTGCCAAAAGCAGGGGGAGCGCAGGGTGTGTGTGTCACGCGTGCATGCACAGGGGGCAGGGCAAGAGGGGGCATTGAATTATGGGTGTCGTATAGGGTCTCCTGCTTGAGTAGGGAGTTGGACTAGAAGGCCTCCAAAGTCCCTTCCAACAACTGTTATTCTGTTCTATTAAGATTTCAAGGCAGGCCTATGCAGGTAGGCCATCTCAGTGTTCAGGGATCAGAAGGGAAAACAGATTTCAGGCCTGAGCAACCATTTTACATCTTCTTATGTCAGGGATCAAGGACTTTGGGTTCAAAGATTAACTTGGCCTATAATGATAGCTTATCGTGCTCCCAGAATTTCAAACAAGGCCTCTTTTTCTGTCACGGCAGGAAGAGTGACACTCCAGCTGAACTGCCTCAAATGTTGCTGTCCAGCCATTATACCTTCTTCTTCCTTCTGAGAGCCAGCTTCTTACCATCTTTCTCCATCTAAGTCTGCTTGGAAAATATTAAATTTATAGCATTTTGGGGTTATCTCAAAAACTAGCAGGGTTCCCTACATTAGATAACCTCTGTGTCACTCTTGGCTCTGCTATCCAGTACTGACTCTTCGAATTGGAGAAGCTTCTGCATGTAATTTGGGATTTCAACATCAGATTCTTGTGCTTTGCTATTGTTGTGAGTCATTAAAGACACAATTAGTCCCAAACAAACCTATTTTATTGTAACAGCTGAGAATTACATTCATTCCCAGCTGAGTCCCAATTAGTTGCAAAACAAGTCCTTCGGAAGAAGTCCTTCGGGATAATCACCAACCTTTATCTTCTTTGACACCCTGCCAAAGGTCTTACTTGGCAAAGCCCCATGAAGTTCAGAAACAAACAAGAGATGCCGATTGGAAACAGAGTTAGCAATGTTGCTTTCCTGCAAAAGGCCCAAGTGCTTTTGTTTCTCTTTTAAGCCTTATGGGAGGGGCCAATCATCTCCTGGCCTTACTCCCGAGTTGTCCCTTTTGCTTTAGCTGCTCTTCCCTTCTGGCAGCTATGCGCATGCGTGCACTAGGAACAGGCTCCTCCTGTTCCTCTGCCTCTCCACTGTCCGACTCTGGGGAGTCTGGAGTCCGCACATCCAGATGGCCCTGGCTCCATCTCTGCCTTCGACGCAGAGCCCTTGTCCAAACCTTCCCCAGACTCCAGGACTGGCCCATGTTCCTCCCAGCCTCCTCACTGTCCGACTCCACTGCCAGCTCCGCAGGCTGCTGGTGGACCACTACAGCTATCAAGCTTCTAATCTAAAAAGGTTTTGGGGCTAATCCGAACTCCCAGATGTTCTTTAACTACAATTCCCAGAATCTCTCTCCTTGGCTTTGCTGGTTCAGCTGTTGGGAGTTGTAGTTCAGCTATATAGGGAGAACCACAGGTCGTCCATCTAGCCAACAAGGAACACTTAGCTCCCAACTTCTGATCCTGAAGAACCCAGAACTTCAGTTGCTCTCAAACAGGATGAGACATTTCTGTTTCCTCTTTATGGTTTACCTCTAATGCTTGATCTCTATCTTTTAGACGCAGGGCCATCTGCTTGATCAGGGTTTCCAACTTGGAGGCGTTCACCCCAGGCGATCCAAGGGACAGCAAGATGACCAGACAGTCCTGGAGAAGAAAATTAAGACAAAAGAATTAAAACAAAAGAATCAGAGAGTTTCTTTTCCGAAAGGACCAAATTCTTCCTTACTTCCTTTCCTTCCTCACTTTCATCTCTTCTTTTTCATTATATTTGGGATGTTTGTTTGTTTATGAAATTTATATCCTGCCTATCTCACACTGCAAAGTGACAGAGAGGATTTTGTATATTTGCATCTCAAAGAACTCCACTACCCCCCCCTCTTCACCCTAGCTTAATTTTTACCCGTGTGCCATTCCCTACCCTGTGCATCCTGGAGTGGGTGGGGTCTTAAGTAGGGCTTATTTTGGGGGGGTAGGGCTTATTGGGTACATATGTAAAAATCAAGCTAGGGCTTACTTTCAGGGTACATCGTATTTTCGGGGAAACATGGTATGTGTATGTATGTACGTATGTATGTATATGTAAGTAGACACACCGTATTTCATCTCACATCTCAGCATTTAGCACGTGTCCATCGAGGTCAGAGTCAACATCCATAATTGTTCGCTTTGTGACTTCCACGGCTCAAAAGTTATCTTCAAATAAACTCCTTCCTTTGCACATTATTATTTACCTCTTTTTTTCCACTTTGAGCCCACAAAGGTTAGCAAAGGCTGAAACCACAACTGCATGTGTTGAGGCTCTGGGGTTACATTAAATCAGGGGTCTCCAAACTGTGGGCCATAGCCCACTACTGGGCCACAGTGTTGTGGCCCGTCAGCGGCCTGTGCAGATTATAGCCGATTCTGATAGCGAGGAGGCTGGTGTGGCGTTGTGCCAGCAGCCTATGCAGCTGGCACTTGAGGCGGACAGTGAGGAGGCTGGAGAAGATGTGGGGCCAGAGGCAGGGATTCAGCAGGGCCTTCAGAACCTCCAGAAGCTCCTTTAAGTGAAGAGGACGAAGAGGAGGAGCCTCTTCTCAATGCACGGGCGCACAGAGCTGTCAAAGGCAGGAGTGGCTCCTCAGGAGGAGGTCTCCTCGAGAGTAAGGCTTGGGGCTAATTGGCCACTCCCTTAGCCTATTTAAGGAGGAACGCCAACTGAAGCAAGTTGTAGGGAACAACTTTAGTTCACTCTACTTCGCGTCAGGATTCTCTGCACATGGCTTCTGGGCTTTCTGCCAACCTTCGTAAGATTGTGATTACTTTATCTTTGGTTTCTTGAGGGCTGTTAAGAAAGCTTATTAACAGCCTTTGTTTTGAAAAAGACTGAGTTATTTTAGTAAATTAAGTTTTGTACAAACTTTGAGTGTGCTGCCTTCTTTGGGATTCGTAGCTGGGGCAGAACACACAGCCAATGGTGGGTTGCTCCCGGTTCTGTCCGGTTCTATAGAACCGGTAGTAAAACTGGCAGGAAGCTCCGCCCACCCAGCACGACGTCATCATTGGTGATCTGCGCATGTGCAGAAGAGCACATGATCATGCTGCGAACTGGTAATAAAGGTAAGTGGAACCCAATCCTGGCCACAGTCTATTCACAACTGGGCCATGTGAGTGGCCAGCTGGCGTGCACGCATGTGCATACGTGCACAGCCTAACTTGCACAACCATCGCAGGGGCTCATGGCCCCACTTGCACCTGACCCTCCCACAAAACTATCCCCTTTCCCTCCTTCTCCCCCCCCCCCAAAGCTCCGGGCCGCCAACCTGGAAATGTTGGGGAACTCTGGAATATCAGTAATCCTCAATTTACCACCAGTCATTTAGTGACTATTAAAAAGTTCCAACAGATCTACCTGAGGTATTTATGACTTGGATTTGAAATTCTGACAGTCTCCCACTCCCATGTGCCATGTGTGATAGCACATCGGATGCTCAGCAGCTCGGCTGCAATTATCGCCATTTGACGTCTCCCTTTGTTATTATGTGACCATGTATTAATAATGATGTGACCATGTATTAATGATGGTTTTGTCAAAAACCGGCATTTTCTTCCAGTTTTTGGCAAAATCGTGCTCATAGCAAAGCATTGGTTTGCTTAACAACTGGAGCAGCTGGAACTGTTCCAAATGTTTTATTTTCAAGGCAGAAATAGGAAATACCTGAACCAATGGGAATCTGGCTAAAAACAGCCCTCTTACTTTGGTTCCTTCACCTTCCCTTATGAAAGGGATGTCAAGTTGGCATCGTCATGGCGGCGTCACATGATGTATCGCAACTTTTTCCCCCTTTGCTAAACTGGGCGTGGGAGTGGCCAGCATGTGACGCATCTGGCCCGAGGGCCGCGAGTTTGAGGTTACCAGACTGGGTGAGGGATACCTTATGATATCCCTCACCCACTTCCAGGAAACGAGACAGGTGAGGCAATCATTGGATCACCTGGAAGACCAGTAGTGTCTCTCTTGCTCGGCTCACCTGTAACACCTCCTCCTTGCTTTGCAGACACCTGGTCAGTTGATGGATCAGCTGCTCCTGGTGATTCATGGCCTCCTCAAGTGGAAAACCAGCTTCCTGTGGTCACAGAGAGTGGGGTGGGGAAAAAAATAAGAGGAAAATATTCCAGCCTTGTGAGGTAGGCCAGATAAGAAGCAAAGCCAGAATTATTAGCTCTGTCACTAAAGGTAAAAGTAAAGGTTCCCCTCGCACACATGTGCTAGTCGTTCCCGACTCTAGGGAGGCGGTGCTCATCTCTGTTTCAAAGCCGAAGACATCTCCGTGGTCATGTGACTGTCATGACTAAAAGCCAAAGGTGCACAGAACGCTGTTACCTTCCCACCAAAGGTGGTCCCTATTTTTTCTACTTGCATTTTTTTTAACGTGCTTTCGAACTGCTAGGTTGGCAGAAGCTGGTACAAGTAACAGGAGCTTACTCTGTTACATGGCACTAGGGATTCGAACTGCTGAACTGCCGACCTTTCGATTGACAAGCTTAGAGTCTTAGCTACTGAGCCACCATGTCCCTCTGTCTCTAGTGCAAGGTTATAGTAACAGAACCAATGCATGTCTGAAAGTACAGGTAGTCCTCAACTTACAACTGTTTATTTACTGATACCTCGAAGTTACAACAGTACTGAAAAAAGTAAGTTCTGTACTGTAAGTTCACACTTACAGCCAGTTATGTGAACTACTGCAGTTGTTAAGTTAGTAACACAATTGTTAAGTGACTCTGGCTTCCCTGTTGACTGCTTATCAGAAGATCCCAAAAGGTGATCACATGACCCTGGGACACTGCAACCGTCATAAGTATGAACCAGTTGCCAAGCAGCTGAATTTTGATTACATGGCCATGAGGATGCTGCAATGGTCATAAATGTGAAAAATGATCGTAAGTGTTGCGGCCCGTCAGCGGCCTGTGCAGCTAATAGCTGATTCCGACAGCGAGGAGGCTGGTGTGGTGCTGCGCCAGCAGCCTGGGTAGCTGGCACTCGAATCAGACAATGAGGAGGCTGTAGAAGATGTGGTGCCAGAGGTGGGGATTCAGCCAGGGCCCTCAGAACTTCTAGAAGCTCCCATAAGTGAAGAGGAAGAAGAGGAGGAGCCTCTTCTCGATGTACGGGCAGGCAGAGCTGCAAAAAGGCAGGAGTGGTTCCTCAGGAGGAGGTCTCCTCGATAATAAGGCTTGGCAATTTGCAGGGAACAACTTCGTTCACTCTCCTTCGCGTCCTGATCTTAGTTCTCTGCAAATTGCTTCTGGGCTTTCTGCCAACTATAATAAGATTACAATTATTTATTCTTTGGATTCTTGTAGGCTGTTAAGAAAGTTAATTAACAGCCTTTATTTGAAAAAGAGTGATTTAATTTAGTAAACTAAGGTTTGTACAGACTTTGTGTGTGCTGCGTTCTTTGGGGTCCGTAGCTGAGGCAGAACAGTAAGTCACTTTTCCAGTACTGTTGTAACTTCGAACAGTCACTGAATGAACGGTTTTAAGTCGAGGATTACTGGTATCATCTGATTTCGGGTGTAAGCCCAGAGGCAAAATGGAGTAAGAGAGAAAGAACAATTAGATATGGAATTTAAAAAAACATGCATTTTAAAAAAATATACTTTAATAGAATAGAGTAGAATTCTTTATTGGTCAAGTGTGATTGGACACCCAAGGAATTTGTCTTTGGTGCATATGCTCTCAGTGTACATAAAAGAAAAGATACACTCATCAAGAATCATAAGGTACAACACTTAATGATAGTCATAGGGAACAGATAAGCAATCAAATCATATTAGGAAACAGTCAATATAAATCGTAAGCTTTTTTACTGTAAGTTAGAACAAACAACTTTAACAATAATAAAATGTACACTAGTGGTTTATAATATAGAAAAACCTCTGTGAAAAAAAAATATGAAAAAAGTATCATAAAAAAGGGATCAAAGAAATATAAATGTATAAGCATGGGGTTTACAAATATTACGAAGGCTTCAAAGTTTGAGCAGGTTCAGTAAAAAATAACATCTAAAGATGCTGACAGACTTTAATGAAACACCCAAGGATGTCAAATTGGTTTTTAATCCCAGGGAATCTGAACAGGACAGACCGACATGGATCTCAATTAATTTAAACCCTAATTTTGCTTGCTTCTTTCTGGCTGAGCTTAGTGCATCAACTCATCCCAAAAAGAAAGCTGTGTTTAATATCGGCAACAAAGCAGTCATTGGTTTACTAATCCTCTCTTGCTTTAATCACAACTTATGCTCGCATCTGAACCCAGGATCCTGGTTTATGTTCCTCTGCCTACTTCCTCTTTCATTTAAGCCCATCACAATCAGTTGACTCTCTTTGGCATCAGTGAAAAGAGAAAGGAATAAACCAGGCTTTGGTTAAACAAGTCACAGTGTTTTCCTTCTTCTGCCATTTTAATTCTGACTTTGTCAATTGGGTTTGAGACCCGAGCTCTGCACAATGGAGTGAGCTCCCGTTCTTGCCTCAGCTTATGATTCTTGACGAACGTATCTTTTCTTTTATGTACATTGACAGCATATGCACCAAGACAAATTCCTTGTGTCCAATCACACTTAGCCAATAAAAAAAATTCTATTCTATTCTATTCTATTCTATTCTATTCTATTCTATTCTATTCTATTCTATTCTATTCTATTCTATTCTATTCTATTCTATTCTATTCTATTCTATTCTATTCTCCTGCCCGTCTAGCAGCCCTGAAGCATGCAAATGCAAGTAGATTAATAGGTACCACTTCGGTGGGAAGACAACAGCGTTCTGTGAGCCTTTGGCATGCAGCCAAGCTGGCCACATGACCACAGAAATCGACTTCAGACAACACTAGCTCCCTCAGCCAAGAAACGGGGATGAGCACCGTGCCTTAGAGTCGGACACGACTGCTTGGGAGGAACTGCTTAATAAAAGAGACAAGGAAGACTTCAAGTTTCTACCTGGTTGGATGCCTCTCCTTGTTTCTCCTGAAAGCTCTTCAGCTGTCCCTGGGCTGTTTCAAGAAGCTCCTTCAAGTTATCAAAAGATCTTTGGAGGTCCTGGTGCAGAGACCGCTGAACCTGGAGCTTTGGGAAAGACAGAAACAGAGTTGGAAGGGACCTTAGAAGTCTTCTAGTCAAACTCCCTACACAAGCAGGAGATTTCTATACCAGGGCTGTCAAACTAGCAGGCCGTGGGCCGGGATGCGTCACGTGCTGGCCACGCCCACGGCCAGTTTAGTGAAGGGGGGGAAAAGTTGATACGTCACATGATAAAGCTGTGACGATGCGAGTTTGACACCCCTGCCCAGGGGTGAAATCCAGCAGGTTCTGACAGGTTCTGGAGAACCGCTAGTGGAAACTTTGAGTAGTTCAGAGAACTGGCAAATACCACCTCTGGCTGGCCCCAAAGTGGGGTGGGAATGGGGATTTTGCAATATCCTTCCCCCAGGAGTGGGGAGGTAATGGGGATTTTGCAGTATCCTTCCCCTGGAGTGGGGACGGAATGGAGATTTTGCAGTATCCTTCCCCTGCCATGCCCACCAAGCCATGTCCACCATGCCCACCAAGCCACGCCCACAGAACCGGTAGTAAAAAAAATTGAATTTCACCACTGCCCCTGCTCTATACCATTTCAAACAAATGGCTGCCCAATCTCTTCTCAAAAGCCTCCAGTGACTGAGCACCCATGGATGGAAGTTGTGATTAATTGTTCTGTCAGGAAATTTCTCCTTAGTTCTAGGTTGGTTCTCTCCTTGGTTAATTTCCATCCGTTGCTTCTTGTCCTGCCCTCAGGTGCTTTGGAGAATAGATTGACTCCCTCTTCTTTATGGTAACCTTTGAGATATGCTATCATGTCACTCCTAGTCCTTCTTTTCATTAAACTACACATTAGACGAGACATTCATTCACAAATCCCCCTTACAATGGGATTGGAGAACATCTGAGATTGCCTGGAGTCTTGATTTCCCACCTCTCCTGGTTTCTGGCTCAGAGCTTAAGATAGGACTGAATTTCTAAGCCATGTTTCTCAACTTTGGCAATGTCAAGGCATGTGAACTTCAACTCCCAGAATTCCCCAGCCAGCCATGTTTTCTATTGCTTCTATTACCCAGCCCAGTCTTTGGGTAACAGAGGCCATCTTCAATTTATGCATCACTTACTTGGAGTTGGGGTTTTCTGGAACGCTGACAAAGGGTCCTTTCTGAGTTAATTCCATTCCCACCTCCTTCTTCACCCTTGAGTGGTCAAGCAACAGGTGTCCGTGTGACCTCCTTTAGAGCAGTGTTTCTCAATATTGGCATTTTTAAGATGTGTGGACTTCAACTCCCAGAATTCCCCAAACTCACCTCTTTTTCTGTTAATGGTGCCCTTGAGATAGGGATAAGTACCCTGGCCCTAAGCGCTCCATGGCTTAGGGCCGGGGTACTTACGAGACCGCCTTCTGCCACCAATAGCCTCCCACCGGCCAGTACGCTCGCACAGAGTGGGCCTCCTCAGGGTGCCGTCCGCCAGACAATGTCGGCTGGCGACCCCCAGGGGGAGAGCCTTCTCTGTGGCGGCACCCACCCTCTGGAACAACCTTCCCCCAGAGTTACGTACAATAACAGACCTCCGGATTTTTCGTCGGGCCCTGAAAACCTATTTATTTCAACTAGCTGGGCTGGCGTGAGTTTAATTTTAAATTGATTTTAAATTGGGTTGTTTTAATTTACGGCCAGAATATTTAATTATTTTAATATTGTTTTTAAATTTTGTATACTCTGTTTTTACTTTGGCTGTGCACCGTCCTGAGTCCTTTTTGGAGAAGGGCGGTATAGAAATTTAATTAATAATAATAATAATAATAATAATAGTAATAATAATAATAATAATAATAATAATAGGGCACGGATACACCTAGGCTCCATCTAGGGGCAAAATCCAAGATGGCGGACACACCCTGAGCAATTGTAGCCCCACCCCCTTTTTATTGGGAATTGCAGCTGCCACACGGATGCCAGAAAAGGGCAGGGCTTTGCTTGCATGGATGCATCTGCCATCTTGACTTTTTTGACCTCCCGAGGACACCCCTGCAGATCAAAGGCCCCAATATCTACAGCGATGATAAGATGTGGAGAAAGGAAGGTCACCTCTCAGTCTGACACCAAGAAGGCTTATGAAAGCCAAGTGCATCTTCTACCACGGTGGAAGCTGACCCAGAATCCTGCCTTGTCTCATCCTTTCTCCAAAAAAGGAAGACTGAAGGTTGAGTGAAAACTTCACAGCTGAGGCCATCTCCTGGGTTCAGCCCTAATGTCATTTGTTTCATTGTGGCATACATGAACCCCATTGCTGTGTCTCAGATAACCCTAGCTTAGCAGGATGTCTGAACCCAACCATTGTTTTATACAACAAATGGTGGTTAGAACCAACCACAACCTAGGATTACAGGTAGTCCTCAATTTACAACAATTTGTTGAGTGACTGTTCAAGTTACAACGGCACCAAAAAAAAAGCGACTTATGACCGTTTTTCACATTGATGACCGCTACAGCGTCCCCACAGTCGTGTGATCAAAATCCAGACGCTTGGCAACTGACATGTACTTATGACGGTTGCAGTGTCCCGAGGTCACGTGATCCCCTTCTGCGACCCTCTGACAAGCATTGTCGGTGGGGAAGCCAGATTCACCGAACAACCGTGCGACTAATTTAACAGCTGCAGTGATTCACTTAACAACGGTGGCAAGAAAGGTCATAAAATGGGACAAAACTCACTTAACAACTGTCTCGCTTTGCAACAGAAATGTTGAGCTCAATTTGTGGTCATATATTGAGGACAGGGTGGATAAAAATCAATTTTTTTTAAAAAATCAAAAAAATTGGATTTTTTTTTATTTAAATCAGATTTTTTTGATTTAAATCTGATTTTTTTATTCAAATCAGATTTTTTTGATTTTTATTGAATTTATTTTAATAAAAAACTTTTGGGGTAAAAATCTATCGTAAGATAGTTTTCTATTTAAGAAACATAAATAATTTAGTTTATTCAGCCTGAAATGGAGCTTAGTTATGTAGCATGAGGCTGTATATTCTGCAACCCTGGGACTATCGGTGAGTCAACAGTGGGTCAAAGGAGCAACAGAGATGACAGTTGCTCTTTAAAAATTATGATTTAAATCGAGTTGATTTAAATCAAGTCTTTTTACTAGTGATTTAAATCATGATTTAAATCATGATTTAAATCAACTCGATTTAAATCAAATCCACCCTGATTGAGGACTACCTCTATGCCTGAACTCAGCTGACCCTACCTTACTTTTTCGTGCTGCTTACCTTTGACTCAAGAGGCAGAAACTCATCCATCAGGTCCTCATAGGATTCTTCTCCCACGGGGCTCTCTCTCCGGGGAGTGGCCCCCCGCCAGTTGCCTACCAAGACGGGGATCTTACTGCCCGATGGGACCTTCAGCCGCTTCCTTCTAATGTCCTTCAGATTTTTCAGCGCTTCCGAGGCTAGTTCCGATTCTGGCAAAGTATCCAACGATAGCATGGAACACGACTCGACGTCCCCCAAACTATGGGACCGCAGAGAGGCCTGGGAGCCCGCGCAGCACACGGTGGGCATGCTTTGCGACTTGTCCCGGCAGAGGGGGAAGATAGGGGACCACGTTCCCAGCCGCCTCGGTGTCCGGCACACCCACTCATAATTGTTGTCGTCCACCCTCAGCCCATGGCAGCTGTGACATTGGCGGTTCCGACCCGGGGTGCCTGGCTGGCTGCTGTTGGGGGCGTCAGCCCAGCACTCATATTCAGAGAGGACCATATCATCCTGCAGGAGGCGCTGGTACTGCACTTGGGGCAAATCCGCTATGCTGGCTGAGATCTCTTGGCCCGTGTAGGACACGGAGGCCCCGTTATCTGGAAACCGCCGCGTGTAAATATGGCGCAGCAAGCGGGCCAACTGGTCCTTCTCCGAAAGCAGGCGCTGGAGGCGCTCAATGGAGAGAGCTTGAACCCGGGCGATGACCGTGTCGAAATGGTACACCCGCCCCAAGACCTGGGCGCATTTCCCACACAGGAATTCTCCGCGCCCATCTCCACGCTGCGGAAGCTCTTGGTCGAGGACGTAGGACAGTATCACCAGCAGGTTGGGGCGTGAGCTGTTATTGCTCCGGCTGAAAAGCCACCGCCGATGATTCCCACGCAGCACGGTGCCACAAAGGCGGCAGAAATTGTTAGGGCTCTCCATGAATTCAGAAGCGCTGGAAGCGGAACAGAAAGGAATCTTTTATTTCCAATTTTTCTCAGACTTCCATGGACCCAATCCCGAAGGTGCTTTTTCGGGAGGCAACTGGACTTTCTTGTTGTTGTTTTTTTTGAAGACGTTTCCCTTCTCATCCAAGAAGCTTCTTCAGCTCTGACTGGATGATGGGGGAATGGAAGGATTTATATTCCTTGCAGTCAGTTGGTCATTATAAATCCTTCCATTTCCACCATCTAATCTAGGATAGGATAGGATAAATCTAAACTCAAGGCCCGGGGGCCAGATCCGGCCCTCAGGCGCTTAGATCTGGTCTGTAGGGCCGCCCTGGAAACAGGGAAGGACCGGCCTATGGTGCCTCTGCCAGTGAAAATGGCGCTGCGGAGGTCCACAGGAGGGTTGCAGGAGCCCATTGCAGTCGGAAACAGAGCTCGGGAGCCTGTTTTCATTGGCAGAGCGCTTGGGCCGCCACAGGCACCCCCGACACGAGTGACATCGAGCTGGCCATGCCCACCCCAGCCACACCCATCCCGGCCCTCCAAGGTCAAACACAACCCTGATGCAGCCCTCAATGAAATCGAGTTTGACACCCCTGATCTAATCAGAGCTGAAGAAGCTTCCTGGATGAGAAGTGAAAGGTCTTCAAAGAAAAATAAAAACAAAAAAGATTTTTTTTTTTGCCTCCTGAAAAAGCACCTTTGGGACAACCATGACCTGAATGACTGAGAATCTCCATAGACTTCCATGGACACAGAGAGTTTTTGATGGTGATATCTCTGTTTTATATATTAATAAGAAATGTTAAGAGTATTTACAAGCTTTGACATAATGGCATATAGGCTATCAGCCTCTGCAGTGAGGTTCCTTAAAAAAAAACCGACAGGCAATCCTCGACTTACGACCACAATTGAGCCCAACATTTCTGTTGCTAAGTGAGATAGTGAATTCGCCTGCAGTTGTTAAGTAGTAGCATGGTTGTTAAGTGAATCTGGCTTCCCCATTGACTTTGCTTGTCAGAAGGTCACAACAGGTCATCGTGTGTGCCCAGGATACTGCAACTGTCGTAAATATGAGTCAAAAGGGCCTGGTGGCTCAGCAGACTGATAGCATTGTGATTAACACCAGCTGTCTGCAATTACTGTAAGTTCAAATCTCACCAGGCTCAAGGTTGACTCAGCCTTCCATCCTTTCTAAGGTAGGTAAATTGAAGACCCAGTTTGTGGGGGCAATAAGCTGACTTTATATAAATATACAAAAGTATGAAGGCTATTGCTTAACGCATTGTAAGCCGCCCTGAGTCTCCGGAGAAGGACAGCATATAAATCAAATTAAAAAAAAATATTTTTTTGATCACATGGCCCTGGGATGCTGCAATAATCGTTAAGTGTGAAAAAATAGTTATACTGTATATACAAGTAGTCCTCGACTTACAACAGTTCGTTTAGTAAACTGTTCAAAGCTCCAATGGCACAGAAAAAAAGTGACTTATGACCTTTTTCACACTTATGACCATGACGTGAATAAAATTCGGATGCTTGGCAACCGGTTCATATTTATGACCGTTGCAGTGTCCCGAAGTCATTGGAATCCCCCTTTAGTGACCTTCTGACAAGCAAAAGTCAATGGGGAAGCCAGGTTCACTTAACAACCGGGTCACTAATTTATCAACCTGGAGTGATTCGCTTAACAACAGTAGCAAGAAAGGTTGTAAAATGGGGGCAAACCTCACTTCGGAAATGTCTCGCTTAGCAACATCAGTTTTGGGCTCAATTGTGGTCGTAAGTCAAGGACTACCTATACTGTAGTGGGCAGGGACAGGAGTACATGCGGGGGGGGGGGGGGGCTTCTGATGATTTAGCAACTGAAATTTTGGGCTCAATGATGGTCGTAAGTTGAGGACTATTTGTACACAAAGGTTACCTCAAGGGGTGGTCTTTTAAAAAAAATGAAAATGGTGACAATGATGTGACTGAAGAGCCATCTACGCATGGGACATAAAAATGGGTGGAGCTTTTATTGAACCACCATGGCTGCCATTTTGACTTTTTTGACCACTCTGTAGATCTCTGCATCTTGGTCCACAAGATGAACTGAACCAAAAAAAAAAAAAAAAAAGGGCCACCACAGATTTCTACTGCAAACCTTCCCATTTTATACTACAAAACTGATTCTCCAAACGTGACTCTTCGCAGAACCAAAAACCGGAAATTTATGGACAAGAAGGAAGTTTGGAGAAAACGGCAAGCAAGCAAAATAATCTTCCTGAAAAACGTAAGTAGGTATCCCCCGACCCACCCCACACACACAAAGAGCTCAAAGTAATTGTGCCTGACCAGGGAAGAGCAAAAAGCATAAAAGACATAAGGAATATTCTATGCTGTGATTTCGTTCCAGGTCTTATAGATGTAGTAATTACAGAGGGTGGAGAAACACAGTGCAAAAATACCCAAGCTTTCATCCCTTTTCCTTCCTCAGAAAGACTGTCTGGGTCAGGCAAGTAGGACATACAAGCTTCAGAGGAAGACCCGGCTGTTTTCAGATGAGACCCTGGCCCAGAATCAGGGGTGAAATACTGCCCGATCCGGTAGCGATGGAGGCGGGTGGTTCGGAGAACCGGTAGCAAAAATCCCTGCCCTTCCCCATGCCCAGCTGAACCGCACAATCATCAGACGCTTTTTTTTTAATTTTTAAAAGCATTTTTTCTACAACCTCTTCGGCCAAAAAAATGCTTTTAAAAGTTAAAAAAAAAAAGCCTCTGATGATCGCGTGGCTCAGCTGGGATCGTCAAAGGGATCGTCAGCTGATGATCCCAGCTGAGTTGCCTGATCGGCAGAGCCTTTTTTTTCTTTTAAAAGCCTCTGACGATCCAAGCTGAGTTGCCTGATCGGCAGAGGCTTTTAAAAGAAAAAAAGCTTCTGCCTCGTCAGTCTTTTGAAAGCATTTTTTTACAACCTCTTCGCCGAAGAGGTTGTAGAAAAAATGGTTTTAAAACAAACAAAAAAAAATTGGCCACACCCACCATCACATTACCCCCCCACTAAGCCACACCCACAGAATCAGTAGTAAATTTTAGATTTCACCACTGGCCAGAATCCAAGAGTAATCAATCAATCAATCAATCAATCAGAATAGAGCTGGAAGGGTCCTTGGAGATCTTCTAGTGCAGGAGTGAAATGTTACCGGTTTGGGCCAGTTCGCCTGAACTGGTAGTAAAAAAAATGTAAAACAAAAAAAGTTCGGAGGATCGCTCAGCTGATCGTCGGAACTTTTTTTTTTTTTAATTTTTTAAGCATTTTTTTTACTACCGGTTCTCCGAAATTGGTAGTTAAAAACGCTTTTAAAAAGTATTTTTAAAAAAAGGTTCTGACGATTGCGTAGCACAGCTGTGATCGTCGGAACCTTTTTTTTCCCTTTTTTAAAGCATTTTTTTACTACCTATTCGCCCGAACCGGTAGTAAAAAATGCTTTAAAAAAGTTTTTAAAAAAGGTTCCCAAGATCGCGCACCACAGCTGCTTCCCCTCCCCCCCAGTGTTCTACTTACCTTCCCAAGCCTCCTTTTGGTGTGTATTGTGCATGTGCGCGCAGGGCACATTTGGTGTGAACTGCCAGCGAACCTGTAGCAAACCGGTTCAGATTTCACTACTGTTCTAGTCCAACCCCTTGCTCAAGCAGGAGACCCTATAGTACTGTAGGAAGTTAGCACCCACCCCTTTCCTAGAAGAATGAAATATTTTAGGAAATATTGAAAAAGGCAGAATATTATGTTTCCTTGGATGAGAAATAGAGAAGCATGTTTTAAAGAGGAAGCAGCTCCCATTTTCCTGCCCCCACCCTTTGTCAATGGACCAGAGGCAGAAACTCAATCTTTGACAATGGGCCATCATCTGCAACACAATAGGACCCATCTACCAACAGAAATTCACCACATGGCACCCGGGAAGATTACATCAGCCAGCAAGGCTAGCTAAGACCCCCACCCCCTGGGAGTCTGACAACCAATCATGATACTCTTTCTGGGCCCCAGGAAGTTCAAAGCCAGAGAAGGCATAAAACCCGGGGACTCACTGCGTCTCACCCCCTTTTCTGTTCAGGAACTCAAGCCATGTGATCCTGTCCACCATTAAACCATCTTTTCAAGCAGTCTCCATGTTTCCAGTGTCTTTTTCCCCACTTGGAGCTGAACCCAGAAGGATATTTCTTCCTACAGTACCATTTCAAATGATTGTCCAGTCTCTTCTTAAAAACCTCCCGTGATGAAGCACCCACAACTTCTGAAGGAAAAGTTGTTCCACTGGTTAATTGTTCTAATTGTCAGGAAATTTCTCCTTAGTTCTAAGTTGCTTCTCTCCTTGATTAGTTTCCACCCATTGTTTCTTGTCCTGCCCTCAGGTGCTTTGGAGAATAGCTTGACTCCCACTCTTCTTTGTGGCAACCCCTGAGATACTGGAACACTGCCATCGTGTCTCCCCTAGTCCTTCTTTCTCATTAAACTAGACCCGTGATGGCGAACCTATGGCAGAGCCATACCAGTGGGCACGCGGGCTCAGCTCCGGCGTGCATGTACGCACTGGCCAGCTGATTTTTGGCCTTCTGGGCCCACCGGAAGTAGGGAAACAGGTTGTTTCCTGCCTTCGGAGGGCCTCTGTGTGTGGGGGGGAACACCCGTTTTTCTCTCTCCCTAGGTTCCAGAGGCTTTCTAGGAGCCTGGGGAGGGTGAAAACAGCCTTCCCCACCCACCTGGAGGCCTTCCAGAGGCTGGAAACGGCCCGTTTGTCAACTTCCTAGAAAACCTCTGGAGCCTGGGAAGGGCAAAAAACAGGCCTACTGGGCCCACCGTCCCATCACATGCCAAAAGCAGGGGGAGCGCGGGGGGGTTACGTGCGCATGCGTGGGGGACAGGGCGCATAGAATTATGGGTGTGGGCAGGCACGGCCGCGCCCCCCCCCCACCGGCAGCCCCCTCGCTTTTGGCACGCGATGGCAAAAAGGTTAGCCATCACTGAACCAGACAAACCCAATTCCCCCAACTGATATATTTTAGCCTCCAGCGCCCTAATCATCTTTGTTCCTTTTCCCTAACACTTTCGATTTTCCCTAACACTTTTGATTTTCTTTGGAGAGCACAACAACTGTGGACAAGAAAGCCCCACTTGGATCACCAAGAAAGGAGGCAGATGGTAATCGAATAATAAGAGGCTTAAAGGAAAAGATCAATAGAGGAAAGGAATTACATAAGGTTGGTTCCCTGTCATAAATGTTTGCATGCATGGATACATCCCGTATGGAACTCTCTTCCAATGTTTACAAAAACTGATAAGGCTAACAAGTGTATGTGTGTGTGTGTGTGAGAGAGAGAGGCAGACAGAGAGAAGGAGAGGAGCATGAAGCTGTCTTATTTTAAAGGGAAGACTCCACGGGTCGTGCTCCAGTTTAAAAATGAAAGTAGCGGACGCATTTTCCCACAAATATGACGTAACTTACACAATCAAGCGCATTAAAATACAACAAAGCTAAAAGCCTTCCAGACCCATCAGGGTCCGTGTCACCCAACCAGTACATCTTTGCAGACCAAACCCCAGCACCTCCCAAATCAACAGGTCACCCTACTGGTTTCCAGCTGGCCTGGAGCAAATCCGCGTAGCCACCCGACAGGTACCTACTTCTTCTGTCCTTAAGAGTACGGCCTTTCTCTGCTCTCAGCCCTGCCCAGATTCAGAAACAGGAAGAACCAGCCGCTGAGTCAGGCTTCTGGTCCCTTTAGCCTAGCGATGTCACCTTCCAGAGATGCCACAAACCCCACTCTTGTCCCTTTGACGTGCAGTTTGCAAATCAGGGTTTGCAAACCAAAGCAGAGCCGGGAGACCAGCTTACAGCAAACTTCTTGGGCTGGATTTTGAGCAGACCAAGAAGGGCTGAAGAAGGAGGAAGCCCTCGCCCCACGGAAACTTCCTTCCTACTCCCCAGTTTGGGAAAGGAGGGGGGGAACCATTCCTTGGAGAGAATTGGGGGGAAGGGATATTTCTCATCGGCTACCACTCCTTCCCTCTTACCTTTTCTCCAGGCCTTCGGCCACTCCACCCAGAGCAAAGGGCAGGAGATCAGAGCACACCTGGCTCAGAAACTCCGCCTCCCAAGGGGGGGGGAGGACGCAGGGAGGGGCTTCTCCTTGGATAAGCGTTTGGCCTTTCCACCTTCTCCCCTTGCAGGTGCTGGGAGGGGCTAAACAGAAGCTTTGCACTGCTTCTCCCCCATCTAGATGATAGAAAAAGGTTACTTCCAAGAAGCTTCCCGGATGAGAAGCAAAAGGTATGTAACAGTCACAGAATTGGAAAGTACCTTGGAGGTCATCTAGTCCAACCCCCTGCTCACTGCCAATCTTTCTGATCGACAAGCTCAGTGTCTTAGCCACTGAGCCACCTTAGGTCTTCAAAAGAAAAACTCCAAGAAAATCTTGGGGAAAAAAGCATGACAACCCATGACCTGGATGATTGAGAATCTCCATAGACCGAAAAGGTTACTACTACTACCTCTTTGTAATCTTTGATCTCGCCCGATGATCAGATCCTTTACTCGGTGCATTAAATGCCCCGAAAGAAAACCTTTGCTTCCACCAAATTATCCCATTTGCAAAACTTGCCTCCTTCCCCCTCTGACTAACATTTTTGGAGACGCACCTTAAAACACCCGCGCGTACACCACCCGTGTTTTCTCTGCCATTGCAACAGGTAGAAAAAAATCCAATAATAATAATAATAATAATAATAATAATAATAATAATAATAATAAAATAATAAATAATAATAATAATAATAATAATAATAATAATAATAATAATAATAATCTCTCCTTGCTGTATCGAGCTGCATCTGACTCACGCTTGCTGGCGCCCCCCGGACTCTCTCTCCGAAGCGATCCCTTTAAACGAGATCGCTCCACCCCAGCCCTCGGCGAAGAGGATCAGAGTGATCGGAAGGGATTCCCGGCTTGTCCTCGTAACCCTCTCGCGCGTCGAGAAAAACCACACAGTGTAAAAAGCCTCACTTCCGGGTTTTTAAGAAACTTCGGGAGAAGATCCGACCTAAGCGCCAAGATCCCAGTGGATCCCTCTCCCCTTGCAAGATCGAGCCCCGTTTTTCGCGATCCGCCGCTCCGGATTCTTCTTTGCCTGCGTTAAACGTCCCCTTCCACCCCCCCCCCCCCCCTGGGCCCTCGCACGCTTGCCTTTGCGCCTCGGGGCTGCCTGGCGATCGGATCGGGTTTGCACGGGATCCCTTCGCGGATCGTGCGAAAGCTCGCTCCGTGCCCGAAGTAGAGCGGCGTAACGATTCGCCCCAGCACAGCAGCAACCCTTTCAGATCTGGGCACGTGGTTCCTTGAGCACAGAGGCGAATCCCCGAGCTGCCCTCCTTCAGGAAGCCCAGATGACTTCACTGCACCGTCTTGCTGCCATCTAGAGGCGGTCCGGAGGTTTTGCAGGCCGGATCTTAGCTACGCTTTCTTTTTTTTTTCCTCCCCCACCGCCTTTCCCCGTCGGGAGTCTGGCAATGTGGGCGCACCAGGCTTGCAGTTCTCGGACGCGCCGCCAGAGGGAGCCGCGGTGCCAGATCTGGAAGCGGCGAGGATTTTATATATATATAGAGAGAGAGAGAGAGACTTTACTCACCTGAAGACGGGCCGGTTCCTGCCACGTCGCGCCCTCGGCCTGCCTCTTGACGCTGGCTGCAGCCTTGCAAAAGCCACCCGAGGCGTGTTTTTGACGCCAGACCTGCTGTGGAAAAAAAAAAAAAAAGCTTTGGGTCGTGGGAAGCCTGCAAAAGGGCGATGGCTGGCAAGCCAGGCTCAAAAGAGGGAGAGGGACCTTTCCAGGAGAAAAAAAACGAAAGGTCTAGCTGGGAACTTTCTCTCCATCCCAGCATTTTTTTTGGGGGTGGGGGTGGGGGAGTGGGGGTGGGGCGCAAGGGAACTAACCAGCGGGGTGACTGCATGTAGTCCTTGACTTACGACCACAGTGGAGCCAGGGATGGGTTCCAACCAGGGGTGGGTTCTAAATTTTTTTACTACCGGTTTTGTGGGCGTGGCTTATTTTATGGGCGTGGCTTGATGGTCACGTGATCATTATTTAGGATTTAGCAGAGGTACTGGTCTACCGGGCTTTTAACTGCTTGCAGTACTGTACCGATCTACCCATTTATTTTTGCAGGCATTGGTCTACTCATGTATTTTTGCAGGCACTGGTCTACCCATTTATTTTTGCAGGCACTGATCTACTCATGTATTTCTGCAGGCACTGGTCTACCCATTTATTTTTGCAGGCACTGATCTACTCATATATTTTTGCAGGCACTGATCTACCCATTTATTTTTGCAGGCACTGATCTACTCATGTATTTTTGCAGGCACTGGTCTACCCATTTATTTTTGCAGGCACTGATCTACTCATGTATTTTTGCAGGCACTGGTCTACTCATTTATTTTTGCAGGCACTGATCTACTCATGTATTTCTACAGGCACTGGTCTACCCATTTATTTTTGCAGGCACTGATCTACTCATGTATTTTTGCAGGCACTGATCTACTCATGTATTTTTGCAGGCACTGGTCTACCCATTTATTTTTGCAGGCACCGGTCTACTCATTTGTTTTCTTTTAACACTGATCAGCTGTAGGGCGGCCCTTTGAAGCCTCATGGCAAGAGTTTAAACAGTTTTTTTTCCCTCTAGCCATCAGCTGAGACTCAGGAGGCAGCAATAGATTGGGGGTGGGGCCAAATAAAAGGTAAGAATAACGCAGGGGGTGGGGGGCGGGGGGGCAGAACCGGTTCGGTGACGTCATATCGTCACCGCTACCAGCTCGGTGGAACCGGGAGGAACCCACCACTGGTTCCAACCGGTGTTACCACCAGTTTTCTTCGCACATGCGCTTTGCGTGCGATCCCCGCAAGTGCATTAAGTTTCTGCCCAGCTGAGGTGCGGTAATCCACTCTGCCGCGCCTGTCAGCTGGGCTAAAAAACAAGAAATAAAGGTAGGAATAAAGCGGGGGCGGAAGGGCCCAGCTCCCAGTCAAAGAGAACCAGTTCGGTGATGTCACATCATCACCACTACTGGTTCAGCCTAACCGGGCCGAACCAGGAGCAACCCACCACTGAATGGAGCCCCACATTTCTGTGGCTAAGTGAGACATTTGTTAAGGGAGTCTTGTGCCTCCCCTGCCCCCGTACGGCTTTTCTTGAGACTTCTCAGGAAACAACTGAATGAAAAACTGCAGGTGATCTTCTACCGCAACATCATAGAGAGTATCTTAACTTACTGCACCTGTGTATGGTTTGCCAATTGCACCGTGGCAGATAGGACAGCGCTCCAGAGGGTTAACATCATTGCCCAGAGGATCATTGGTTGCCCCCTCCCCTCCTTGGAAGAGCTTTAGAGCTCCCGCTGCCTTAAGAAAGTTCAAAACGTTCTTAAAGATCCATCTCATCCTGGGCACCCCTTTTTTTTTGAACTATTGCCATCTGGCAGACGGTACAGGATAATAAAAACAAGGACAAATAGGCTAAAAAACAGCTTCTATCCCAGGGCAGTAACCATACTGAATTCTACTGTATATTGCAATATTAATGCAATATCAGGAGTTTTCAATTCAATTATATAGAATGCGAAAGGTGTGTGTTTTGATACGTATAATGTACACTGAAGATGGCATTTAATTTTGTTGTACGAGGTGCAGTGACAAAGTAAGCTTAATTAATTTTCCTGTCACGGTGGTTCAAGTGAATCACTGCCATTCTTAACTTAGTAACATGGTTGTTAAGCAAATCTGGGTTCCCCATTGACTTTGCTTGTTGAAAAGTTGAAAAGGGGGATGGTGTGATCCTGGGACATTGCAACCGTCATAAATACGAATCAATTGCCAAGTGTGTGAATTTTGACCACGTGACTATGAGCATGCTACACCGGTCGTAAGTGTGAAAAAGAGGTTTTTTTAGGTCAGGTTTTTTCAGTGCCGTTGTAATTTCGGTCACTAAACCATTCAAAATTACAACTGTTAACTGTTCATTGTAAATCAAGGATTAACTGCACATTATGGAACGATGCGCTGAAAAACATTCAACATCCAGTCCCAAAGGCGCTTTTTTATGAGGCAACTGGACTTTCTGGTTTTTCTTTGAAGACATTTCGCTTCTTATCCAAGGGTAATAAGGGGGGGGGGTGGCCAGTTCGACATCACTCATGTCGAGCACCCTGCCAGCAAAAACAGGTTCCTAAATTCCGTTTTTGGCTGCCATGGCCTCCTGCAACCCGGCCCTCCCGAGCTCCGTTTTCACTGACAGAAGCACCATGGGCTGGTCCTTCACCGTTTCCAGGGTGGCCCTGTGGGCCAGACCTAAGTACCCCATGGGCTGGATCCGGCCCCCGGGCCTTGAGTTCGACACCCCTGCTTTAGGAGAAGATCTAGTTCTCTGGAAAAAGCTGTAATGCTGGGAATGGTGGAAGGAAAAAGAAGAGGATGACCAGCAGGAAGAATGGATAGATTCATTTAAGGTGATGAAGGAGGCATTTGTTAAGAGGACTTGAACAGGTTAGCGGCATATTTTCCTGCAGAAAATCTATCTCAGTAGTTGGTAACAGCCTATACTGAGTTGATGGCACTTAATCAATGAATCGATCAACCAATCACATATTCAATTGCTTCCAATCATTTGGCAGTTCTGTCTAGAACAGTGTTCGTCAGCCTTGGCATCTTGGAAGATGTGTGGACTTCAACTCCCAGAATTATCCAGGCGGCATGACTTGGCTGGGGGATTCTGGGAGTTGAAGTCCACACATCTCAAAGCTGACCCATTTGTCAGACACACTAATCTAGATGGTTTCTAATAGGACAAATAAAAGATTCTGCTAAAATTGTTCGTTAGAGACAGCCCAAAGCCAATGTTCCTGGAGACCATGTAGAAAGTATTGCCTAGAACTGAAAATTCTCCAAAACGTAGCACTAGGCCTCATCTCCTCGATTCTATTGGACACAAATGGCTTATATTGGCACAGTGATTTGTCACAAGAATATATGCTAGTGTAACCTGGCTATCTCCTTAAGTCACACACACCCGTCCTTTGAATGGCCTTTTAACCATTCTAGGTTAAATCTGGGGTTTGATTTGCCAGAATGGAACAAACATCACTTCAAGTATAGCATACACCTTGATTTATTAAACCAATCTTCCTCAACCTCAGAAACTTTAAGATGGATGGACTTTCAGAATTCCCCAGCCAGCCATGTTGGCTGGAGAATTCTGGGAGGTGAAGTCCACCCATGTTAAAGTTGATAAGGTTGAAAAACAGAGTATTAGATCAAATCCAGGCTGCCTCCTGGAATCGTAGGTGCTCCGGGAAGCTTTCAATCCAAGGCTAAGCAGCCATGTGTCTGGAATGATTTGAGGATCTTGTCCTGGGAAGAGATTTGGAACAGAAGATCTCCAAAGTCCTTTCCAACCTCAGCATTCAATCATCATCATCTTCTTCTTTTAACAACTCCATAATCCCTTATGGCAGTAGATCTCAACCTGTGGGTCGGGACCCCTTTGGGGGTCGAACGACCCTTTCCCAGGGGTTGCCTAAGACCATCGGAAAACACATATTTTCAATGGTTTTAGGAATAATTTTATGGTTGGGGGTCACCACAACATGAGGAACTGTATTAAAGGGTCGCGGCATTAGGAAGGTTGAGACCCACTGCCTTACGGGGTAGAGTCTGGGCAACTGAATGGAGCTGAGTGTTTACTGGCCGGATGCCCTTCCTGTTGCCAATGCGGAGTGTTATTCAGCAGATTATTCACTGAGTTATTCTCACTGTGCCCAGAGAGAGAAATATCTGCCTCTACCTGGGATCAAACTCACAGTCCTGATTGTGAGGCAAGAGCTCTACCTCTAGGCCACCGCTCAACCCCCAGCATTCAATGAGCCTCTAAATTCCAGTTGCATTTTTGGGGGAGAAGAGAAAATGCGATCATGGTCACAGTGTTCTAGAACAGGGGTCACCAACCTTTCGGACCTCAGGGACCACTAAATTCATAATTTTAAATCCTGCGGACCACTAATATGATCTGCCTAATGACCGGCTGGGTGGGTATGGCTAGGTGGTCATGTGACTGGTTGGTCATGGCCAACTCGATGTCACTCATATCGAGGAATGCCTTGCCAACCTCTACTCGTCCCTCCCCTCCCAGCCACTCCTCGCCTGCCCGCCTGGGCTCCTTAGGGCCCCAACAGGAAGCAGTTGTTGGAGCTAAGCAGCCACCATGAGAAAAGTTGGCAAAACAGCTGGCTCAGTTCAAATCTGGCCGAGAAGGAGGCTCAGCAGAAGCACCTCACTGAGGACTACAAACAGGCTTTCCAAGCAGAGGGAAGACCTGTGGGAATGCAAGGCCAGGTACTGCCAGGCTGCCAGGTACCAGGAGGCTGAAGCAGACCTCGAGTCGGAATTTCTTCCCCCCCCCGTCCGACCCACACAAAAAGATCCCAAGGGGGGAGACTCTGCAGGAACACAAATGTTCATTGCATGTATCTGGCCCAGGGGCCGTAGTTTGAGGACCCCTGATTAAGTGCAATGTAAAAAATGCAGATAATTTTTCTGAGGACCACCAAAATTTTCTCATGGACCACCAGTGGTCCACGGACCACCAGTTGGTGACCGCTGTTCTAGAAGCTACATGAATTTACAGTGAAGATATGTCAGCCTCTAATGCTGCTACCTCTATGCAATTCACATTTGTTCTTGAAAAAAGAAGCTTATCGTAAGGCAAACGGTGAAACTAAACCAAAGGAAGGCTTAAAATGGAAAGAGATCCAAGAATAGTGTTTTGTGATTTTATTGGTGTGAATCCTGCCTTTCCTTCTCCACTCTTGTTTCTACCCCAGGTAAAGAATGGGGATGAAAAATGATTTTAAAAAACAAACAACAACCTTATTTGCATTGTACAAGTGTGTCTGATACACATTTGTCTTGATCATTCAAACATGATAGCAATGTTCCAATATTTGAGAGGCTCCTACAAAAAAGAGGAGGGGGGATGTCAAAATATTTTCCAAAGCACCAAAAGGCAAGATGAGAAACAATGGATTGAAACTAATCAAGGAGAGAAGAATTAAGGAGAAACTTCCTAACAGGGAGGACAATTGACCAGTGGAACAGCTTGCCACCAGAAGTTGTGGGTGCTTCATCACTGGAGGCTTTCAAAAAGAGATTGGACAACCACTTGTCTGAAAGGGTCTCCCGCTTGAACGGGGTTGGAGTAGAAGACCTCCAAGGTCTCTTCCAATTCTATTATTCTATGTATCTATGTCTCAAATAATAATAAAAGTAACATGTACTCTGATCAAGCCACAATTCCTCTGTGTTATCCTTTCCAGATTGAAGATCTGACAAGATTGACAAGATTTTTGAAATACTTCTAGGGTAAGTGCCCCAGACCAACAGTAAACCAGGTATCCTGCCACACTTAGTACAGAGTGAATGTGGAGATTTATTTACTTCCCACCTTTATTATTTTAATAAACAACTCAAGGTGGAAAACATATGTAGATACACTTCCTTCCGTCTATTTTCCCCACAACAACCCTGTGAGGTGGGTTGGGCTGAGAGAGAGTGACTGGCCCAAGGTCACCCAGCTGGCTTTCGTGGCTAAGGCAGCACTAGAACTCACAGTCTCCTGGTTTCTAGCATGGTGCCTTAACCACTAAACCAAGCTGGCTCTCTATACTTATTTATGTATGAATGAAGGAACGGCCTTGGAGAGAAAACGGATTGGGATGAATTGCTTGTTTTCTGGGCTACCTGTAGCAAATTAGCAAGTGTTTCTGATCCCCAATTTTTTTTTTTGCAAAAAGCAACAAAACAAGGAACACACCTCTTCAGATAATCCTGCCTCACCGTAACAGTCTGAGGTAATATCACACTCTTGTATGGAGAGATGTTGTTCTAGTATTCAAATCAAAAGACACTTGAGAGTCTCTTGTTTGATTCTCAGAGTTTTCTCTCAAAATTATTTTTTCCCTGAAAACCTGATCCTATCCCCACCCTGCTGGAGGGCATCAAAAAAGTCACAAGTGCTTCTAGTTCAATAGACTGGCAAATTTCTGGTCCAGTGGTGGGATCCTCCCGGTTTAATAACCGGTTCGGTGATCACATGCTTTGCGCACGCCCACACGTAACGCATGCTGTGCGCGCGTGCACATTTTGAAGAAATCTTCACTTCCGTGTTTCTTCGGAGGAGTAACACAGCTGATTCGTGCGGCAATTAGCTCTGCTGCGCAAATCAGCTAAGGAGATAAAGGTACCATGTTTTCCTGAAAATAAGCCCTTCCCCAAAAATAAGCCCTCCCCTGAAAATAAGCCCTCCCTGAAAATAAGCCCACCCTAGAAAATAAGCCCTCTCTAAAAATATTTAAACACATGCATAGCCGGTCCCCGCCATTTCCTCTGGTTAGGGTTAGGGAGACAGCTGGAAATCAGGTAAGATGGCAAGAAGATCCCCGTCTTGCTCCACGTGCCCTAAAATAATAAGACTTCCCCGAAAATAAGGCCAAGCGCTTATTTCGGGGTTCAGAAAAATATAAGACAGGGCCTTATTTTTGGGAAAACACGGTAGGAAAATAGCGTGGGCAGGTGGGCCCATCTGATCGTCGGAGCTACCGATTCACCCGAACCGGTCCGAACTGACAGAATCCCACCACTGCTGTAATCCCTCTGTGTCAAATTTGTGGGTCGCTTTATTTACTGGAAGGCAACTCAGTTGTGTCACTTCCTCCTAAACAAGCAAAAGGGAGAATTTGGGGATACCCAAAGCCAAAGGTGGATGCCCAGAATCTCTAGTGGTTCAACTCCCCCATCATGGTTAAACTGTAAACCAGAGCTCACAAACCATAATGACTGGAAGTCCTTATGAAGGATAGAAGCCAGCTGGAAATATGTAAAAGGGGATTTCAGAAGAAAAACTTTTAGTAACTTTTTTAAGCCAACGTTTTCAAGTAACAGGATTGTATCACTTTAAACTACAGGTATGTGTGTGTCACATTCTTGATTGCTTCCCCCAAAGAATATTTTCACTGTAAGAAGGTTGCCAAGTTCATTTGTAAAGACTTTTTACATGAAGTACACAGCTGTAAGCTTCCAGATGCTGCTAAACCACCAGCAGCCCCCAGAATCTGGGACTTAAGTTCAAAAACATCTGGAAGGCAAAAGATACTTTACACACACCTCATGTCTAATGATAAGCATCCGCTTGGAATCTTAGTTTAAATTTAACTCATTTCCTCCTTCATACCTGATCTAATGTTAAAAGTTAAACCTGAGTCCATGTAAACATCTTATTGTAACTTGATAAAAATGTAAGAGTTTAATACTGTTTGCACGCAAAGCTATGAAGCTTCTGCTCTAGAAATAGGGAGAAAGAAAGGTCACCTTATTGAAAGTTCTGGTCTCTTAAAAATGGCTAGTCACTCTTAAATACACATTTTTTTAAAAAATAAAATCAAGATCATGAACATTTTTATCTAAATTGGCTTTCTGTTGCCATCCTGAGGTTGTGCTTCTAAGGAGAGAGGAAATACCGTATACACCGATCCAATCTGCCCTCCCAAAGTCAATTGATAATTTATAATATTGATTTTGATGTATAACTGGAGGCAGGGATCCTTGAGCTATTTCCAGCTTGGTTATGTAAAGAAACACACACACAAAAATATGCTTTCCGCTGGAACTCTTGAGTTATTTGGGTTTTCTGGCATTCCATTGGCGTTTTCTTTAGTGGCGTCAAACTGGATTCTGGATCAAAGTTTACACATTTACTTTTCTTCCCACTCTGGTGAAAGTCAAAGCAATAATTGGAGCACAAAACTCAAATTAACTGAGGGGATCAACGGTAAGATTTTTTCCCCCCTGAATTTGTTCTCACAAACGTTGGCCTGGTCTCTTTTAAACCCAGTCCTGGATAGCTGTTGCATTATTACAATATGAAAAATATAATCTACGCAACTAAAACATTTCCAAACTGGAGATCAAATGACGCTAAACACCAGAGTTGAAACCTAAAAAGAGTAAATACCTCCAGTTCTCACAGTTACTGTGTTTCTGCCATAGGCTGGCTACTAGAAAATATGACTTTTGGATATATTTGATTACACGTAACTGTAATCTGTTTGCGGTCTTCTTTTTTGTCTGTTTGTTTTGTGTGGTAGTTTAGCCACAACAAAGGACTAAGGATCCAGTTCATTTGAGGCCTTCCACGCAGCATCTTCGAGCACCCAAATTTGCTACTAGCTTCCACCAGTCCTGCAGGGAAAAAGTTCTTCTGCTGCTGAAAAAAATAATAATAATCCATTCCTAGAAAAGTTACAGGCAGATGAATTGTTTTCACTGTGGGACAATAAATGCCAAGTTGAGGTCAGAGAACAAAGCTCAAGAGTTTTTGGACTCTCTCTCTCTCTCTCTCCTTCTTCTCCTTCTTCTTCCTCTTCCTTTTCCCAGGCTTGGCCAGCTACGTCAGCCATTTGTCAATGCATGTGTCATAGACGGTGCGGTTGGAGTGCCAGTTCGTGTGAGAGACATTGGCCATTTTGCAGAAAACAATGTCGCCACGAGCGTCCAGAGTCTTCAAGCCGAACGTGTCGAGGAGATAGACCTGAGAAAGGAGCAACAAAAACCGAAAGATCAAACTGGGTACACCTTCAAAGCCACTGAGCAGCACCAAAACACACATTTTTGAAGGTTGCAAAGGCAATAAAATCAGTGTTTTTCAATTTTAGCAACTTTAGGATGTGTTTACTTCAACTCCCAGAATTTCCCAGCTGGCTGCTTAAAAAGAAAGCCTTCTGTAAAAGAAAGCCTTCTCACGAGTTCAATCAAACTTCTTGAACTCGCGAGAAGGTTTTCTTTTACAGCGTGTTTCCCTGAACACAACGGCGAGGAAAGTGACGGAGCTTGAAAGGTAAGACCTGCGTCCCGCTTCTTGTGCCCCCCACCTGCCACCCCCAAATTGCATCCCTAAAGGGGGTGGGTGAGAGGTGAAATGCTCCCGGTTCGGACCAGATCACCTGATCCGGTAGCGTTGGAGGCGGGTGGTTCAGAGAACCAATAGCAAAAATCCCTGCCCCCCCCCAATGGCCCAGCTGTGCCGCGCAATCATCAGAGGTTTTTTTTTTTTAATTTTTAAAAGCATTTTTTCTACAACCTCTTTGGCCGAAAAAATGCTTTTAAAAGTAAAAAAAACCACCTCTGATGATCGTGCGGCTCAGCTGGGATCATCAGAGGCTTTTAAAGCATTTTTCTACAACCTCTTCGTCCGAAGAGGTTATAGAACAAATGTTTTTAAAAGGAAAAAAAGCCTCTGCCGATCAGGCAAGTCAGCTGGGATCGTCAGAGGCTTTAAAAAAAAAAAGAAAAAAGAAAGCCTCTGCCAATCAGGCAAGTCAGCTGGGATCGTCAGAGGCTTTAAAAGCATTTTTTTTACAACCTCTTCAACTGAAGAGGTTGTAGAAAAAATGGTTTTAAAAGTAAAAAAAAAAAAAAAAAAGTTGGCCACGGCCACTCAGTCATATTTACCCAAGCCACACCCACAGAACAGGTAGTAACAAATTTTACATTTCACCACTGGGGTGGGTGGCTAAGCAAGGGGCAGGAACCCCGCCATGCCCAGCGAGGAGAGGAAGAAGAGACGCTTCTCTCCCGCCCCACCTGCCACCTGAGACGGTGGGGAAGAGAAGCAGCCAGGCTGCTGTTGCCATTGGGGTGGGGTGGGGCGGGGCGGGACGTGTTGAGCCGCTCGGATGGCGCAAAGAACAGGGAGGGGAGGGCATGTGTTCCCCCCCCTTTACACCCCCTCTGGCCTCGCCTCAACTCATTTTGGTTGCGCGGCAAGTAACCAGAGGAAATGGCGGGACCGGCTGCACATGCGTGTAAGTAGTTGGTGGGAGGGCTTATTTTGCGGGAATGGCTTATATTATCACATGCGCTGAAAAGCCCGATTGGGCTTATTATCTGGACATGTCTTCTTTTCGGGGAAACACGGTAGAACAGCTAAGACATGTCTCCTTACACTCATCTTTCAGGTCTTTTACTGTGACATTAAAGTTTAATTTAATTGATTGCTTTTAAACCCATTATAGAGGTTTCGTTTCTAATTGTTGATAAAGGTCCTTCTTTGGGCAAGGAAGGAAAAATTTTGGGGGATGTACCTGCACTAAAGGGAGGTGTGATGGCAAAAAGTTCAGAAACCACACAATAAACCAAAATATACTGCTCAAAAAAATAAAGGGAACACAAGCAGAAGACATTCGAGATCTGAATGAATGAAATAGCCTTATTAAATACTTTGTTCTTTACATACAGTAGTTTATACACTGCTCAAACAACTAAAGGGAACACAAAACTACTGTGTGTAACGAACAAAGTATTTAATAAGGCTATTTCATTCATTCAGATCTCGGATGTCTTCTGCTTGTGTTCCCTTTATTTTTTTGAGCACTGTATATTCTTCCTACCACATTTTTTCACCTCGCATTGTTAGCCTGTCCTTACTCACCGGCTGAGATGTCATATCCTTTACCGTCTCATTAACATCGTAGAAGGCAAACATACTGTAAAAGAAACAAGACAGAACAATCCAGGTAGATTTGTACAGTGTATCTAATAAATCTGGAAGATACTCCACACCTTCTTCTTTTTAAATATTTTAATTCCTTTTTCATCACTATTTTTATGACCGATGAAGAATTTTATCTTTATATGCATATATGTACCTACTGTCAGGGTTCCAAGTAATAAACCCATAGCAAACAGAACTCCAAAGCAGGAAAATTCCTCAAAGAACAATTTATTTGGATATATTGGCACAGACTGGTGAAAACCAACTCTAAATTTTCCTGTGATTTTCACCTAATTAAAAGTAAATGTTTTCCAGTTTTCCCAAACAAACAGTCACATGGTCCAATCAGGGTGCTGTCCGGTTGCTTGGTAACATCACTCCTCCTTTTTCAGCCACTGTTGGAATGTCCTTGGTTCCCAGGGGAAAGTATTTTGTTTTGGCTATAAACCCCCAGCTATCTCTATATCCCCCTCTCTAGCCCTCATCTCCATCCCCTCAAAGATGGCCTCAATCAGGCCAGCTTCAGAGTTGACACCTACACTGTTCAAAGACCATAATAAAATGAACCCACTTACTAGAGGTACAGATGATGTATAAGTACAGAGTGAAAAAATAAAGACAAAGAGAACAAAGGATGGTTAAGATGAAGAAAAAGAGGAAATGCAAAGAATTGGAAATAAAAAGTTTTGGAAGTGGCTGAAGAGGAGTGAAGAACTCCTCCGCCCACCCACCCGTGTCGTTACTTCCGGCTTTTAAAAGGTTAAAAAAAAGGCTCTGACGATCGCGCACCACAGCTGCGATTGTCAGAGCCTCTTTTTTTTACCTTTTAAAAGCATTTTTTTACAACCTATTCGCCCGAATAGGTTGTAAAAAAATGCTTTGAAAAAGAAAAAGAAAAAGTTGGCCACGCCCACCCAGTCACATTACCCCCCCCCCACCAAGCCACGCCCACAGAACTGGTAGTAACAAATTTTACATTTCACCACTGGTTTCAAGTGGTGTTAAACAGCTTCTTCTTGCTAAAACCTTTTAAGTGGCGATCAGCACTTGGCTTCTCTCAGTCCAGAATTGAATCTCTTGCTTGCCATGTTTGAAGCTCACCTGGATTCCCAGGGCATGATGACCCCGTCATCTGGGCCGCCGATCAGGATCAGCTTGCGGATACGCAAAAGGTTTCTCTTCCACGCTGCGAGAGGAGCAGAATTTCAGAAATGTGGTTACTTTCCTCAGTTTCTCCCCTTTCCCTTCTCTCCCCTTTCCCTCTTCCTGCCCCCTCATCAGTCAACAAAAAAAACCCTTTCCCCGTGCCCTTCTTCTACTATGGTTTACAGAAAGTTTGGAATCTCAAAGGTGCTTTTTTAATTTATTTTTAGTTTATTTATTTATTTATTATTAGATTTATATACCGCCCTACTCCCGAGGGACTCAGGGGGTGAACAGCCAAGAGATAAAACACACAGAATTACAAAATTTAAAAACAGTATAAAAACCTAATTAAATAAATTTGGCCCAGAACAGATTAAAACACCCCTAAAAAAATTTTCAAGAGGCAACTGGGCTTTCTGGTTTTTCTGTGAAGACGTTTCGCTTCTCATCCAAGAAGCTTCTTCAGCTCTGACTGGAGGAAGAAGCTTCTTGGATGAGAGGCGAAACGCCTTCACAGAAAAACCAGAAAGTCCAGTTGCCTCTTGAAAAATGCACCTGAGAATCTCCATAGACAGAAATTTTGGAAATTTTCCTCCTATTTTTATAAAAGGCATAAGCCATAAAACAAGTTCTACTTATTTTATCTTCCCCTATTTGGTACTCTCAATTTCTTGTTGGGATTGCCCCTTTCCTTTCCCAAAGGATTCTGGGAATTGTGGTCCCCACATTTCTGGAAATTCTGAGGTTTACGGGAGGAGTATTTTAAGCCTTTAAGTTGTGAGTTGTTTGCAGCCAACAAAATTACCCATATAATTTTGGATTATGGATTATATAAATATAATCCATAAAAATAGGGGACAGAAAACATGCCTTCAGTTTTACAGAGATTTGAGGACATCTATAAAAGACATCATCATCATCATTTAATGATCCCACAATCCCTTGCAGGGTGGAGTCTAGGCAACTGAATGAAGCTAGCAGAGTGTTTTAATGGCCGGATGCCTTTCCTGTTGCCAGTGTAGAGTTTTATTCAACATATATATTATCAGTGTGCCCAGAGAGAGAAATATCTGCCTCTACCTAGGATCAAACTCACAGCCTCCTGATTGTGAGGCAAGAGCTCCACCTCTAGGCCACCGCACCACTCCTATAAAAGATGTTATATCTCTTAAAAAGCAGACATAAAATACAGATACTCCTCAATTTACAACCATTCATTTAGTGACCGTCTGAAATTACAATGTCACTGAAAAAGTGACTTGGGATCATTTTTCACACTTATGACTGTCGCAGCATCCCCATGGGTCATGTGATAAAATTTCAGATGCTTGACAACTGGTTTATATTTCTGTCGCCTGCAGTATCCCAGGATCATGGGATCACTTTTTGCGACCTTCCAATGAGCAAAGAGAATCAAAAAGCCATGATTCACTTAACAACCGTTTTACTAACTTAATAACTGCAGTGATTCACTTAATAACTGTGTCAAGAAAAGTCATAAAGTGGGCCAAAATTCATTTAATAATGCTCTCACTTAGCAACAGAAATTTTGGGCTCCATTTTGGTCGTAAATTAAGGGCTACCTGTATGTTTACGGGAGACCTAAGTGGAAAAGGCACCTATTTTCTCTTTAAAATGACTAAAAAATGAGTCTGATTATTTCAGCTTCACCTACTCCAATGTCATCATAATATCACTGGCCACGCCCCTCACATGGCCCCAGGTAGAGAGGAAGTTCCAGGCCAAAAATAAATTTTCCTGCTCTACCTGTAGACCAATGAAACAAACCATTCAACCTCCAGGAAATGTCTAGTAAAGTTGTCATGTCTGATGCATTTAATTATCTCCTTTTTCCCCTTCTGGCTTTGTTCCTTTTTTTACTTTTAAGATTTGTGATCTGGCAATTATTTTTATGAATTAATGCATTGGTTGGACTACTGTTTCCTGACCTTGGAACAACTTTAAGATGATGTGAACTCCTAAAATTCCCCAGCTACTGAAGGATTATGGGAGTGGAAATTCTGGCTGGGGAATTCTGGGAGTCGAAGTCCACACATTGCCAAGATTAAAAAAACAAAACAACAACACTGGTTTAGGCAGTTAGCAGAAATGATTCAGAAGAATAAAATTATTTCATGCCATAAAAGCTATCCCCGAAGCAAGAATTTTGAATGGCATTTCATGACACAGCTGCCTGCAATTACTGCTGGTTCGAATCTTACCAGGCTCAAGGTTGACTCAGCCTTCCATCCTTTCTAAGGTAGGTTAAATGAGGACCCAGTTTGTGGGGGCAATAAGCTGACTTTGTATAAATATACAAAAGTATGAAGGCTATTGCTTAACGCATTGTAAGCCGCCCTGAGTCTCCGGAGAAGGGCGGCATATAAATCAAAATTAAAATAAAAAATAAATAAATAAAATGAGTTATCGCAAAGGCTGGAAGTTTGACAAGCTTGAACTTTAACTCATGAAATGCCATTCAACTGATCATTCAGCTGATGTGGCTTGGCCAGGCCTCCATGAAAGGCTCAGGCAAGGGGGAAAAAAAAATTAAGCAACAATTTTTCCAGTCACCTTGCATTCTCTATATTAGGAAATGTTTTGCTTGCACATTTAGTCATGTGTACTCCTGCTTCTAAACTACTGCTGGAGGCACAGAGGCAGCTCTATCTGTAAGGCAGAGTTTGGACAGGCTCCTAAAAATAATCCGTTTTGGCAGGGATACATTGGAGCTTCGGTTTGCTCTGGGGGTTTGAACAGAAAATCGCAGAGCTGGAGAGAGCTATTTTGGGTACTGAATCTTCGTGGTGCAGGAATTGAACTAAAGCATCCTGAATTAATGGCTGCCTAGCCACTACAGGTACTCTCTGACAACAATAGAACCTGGAATTTTTCAGTCGTAAGTTGTGAGGATCATAAATTGAGATACCACGTGACTGGACTTGTTTTTAACGATAATTTTTTACGACAGTTGTAAAGTGAATCGTATGGTTGTTAAGCAAATCTATTCTTCTCGTTTTTGCCAGAAAAGAGTCACTCTGAGAGCGAGATGGGCGATACCTCAATTTGATTAAATCACTTTAAAAATGTACCAAATTGCAGTCATGTGTCTACGGGATGCTACAACAATCGTAAATGTGAGCTGGTTGCTTGTACTTGTGTGGTCACGGGACCATGGGGGGGAGGGGAAGGGTGGTAGTCATAACTTCATAAGTTATGGGTCATAAGTAGTTTTTTTAAAAATCTGTCATAACCTTTAAGTGATTGTTAAATGACGAGTCATAAGTCAAGAACAATCTATATCTGTAATGGCGAACCCATGGCACGTGTGCCATAGGTGGCACGCGGAGCCACATCGATGGACACGCGAGCATTGCCCTAGCTCAGCTCTGGCACGCGCATCTGATTTTCAGGCCTTCAGGGCCCACTGGAAGTCGGCAAATGGGCCGTTTCCGGCCTCCAGAAGCTTTCTTGGAGCCTGGGGAGGGCGAAAAACAGGCCTACCGGGCCCACTGTGCCATCGCCTGCCAAAAGTGGGGGTCACGTGGGGGGGGTCGCGTGTGCATGCGCAGGGGGCAGGGGGCATTGAATTAAGGGTATGGGCACACAGGCACACAATCCCCCTGCTTTTGGCACGCGATGGCAAAAAGGTTAGCCATCACTGATCTATATCCTTCCTTGTTTGGCTGTAATTTAGAAATGAAGACTCTGCAGCCTTCTAGACCTTGATGAACTAAAACTCCCAGCATCCTTTGTTGTACCAGTCATACTAGCAAAGCCTTGTGGGAGTGGTAGTTTAACAACCTTTGAAGTGCCATGTTTTTGCATCCAAATTGGACCATTCAAGGTATCTGGCTGCATTTTTCGGCCCCGGGAAGAACTAACATCAGTTCATAGTTTAACAGCAAATTCTGGTACAAGAATTAAGGCAATTAAGATAATAACGGTAGTCCTCTACTTACAACAATTCATTTACTGAATGTTCAAAGTTACAACAGCACTGAAAAAAGTGACTTATGACCGTTATTCACACTTATGACCTTTGCAGCATCCCCATGGTCACGTGATCGAAATTCAGATGCTCGGCAGCTGACACATATTTATGACGATTGCAATGTCCCACAGTCGCGTGATCAATTTTTGTGACCTTCTGACAAGCTAAGTTAATGGGCAAGCTGGATTCAATTCACAACTGTGTTGCTAACTTTAACAACTGCAGTGATCCACTTAACAGGTGTGGCAAGAAAGGTCATATAAAATGGGGCAAAATTCACCTAACAACTGTCTCGCTCAGAATTGGAAATTTTGAGCTCGACTGTGGTCGTAAGTCGAGGACTATCTGTATTTTGAATTAACCACAAAGCAGGAATATGTGGTGTTTGCTACTCCACCATTCTCCCTTATGTACTGGAATTGAAGGATGTTAAAAAAAACATTTACCACTTGCATTGGGGTGGAATCTCTCATCATTCAACACGGCCAAGAAATTGCTATTGTTGAGGTAAAGATCTCGATGGTGTGGGTCTGAAAATGCAAAAGACACAGGGGAGGGAGGGGAAGAGAGAAAAATAAAGAGAGCACTCTTGTTTTGTTTCTGTATCTAAAGTATATCAATTAAATCACTAAATCAACCTTGAGATTTAGAGCAATGTATGAACCTAGCCTAAATTTGTCTGCCCTCCTGCAGTTTAGATATGAAAGCAGATCTGAACCAATTTTTAATACTGAAAACGAGCAATTAAAAATGCTAATTTAACACTTTTGGCATCAATAATACTATTTTTGGCTCGGTAAGCAATGCCTCATACAGCCCCCACACTGGAAACAGAAAATGTGGATAAATATTGGCCTATTAAGGAATTATATGGAAGCTGAGGCCAAATCAAACATCCCATTGAGACATTATTTAGTTTTAGCTAAGTCTATAGCATGAGTTCAGTGACTATAATTTGAAAACCACAGCTTATGGTTTAGTGAGTTGTATTCACCCAACTCAATTACATTTGGCCATCCAACTTGGCTTAAGACAAGAACCAGGCCAAAAGATGAGTTCACCAATTGCATGATTAACCACAATGCAATTTCTTTGGTTATAGCTTAGCGCTATTAGCTGAGCTACTGGAACTTCGTCAAACCACAATTAAAACAAACCATGGCCTCACACAATATATGAATTCAGCAATATAGGTGAAAACATTCTGGAGAGAGAGAAGTTCCCTGAGGATCGGATCCAGCACGAGTCTGAAAGCTCGGAAGACAAAACCTCTAGTCCTGGCGACCGACCCAGATTTGATCTTGCAACATTATGCTGAGACACGTATATTTGCCTTCGTTTGTAGGTGAAAACAGTTTAAACCCTCCAAAGCCCCCCCATGAAATGCAGAATAACTGCTGAAGTCACAAAGCAGACTGAATTTTACCATTCCAGTAGTTACAGATGGAAATATCTTGACCCAGCTGTGTGTAGCAGAGGCGGTAGAGGTTGCTTTTCATGTAGTGTGGAAAGAGCCACTTCAAGTACTTGGTGTCTGAATTGAAAAAGAAATGTAGAGGATGCCAATGAACAGTTTCCCCACCACTGTTTTAAGTTCAGGATCTTCTATCCCAGGGCTCTGCAACCTTAAACACTCAAAGAGCCATTTGGACCCATTTCCCACAGAAAAGAAAACACCAGGAGTCACAAAATCCTTCCCGTGCCTGCCTATTTCTTGAGCGGCCACAAAACTAGCATATATAGTTGAATTAAACATTTTGTTTTTCTTCTGAAACTTTTCTTCGCTTGGATTTATCCATGGTTGGCCTACGAGGGGTTGAAAAGCTCAATAAATCGCATGCCGGCAAGTGTCACACATTGGCGGTTGTGATGCATATTTTGAGTGACAGGGAGCCATAGCAGAAGAGTGAAAGAGCCACATGCGGCTCCAGAGCCACAGGTTGCTGACCCCTGTTCTATCCTTTTGTAACCCAATCTGCTGTTTCCAGACAGGATGGCCCTGTATGCCTTTGGGAAGGCTAAAGCATACAAGGCAACTAACTGGCGTAGCCATCCCTAATCTTAGCTCCTTTTCAAAATAAATAAGCGATATGCATCCCAGCTAATTTGGGAGCTGAAATCCACCTATTTGGAGGTGGCTCCAGTTGGAAAAGCTAGGAGATGGGGCTGTCAAAATTCCAGAGATTTCCATCTTAGCAATGCAAATATAAATATAAATAAATGTATACGGGTAAATACAGGTAGTCCTCGACTTACAACAGTTCATTTAATGACCAAAGTTACAAAGGCACTGAAAAAAGTGACTTATGGCCATTTTTCACACTTACAACCATTGCAGCATCCCTGTGATCACATGATCAAAATTGTTGGCAGATTCTTGGCAACTGACTCACATTTATGACGGTTGCAGTGTCCCGGGGTCAAGTGATCCCCTTTTGAGACCTTCTGACAAGCAGAGTCAATGGGGAAGCCTGATTCACTTAACAGCTGTGTAACTAATTTAACAACTGCAGTGATTCACTTAATAACTGTGGCTCGAAAGGTCGTAAAATGGGGGAAAAGTCACTTAACAAATGTCTCGCTTTACAACATGAATTTCGGGCTTAACTGTGGTCTTATGTTGAGGACTACCTGTACAAATCTATGTTTAAATATAATAAGAAGCCAATGCATAAATGGAGGAGCAGAAATGAAACATCTGGATTGGTGAGACATGAACGGTAAACCAAACAGGACAAGGGATAAGATACTGAAAATGAAATATTATACTTTGTTGTCATAGAAATGACTAGTATCTATCAGAAATGTAAAGCAAAAAGTTGAGTTTCTAACTAGACTTTGTATTCTACTGCACCAAAAAGAGTTATAAGTCAATTCGTTTTTCCTTACACTCCAGACTTGCGTCCCAAAGTCCCACACAAATGTCACCAGAGCATCCCTTATCCTTGTTTCAGGGGTGGGCTCCTGGGGGTTCGGGCGATCCTCTAGCCAAGGATCGCTGAGGCTCGGCGAACCCCCAAATGCCACCCCTGGCTGGCCATGCCCACCCCACCCCTCCCAGGAGTCTCACGTGGCCCGTTCATCATTCCAAGTAAGTGCAGGGTCTGGGAAGGCAAAAAATGGGCCTACCAGAGGTTATAGAAGTCCGGAAATGGGCCTGTTTCTGGCCTCCGGAGGGCCTCCGGACTCTGGGGGAAGCTGTTTTTGCCCTCCCGGAGGCTCGAAGAAAGCCTACAGAGCCTGGGGAGAGTGAAAAACGCCCCCGCCCCCTCCTCCCCGCCATGGTATAGGCGGCTGACTAGGCCACACCCACCATGGCCACGCCCACCCAGCAATAGTAGGGTAGCGAACCCAGCGAACTAAAGGATCTGAAGCCCACCCCTGCCTTGTTTCATTACTTACCCCCATATTGCCCCATTTGCGGGGAGGAGAGAGAGATGAATGTGTCCACATTGTGGTCGGGCATCGTAGAAAGCAGAGCACGACAAATGAGTCCTCCTGTAGGACAGAGTGAAAATTGTCAGGGAATTGCGCAGCCGGTATCCAAATGGAGTCAGAGACGTTGACACGGGCTTCTAGTTTTAGATAAATAGCAATAACACATAGACTTATATACCGCTTCACAGTGCTTTTACAGCCCACTCTAAGCAGTTTACAGAGCCACACACTGGTCCAGGGGTGAGTTCTAAATTTTTTTACTACTGGTTCTGTGGACGTGGCTTATTTTGTGGGCGTGGCTTGATGGTCATGTGACAATTCTTTAGGATTTAGCAGAGGTACTGGTCTACCAGGCTTTTAACTGCTTGCAGAACTGTACCGGTCTACTCATTTATTTTTGCAGGCACTGGTCTACCCATTTATTTTTGCAGGCACCGGTCTACTCATGTATTTTTGCAGGCACCGGTGTACATATGTATTTTTGCAGGCACTGGTCTACCCATTTATTTTTGCAGGCACCGGTCTACTCATTTGTCTTTGGAGGCACCAGTCTACCACCAAACTGCCTTTTACCACTGATCAGCTGTAGGGCGGCCCTTTGAAGCCCCGCAGCAAGAGTATAAACAGTTTTTTTCCTTATAGCCCATCAGCTAGGACTCAGGAGACAGCAATAGATTGGGGGTGGGGCCAAATAAAAGGTAAGAATAACATGGGGGGGGCGGGGGATGGGGGTGGGCAGAACCGGTTCGGTGACGTCATATTGTCACCGCTACCGGCTTGGCGGAACTGGGCTGAACCAGGAGGAACCCACCACTGCATTGGTCCCAATAATCTGGATCCTCGGAGGGATGGAAGGCTGAGTCAACCTTAAGCAGGTCAGGATCGAACTGCTGGCAGTCGGCAGAATTAACCTTCAATGTTGCATTCTAATCTCTGCACCATCGCGGCTCTTGCATATGGCATTATGATGTACATTTTGACATCATACTTAGGAACAACCGCCAATGGTTGTAAACTATGGGAATACTGCATTCTAACCACAGCACCATCACAGCTCTGATGTTAAATAAATATATTTTAAGGGGTCCTTGGTACTCTCTGAACTTGCTTGTTTTCTTACAGACGTTTCATTACCCTAACTAGGTAACCTCATCAGTGCTAGTAGGGAGTGCTGTTTGCTGTCAGTTTATATTCTGGTGACTTGCCTGTCTGTGTAGGTGGGTCTTAGAAATTCTCTGGTTGGGCTGTTTACCGATGGCTCTTTGGCAGTTCTTTGATTGGGGTATTGTTTACTCGATTGTTGGTCTGAAGTTAACCTTGGAGTCAATCTATGCTGATCTGGGTGCGGATTACTGGTGGAGAAATGCTGGTGGAGTCTTTTTGTTCTCTTTTGGGCTGCTTAATTGCCTCTTTTGCATTGTCTGTAGATGCTGTTAATGTCTATGTGTCTATTGATGGCTGATTTGTCAGAGTGCCGGCCTTCTAGAAATTCCCCGGCATTTTTGGACATGGCTTAGTCTAGGATGGTGACGTTTTCCCAATTGAAACTATGGTCGAATCTGTCTATGTGTTGTGAAATTAAAGAATTTTCGTCACGTCTTCTTCTGGCTGCTAGTTTTATTTTATTTTATTTTTTTTATTTTATTTTTCAATTTATATACCGCCCTTCTCCCTGAGGACACAGGGCGGTGCACAGCCAGAATTAAAAACATGAAATACAAATATTAAAAACAATTAAAATATATATAAATTTGGCCCAAAAATTTAAAAATCACAAACCAATTAAAACATTAAAAATTTTAAAAATTTCTTCCAAACCAGCCAGTTGGTATTCATAGATGTTTTTCTGCCAATGTAGATGCCATTTAACATCTATATTTATAGAGTATAAGATAGTCAGGCACATCAGTACATCATGAGGTAAATCACAGCATACAGGGCACAGAGAAAAAAAAGCAGGGAAAATGGGGGAAACTCCCCCTCCACACCAGAGGTGGGTTTCAGCAGGTTCTGACCAGTTCTGGAGAACCGGTAGCAGAAATTTTGAGTAGTTCGGAGAACCAGTAGTAAAAATTCTGACTGGCCTCGCCCCCATCTATTCTCTGCCTCCCAAATCCCAGCTGATCGGGAAGAAATGGGGATTTTGCAGCAACCTTCCCCTGGAGTGGGGAGGGAATGGAGATTTTGCAGTATCCTTCCCTTGCCACACCCACCAAGCTACACCCACAGAACCGGTTGTAAAAATTTTTGAAACCCACCATTGCTCCACACCCCACAGCAACCAATCACAGCGCAGATTGACTCACGCGGGAGCCGGCGCTCTTCAATCAATCACAACTGTGTGTTGTGGCTCACTGCACAATCCCACTGCTCCAGCCAGTGGCGGATTAAGGCTCACTGGTGCCCTAAGCACTGACAAATCTTGGTGCCCCCCCCCGCCTCCTTTGTATATACTGTACGAATCTTCATTGGGTTTTTTTTCTTTCTCGATTTTGTGGTGCCCACTTTGGGCTTGATGCCCTAAGCCAGGGGTGGGCAAATATGGCCCCTTTATGACCTGTGGACTTCAACTCCCAGAATTCCTGAGCCAGCTTGCCAGGAATTCTGGGAGTTGAAGTCCACAGGTTGTAAAAGGGCCACAGTTGCCCATCCCTGCCCTAAGCACATGCTTAGTCTGCTTAATGGTTAATATACCACTGGCTCCAGCTACTAAATTTAAAGATCTTAACAGAAAAGAATCAAGTTTTAGAAAAGGGGCAACAGCTCCCTTCTTCTCCCAACACAATCTAAGTCTATATAACGTCCACATCACAACCTTTCTTTCTTTCTTTCTTTCTTTCTTTCTTTCTTTCTTTCTTTCTTTCTTTCTTTATTTATTTATTTATTTATTTATTTATTTATTTTTTATACCGCCCTTCTCCCGCAGGACTCAGGGCGGTGAACAGTCATAAATAACATACATATAAAATGTGAAATAAAGCAATTTAAAATAATTAAACCTTTGTCTCTAAATGGTCACCCAAATAAAAAAATGGTCTTCTACCTTAACTTTTGGGGCCTTCCATGAAAAAACACCTTTCACAATATATAGAAGATTTGAAGATTAGAAGTGAGGCCTTTGGAGTACAGTAGTCCTCAACTTCCAACCGCCTGTTTAGCAACTGTTTGAACTTATAATGCCACTGAAAAAAAAAAGAGATTTACAGCTGGTCCTCACACTTATGACCATTGTAGCAGCCCCATCCAAATTTGAGGGCTTAGCAGCTGGTATGCAGCATCCCAAAGTCATGTGATCATGAAGTTGCGACCTTCCCAGCCGCCTTCAGGCAAGCAAAGTCAATGGGAGAAGTCGGATCTGCTTAATGACCAAGTGATTCACTTAAAAGCTGTTTAACAACCATAGCAAAAAGCTGTCGGAAAATCAGGCGCGACACATACTTTGCTTAGCAATGGAAATTCTAATCCCAATTGCACCTGGAAGTCGAGAACTACAGATAGTCCTCGGTTTACGACCACAATCAAGCCCAACATTTCTGTTGCTAAAGTGGGACATTTGTTAAGTGAGTTTTGCCCCATTTTACGACCTTTCTTCCCACAGTTGTTAAGCGAATCACTGCAGTCGATAAATTAGTAACCCGATTGTTAATGAATTCTGGCTTCCCCCATGATTTTATTTTTATTTTTTTATTTGTTTTTTAATTTTATTTGTTTTAATTTGTATACCTTGTTTTAATTTGTAGACTTTGCTTGTCAGAAGGTCGCAAAAGGGGATTGCGTGACCAGGGTGGATTTGATTTAAATCGAGTTGATTTAAATTGATGACAATTTAAATCATGATTTAAATAACTAGTAAAAAGGCTTGATTTAAATCAACTCGATTTAAATCATAATTTTTAAAGAGCAACTGTCATCTCTACTACTCCTTTGACCCACTGTTGACTCACCAATAGTCCCAGTGTTGCAGAATATATAGCCTCATGCTACATAACTAAGCTCCATTTCATGCTGAATAAACTAAATTATTTATGTATCTTAAATAGAAAACTATCTTATGATAGATTTTTACCCCAAAAGTTTTTTATTAAAATAAATTCGATAAAAATCAAAAAAATCCGATTTAAATCAAAAAAATCTGATTTTTTTGATTTTTTAAAAAAAATCATTGATTTTTATCCACCCTGTGCATGACCTTGGGACACAGCAAAGGTCACAAGTATGAACCAGTTGCCCATGGTTCACTGGGCAACTGTGAACTGTGATCTGAACACCAGATCACATGACCATGGGGATCCTACAAAGGCCGTAACCGTGAAATCGGTCACAGGTCGCTTTTTTCAGTGCCGTTGTAACGGGTCACTGAATGAAATGCTGTAAGTCAAGGACTACTTGTACCTGTATTTCTCCTCAGATTTAGAAACATCTGTGAGTTTTGCAAGGACATTATGACAAAGTGGCATCAAAGTTTATGACAAACATTACAAATATTTTCATACGCAACAAACTTCCTAAATGCAAACTAACAGAATGAGCCTTGCCCTGGATTGGCCCTTGATGAGCAAGTGGAGGCAGAAGTTGACCAGCCCTTTTCACATTTTCCCACAGAGTCGCTGAGCTAACATTGCTTTAGGCCACTGTTTCTCAACCTCAGCAGCCTGAAGAATGTGTGAACCAACTCCCAGGTCAAAGAAGGGAGGCTTAAAGATGACTGGGTGGTGTCCATACAGTCCAATCATCTTTTTTCTTGAATACATGTTTCTCTAGGCCCTGAGTTGCAAGCCAGGATGTTATGAAAATCGCTTTTTTGCTTTAGGTCTCCAGCTCAAACAAATATGGAGAAGATATGGTGAAGTGAATACACAAAGAGGAAGGGTTTGAATCTATAGGGGAACTATTATTATGGCAGCTTTGTTTAGAATAGAACAGAGTAGAGTAGAGTAGAGTAGAGTAGAGTAGAATAGAATAGAATAGAATAGAATAGAATAGAATAGAATAGAATAGAATAGAATAGAATAGAATAGAATAGCAGAGTTGGAAGGGACCTCAGAGGTCTTCTAGTCCAGTGGTCCCCAACCCCCGGTCCGCGGACCGGTGCCGGGCCGTGGAGTACCTGGCACCGGGCCGCGCAGCGGCCGGGGGACATGAACGCTGCAGCGCAAAGGCTCCTGGGCCGTGCGCAAAAGCTCCTGGGCCGTGCGCAATGGGCCGTGCGCAAAAGCTCCTGGGCCGTGCCTCCACCCCTGCGCGCGCTCAGCGAGCCGCGGCGATAAAAAGGTTGGGGACCACTGTTCTAGTCCAACCCCGTTTAGGCAGGAAACCCTACGCCACTTCAGACAAATGGTTATCCAATCTCTTCTTAGAAACTTCCAGTGTTGGAGCATTCGCAACTTCTGGAGGCAAGTTGTCCCACTGATTCATTGTTCTAACTCTCAGGAAATTTATCCTTATTTCTAAGTTGCTTCTCTCCTTGATTAGTTTCCACCCATTGCTTCTTGTCCTGCCCTCAGGTGCTTTGGAGAATAGCTTGACTCCCTCTTCTTTGTGGCAGCCCCTGAGATATTGGAACACTGCTAACATGTCGCCCCTAGTCCTTCTTTTCATTAAACTAGACATACCCGGTTCCTGCAACCGTTCTTCATATGTTTTAGCCTCCAGTCCCCTAACCATCTTTGTTGCTCTTCTCTGCACTCTTTCTAGAGTCTCCACATCTTTTTTACATCATAGCGACCAAAACTGGATGCAGTATTCCAAGTGTGGCCTGACCAAGGCATTATAAAGTGATATTAACACTTCACGTGATCTTGATTCTATCCCTCTGTTTATGCAGCCTAGAACTGTGTTGGCTTTTTTGGCAGCTGCTGCACACTGCTGGCTCATATTTAAATGGTTGTCCACTAGGACTCCAAGATCCCCCTCACAGTTACTACTATTGAGCAAGATACCACATAAACTGTACCTGCGCATTTTGTTTTTCTTTCCTAAATGTAGAACCTTACTTTTTTCACCTCTGAATTTCATTTTGTTAAATAGCGCCCAATGTTCAAGTCTGTCAAGATCCTTCTGCATCTTAAGCCTATCTTCTGGAGTGTTGGCTATTCCTGCCAGCTTGGTGTCATCTGCAAATTTGATGAGTTCCCCATCTATCCCCTCGTCCAAGCCATTGATGAAGATGTTGAAGAGTACTGGGCCTAAAACAGAGCCTTGGGGTACTCCACTGCATACTTCCCTCCATGTAGATGCAGTTCCATTGAGGACTACACGTTGAGTGCGGTTGGTCAGCCAGTTATGAATCCATCTGGAGGTGATGCTGCCTAACCCACATTTTTCTACTTTATCTAGTAGTAGGTTATGGTCTATCAAATGACTTACTGAAATCCAAGTAAATTATATTGACAGTAGTCCTCTGTTCCACTAATTTTGTCACATATGGTTTAGTGTAGGCCAGGGTCGGCAACCTTAAACACTCAAAGGGCCACAAAGGTTCTAACCAGAAGCCCCCATTCAATTCTGGAGCCGACTGGAAGTCCGGTTCCCCCATCATAGTCTCCTCCTAGCGTGGCACCCTTTTTCCTCCGCCTGTCCTAACCGAAAGCCCTATCAATTGTGGAGCCGACCAGCAACAGGGAGCCACAGCAGAGGGATGAAAGAGCCACATGCGGCTCCAGAGCCGCGGGTTGCTGACCTCTGGCACTTATGGTTTAGTGTAGGCAACGAATATGTTGTTGTTCAGCTTAAACAGTGCCACTCAAACCTAAACCTCTCTCTCTCCAGACCTGTGATGGCGAACCTTTGACACTTGTGTCAAAGTTGACATGCTACAACATTTTGGGTGATGCATCAGTGTTCACCGATACCTGACAACAGCTATTCTCAAGAGCATCCGCTGATTTTGCGTGATTTTTGGAGGTTGCAGAGGCAATGCAAGAATGGATTATTGTTATTGTCATGTGAGAATGGGGCACATGGTTTTTGGAGGCCACGAAAAAGCGTTTTTAGAAACTACTATAAAAATGAAGGCCTTGTGTGACTCAAATTTTCCTTGGATGGGCCACAGGGACCCATCAAGAGAAAGGGAACACCTCCAGAAGCTAAGTGGTACATGGCAGGAGAGACAATCAGACTGTTCCCCATTACTTGTGAGGTGGCTTTTTTAAGTGGCATCGGTTGCACTAAGGCTGAAGTCAAGGCTTAGTGCACTACTCAGGTTTAGGCCCAGCACTGTCCCTAAGTCCAGGGTGGCCGAGATGGGAGGGCAATAAGCTAGAGAATTGTTTCTCTTTTGCTTTGTGTGTGTGTGTGTAGTGTGTTTGTAAGAGAGAGGGGGGAAGGGAGGGAGATTATCTATCTATCTCTAACACTATATACATCTCTCTCTCTCTCTCTCTCTCTATGTATCTATTTTCTATCTCTATCTATATACATATATCTCTATATATCTCTATATACATATACATATATCTCTATCTCTATCTCTATATCTTCTATCTATCCATCTAGCTAGTTAGCTAGCTATCCATACATGCTGGACCATTAGCCATTCAATCCCATTTTAAGATGCCCTTCCTATGGGAACTTTTTTTGGGGGTCAGTGTTTTTGTGGTGCTGGGGCCCTCTGTCTTATAAGTATCAATTATTATTATTATTATTATTATTATTATTATTATTATTATTATTATTATTATTATTTATTTGTTAGTCGTATTTCTATGCCGCCCACTCTAAGAGGACTCTGGGCGGCTTACACCAAAGACAGTATACTAAATAGCATATTGCCCCCTAACAATCTGGGTCCTCATTTTACCCACCTCGGAAGGATGGAAGGCTGAGTTAACCTCGAGCCGGTGAGATTTGATCCGCTGATCTGCTGAACTAGCAGTCAGCTGAAGTAGCTGCAGTACTGCACTCTAACCACTGTGCCGCCTCGGCTCATACCAACTACACCAAACACGACTGTTACTGTGTTTCCCCGAAAATAAGACCCTGTCTTATATTTTTTTTGGAACCCTGAAATAAGTGCTTGGCCTTATTGCCATGTGCTCAAAAGCCTGATTGGTCTTATTATCAGGGGATGTCTTATTTTGGGGGAAACAGGGTATGTGGGGAAGTATGTATGACATATAAATGTAATAAATAAATAAGTACAATAAAATTTGAGGACAAATAGCCAAAGAAATCATCCAGGTTCCCCAGATCATTGATAATAATCCCCTACCTCTATTTCTGAACAAAGGTAAGATAAAAGATCCAAACATTAAAAAGAACTGTTGAGATTATATCAAGGAAGGCTGGCAGATAATGCTTCTCCTGGATTGGCAACAACAGAAGGCATTAGAACCTCAGCCCAACTTTTAATTTTAATTTAATGTTAGTCTCTCAGCTAACATTGCTTTAGGCCAGTGTTTCTCAACCTCAGCAGCTTTACCATGGATGAACTTCAACTCCCAGAATTCCTCAGCCAGCATGATTGCAGGCTCCATTGTAGTTGTAGGTGACTCAGTTAGCCCCTTCCAATATGGAGACAGACCTTTCTTTGGCCATACCAAGAGCCCCCCGTACCTTGTGAGTAGCAGTAAAGGTGGACCCCGTCGACAGCATTCTGCATAATGGGGTAAATCGCTTGTCGGAACCCCTCCACTTGCATCCATAGAGATTTCAAGCTTTCCGTTCGGTCGAACAAATCCACAACTGAAACGTTGGTTCCTGGATGAGTCTGTAGGAATTTGACAGGGGTGAAGAGCACAAGACATTTTCAATCCTTCATCACATTCTTTGGATGTTGGGAAAAATCTAGGCTGAAGCCGAACCTAAACTGAACCTCAAGGAAGAAGACTGAAGCATAAATGCTGGAACATAAATGTAACGGTGCTGTAAAATAAATCTCACACGTGAACTACCAAGTTACATAGAGTCTTTTTTCCTGTCAGTAAAGTAGCAACACACAGCTTTCAACAACGAGGAAGGATGAGGGAAGTATCAAAGATTTACAAAGAGGAAACTTAAGCCCTGCACTACTCCAATCTTTATCTCTTCCTTCTAGATACTAATATCATAAACATAAAGATACATCTGTTACTTAGTCCCAACTTATTCCTTATTTCCATCAGGGAAGATCTGATGGTCCAGTTTCTCTTAAATATTTTTGTCCCAAACCAATGTTGCCCAAAGTCTAGTCCAGTGGTGGTTTCAAAATTTTTTACTACCGGTTCTGTGGGTGTGGCATGGTCGGCATGGCATGGCATGGTGGGCGTGGCTTGGTGGGTGTGGCAGGGGAAGGATACTGTACAATCTCCATTCCCTCCCCACTCCAGGGGAAGGTTACTGCAAAATCCCCATTTCCTCCCGATCAGCTGGGACTCGGGAGGAAATGGGGATTTTGCAGTAACCTTCTGGGCTGGGACTCGGGAGAATAGATGGAGGCAGGGCCATTCAGAGGTGGTATTTACCGGTTCTCCGAACTACTCAAAATTTCCGCTATCGGTTCTCCAGAACCGGTCAGAACCTGCTGAAACCCACCTCTGTACTCAACGCATTTTGATGTGAATGTTTTGTCCTGGTACTCATTGTTTGTTTAGTATTCAACACATGAGCTAGAACTTGTCGGGATCAGCTGTCTTGTGACTCACTACATAATTCCTTATGTAGTGATTTTTATGTATTGTTTATGTGTGTGTGTGTGTGTGTGTGTGTGTGTGTGTGTGTGTGTGTGTATATATATATATATATATATATAATATAATGTATATTGGTTATGTATTAATTATTGATTTTTATGTAGTGATTATGATTTTTCCTTATGGGAAAATCTGTTTGGTACTCACAGTTTTTGGTACTCATTGCATCTCCCGAAACCAATTAATGATGAGTATTGAGGTACTACTATAATTCTCAACCTAAACTACTTATAGGGTGTTGCAAAGGAGGAAAGGGGTAGAGGAAGGGGCATGCTGGCTAATATTGAAAAAAGTGTGGGATACTTAGACGGGATAAATTACAATTATCTTTGTTGGGCAGAATTCCCATAATCAAGATGAACATTTTACCAAAGATGTGGTTTCTATTTCAGACATTATCAATACCGATGATTGATGGACTGTAGTAAACAATGGCAAAAGGATATTTCTAAGTTCACATGGCAAGATGGAAAAAAAAACTGAGAATAAGTATAAATTGTTGCAAGACGCTAAAGAAAAAAGAAAGTTGGATTTACCAGATTTAAAATTGTATTTTGTGACATGTGGCTTGGTCTGGAGGAAAGAATGGGGGACCCTCCAAAAGAAGAGATTATTAGTTTTGAAGGGTCATGAACTGAGATTTGGATGGCAATAAAACAAGCATTTGGCAGCTTCAGAGTTTCAGCCTTCATTTTCTCCTGTCCAGAAAAACAAGACTTTCCAGCTCAATCCCTGTGCAATATCAGCCTGTTTATCGTACCACACAGGAGTATGTGTATTTTGTCTACAGCCTGCCCAGAATGAGTCACCTGAGGCCCAGAAAAATAAATTACACTCTAACCCAGATTCTAATCAGGACAAGGTGACTACAGATGTTCTCCCTCCCAGATTAGCAAAGGAGAGGAGAAGAAAAAGATAGGAGAAGGAGGGAAGGAGAAATAAAATAGAATAACAGAGTTGGAAGGGACCTCAGAGGTCTTCTAGTCCAACCCCCTGCCCAGGCAGGAAACCCTATACAACTTCAGACAAATGGTTATCCAACATCTTCTTAAAAACATCCAGTGTTGGAGCATTCGCAACTTCTGGAGGCAAGTTGTTCCACTGATTCATTGTTCTAACTCTCAGGAAATTTATCCTTATTTCTAAGTGGCTTCTCTCCTTGATTAGTTTCTACCTATTGTTTCTTGTCCTGTCCTCAGGTGCTTTGGAGAATAGCTTGACTCCCTCTTCTTTGTGGCAGCCCCTGAGATATGGGAATACTGCTCTCACGTCTCCCCTGGTCCTTCTTTTCATTAAACTAGATATACCCAGTTCCTGCAACCGTTCTTCGTATGTTTTAGCCTCCAAACCAGGGGTGAAATGCTCCCGGTTCAGACTGGATCGCCCGATCCGGTAGCGATGGCGGCGGGTTGTTCGGAGAACCGGTAGCAAAAATCCCTGCCACCACCATGCCCATCTGAGTCGCAGGATCATCAGAGGCTTTTTTTTTTTTACTTCTACAACTTCTTCCACCAAAAAAATGCTTTTAAAAGTAAAAAAAGCCTCTGATGATCGCACAGATCGTCAGAGCCTTTTCAAAGCATTTTTTTAACCACCTCTTCCCCGGAATAGGTTGCAGGAAAAAAATGCTTTAAAAGTCTCTCTGATGATCCCAGCTGAGTTGCCTGATCTTCAGAGAGACTTTTCAAAGCACTTTTTAAGACGATCAGGCAACTCAGCTGGGATCATCAGAGAGACTTTTAAATTATTTTTTTCTGCAACCTCTTCAGCGGAAGAGGTGGTTTAAAAAATGCTTTGAAAAGGCTCTGACGATCCCAGCTGTGTTCCTGATTGGCAGAGGCTTTTCAAAGCATTTTTTTGCATTTGCAGAAAAATTGCTTTGAAAAGTTAAAATAATTTTAAAAAAAAGTTGGCCACGCCCACCCAGTCACATTACACCCCCCCCCAACCAAGCCACGCCCACAGAACCGGTAGTAACAAATTTTACATTTCACCCCTGCTCCAAACCCCTAATCATCTTTGTTGCTCTTCTCTGCACTCTTTCTAGAGTCTCAACATCTTTTATACATCGTGGCGACCAAAACTGAATGCAGTATTCCATATTGGAGAAAGAGAAGGAAGAGAAAAAAGGAGAGGAGAGCAGAGAAGGGGAAAGGAAGAGAAGGAGAAGGAGGGAAGGGGAGCAGGAGGAAAGAGGAAGAAGAGGAGGAGGAGGAGGAGGAGGAGGAGGAGGAAGAGGGGAGGAGGAGAGAGGAGAGGAGGGGAGGAGGGGAGGGGAGGAGGGAGGAGGAGAGAGGAGAGGAAAGGATACAAATAATTATTTATGAGGTCAACATCTATAGTTCCCATCATCCCTCATCAGTCTGATCAATGTGGCCTCCCCCACTCACCTCATTGATGAAATTAAGCAAAAGCTGGAAGTCAGAAGGGCTGTCAAACAGGCCATGGACAACGATGACAGGTTTATAAGAGGCGGTGAACGTGAGGAAAAGGAAGGTGAGGCAGAAAGCAGCCAGTAACCGGAGACAGCCTCGGTGGTGTGGCATGGTCCCACCAGCTGGACAAGAGAGAAAGGTTAAATTGACCTCCAGCCCAATCCTAGGAGATTTCTCACTGTCCATTTAAGCCAGAAATTCCTTTCTCTGCTCAACAGTATATTATGGAGTGACTGCTCAACCTAGAAGTGGGAAACACTGAGTCTACGGCCATGTCAAGAATAATCACAAAATGGGGGATCTGGACACCCCCCCCGTCTTATTTACTCCAAAGGCAATTGTTGAAATCCCTTCCCATTCACCTTCACTTGTTCCTTGGATGCTTTTTCTCCCCTCACTTAATTTTGTTGCTTTTTTCAGCATGAGGATGCAGTTTGAATCAAAGCTTCAGGTTATAACCACTCCTCACTTTATTTCCTAAAAAAGGCTGCAAAGAAAAATTATCTCCAATGCATCCCCATAGGAGCAGTAGGCAGGCCGGCAGCTTGAAACATTACAGGGGAAAAATGGGCACGTAAGAAGTGTGAAATATAAATAAATACAGAAGTCTAATGTTCATTTTAAGAGTTCATGTGGTCAGAGGGACCTGGATTAATTCTTACTCTGGTTGAAAAAAAATTATAAATGTGGGCTGTACCCTTTTGGACAGCTGGAGAATTACCTAATTCACCTCTCCGTTGTCTAAAATAAAAAATCTCGGCCATAGTTGACTCGCTCAGCAGCCCCTCTCGCAGCCAGACAATGGGAAGGGGGGGGGGGGGGGGGGGGGAGGAAGGGAATGCATTGGAATGTAAGGGAGGTTTGGGAGGGAAATTTGAAATGAAAATGTGCAGACTGGAAGCCTGAGATGGATTCAGTGGTGGGATTCAACCAGTTCGCACCACTTCGGCCAAACCAGTTGTTAAATTGCAGGCTGGCCACTCCCCTCCCACCCATTCCAGAAGTCCCCACGTGCCCCATTTTGGCTCCCAGGTAAGTGCAGGGAGGCCTACTAGGCCCTGCGCCCCCTGTGGCCCGTTTTTGCTCCCAGGAGGCTGCAGGGAGGTCTACTAGGCCCAAAACAGGGCATGGGGGTGTGCAGTGGGGCCCCCCCATGGCCCATTTTTGCTCCTAGGGGGATGGAGGAGGCCAAGTGCTGCCTATCACATCCCCTGGCCATGCCCACCCAGCAGGTCATTAGGACAGAGAACCGGTTGTTAAATTATTTGAATCCCACCACTGGATGTATCCAACACCCCAAGGTCATTGGTTGAGAACATCCGAGGCAGACAAACAGTTCTCAAAACAACACAAGTGCAAATGCTTGGTGGAGAATGGACAATGGAAGGTCCGGGGAGAAAAGGGTAAGTTTTCCTATACTGTTTGTGCGCGAAATAATTAGATCCGGCTTTTCTATTTCTCTACCCATAGGGAATCCTCAATAAAGTTATACTCTTGGTACAAAAAAATGTCCCAGGAGTTTTTTTTGCTCTCTACGCCAGTGGGACGGTTGACAATCTCTTTGCATTAAACTTGTCAAGAATAAGGTACATCTCTCCGACATCTTGTTTTTTGTGGGCACTCTGTTTCATATTTTACAATCTTAAATCCATGTTGGTATATTCCGAAGCATGAATTCTGTAATTCTCTTTGATCCAACCCTCCTGACCTTCTGTAAAACCTTAAAGTTTTCTGTAAGACCTTAAAGACTTCCGTAAGAGCTTAAAAGACCTGGTACTGTCAGCTTGCTTGGAGCTCCAATGGGGAAGCATCCCACTGGAGGTGGTTGATAGATTAAGATTAACTGATCCCACCTCCTCCACACCCCACCCTTCCTCCTCCCTCCCTCCCTATCATTTAGCTAGGGCTGTGTGTTGTATTTTGCATTTTTGTAATATTTTATTAATACAGTTTTATCTTTTTAATAATGCAAGCCACCCAGAATTACTCCATGGTAAGATGGGTGGCCAATAAATTTAACAAAGAAATAAATCACACAATCTTTTTTTTTTCTTTGATCGGGAAGGGAAAAAAAGAGAAGAAAATGAAAGGATTGGCAACCTATTAGGCACAAGTAATTGGGAAGGTCTACCCATGATCAATGTAAAATCAGAAATATAAAACTTAAAAAATAATTCTCATTGCCCCTGTGAATGCAACAATACACAGTATATCTTGAAAACAAATTTCACTTTCAACTGTTTTCTCTGATCGCTCTCGCAGTAACTCAACCTAGACTATGCCATTTATTCTTTCAAACAGAGGCACCAGGGTTCATCAAGCGGAAATGATTTGCCTTAGTCTACTCAGTGTCCGTAAACGCAGGATGGATATGGAAGTGAACCCTAATCCGCTATTATTCCTCACCGGGCAGGAATTCCACTGACCTACTTTCACACAAGCAGGCAGTGTCCCTTGCAAATCTGCGCTGAAAAGCATGGATTGCGTCATCCAGAAGAAATCTGTTTTCCAACTCAAAAGCCTAATCCAAGACCTGAATGCATCCCATTCATTTGAATCCATAAACAAACACGTTCCAATTTAAGACTCTTTCAGTTTTGGAAACTAAAACCAAGAGCTTGCAATATAACAAAGAACGAAGAATGAAGAAATGGATGTTTAGAGAAAAGGGCGCTGATTTAACTTTTTAGCCTCTTTTGGACTTTTTGTGGGGAACTGAATAAAAATGACGACATATGGATTTGATGACTAGCAATACTCAGAGACTGTTTAAAAATGGATATTAATGTGTCATTTTAGACAGTGTGGTGGCCTAGAGGTGCCGATGCTCGCCTCACACTTAGGAGGCTGAGTGTTCAAACCGAGGCAGAGACAGATGTTTCTCTATTAGGACACAAAGAGAAAATGTCTGCTGTCAACTCCACGTAGACGTCAGGAAGGGCATCCAGCCAGTAAATGCTCAACTCCATTCAGTCGCCCGGATTCTACCCCCAAGACAAGGGATCACAGGGTCATAAAAGGAAAAATATATATGTAATTTTAGAATAAGAGTTGAATTTAAGTTTCATTTCCATCTGCTGCAAAAGGAGTCAGAAGTCATTCTTTTTTTTGTGTATCTTTCTTTCTACATTTTTTAAAATTTTTTACTGCACCTCTATTTCCTATTTTTCTCTCTATCCTCTTTACGGTTTCCTTTCTTGATAATTCTTTTGTTATTTTTACTTTGACAAATTTAATAAAGCTTAACTTAAACGGATGCTTGTAAAACCCAAGGTTAGGTACCATTCAGATCCACCTATATGTCAATGTACCCCAAAAGAAAGCTACAGTCATTGATCTAAAATATTTCTGCCCTCTTGGAAACAGACACAAAGGAGAAGGAGATCACAGGTTGCTTAGAGTCAGAAGCTACAAACCTTCTAAGCTTATTAACTAGCCAGGATTTCCCTAGATCAGCCTTCTGCAACTTTGTATGTACATAATGTTGCAGGTCTATTTAGACAGACCAGGTTCACACATGCTATGCCAGGGGTGTCAAACTCAAGGCCCCCGGGCCGGATCTCGCCAGTAGGTTGCTTAGATCTAACCTGTGGGGTTGCCATGGAAATAGCTAAGGACCGGCCCACTGGCCTTGGCCAGCAAAAACGGAGCTCAAGGGGGCTGCGCACAGCCCTCCCGGCAGAGGTGGGTTTCAGCAGGTTCTGACCAGTTCTGGAGAACAGGTAGTGGAAATTTTGAGTAGTTCGGGAGAACCGGTAGTAAAAATTCTGACTGGCCCCGCCCCCATCTATTCTCTGCCTCCCGAGTCCCAGCTGATCGGGAGGAAATGGGGATTCTGCAGTAACCTTCCCCTGGATTGGGGAGGGAATGGAGATTTTACAGTATCCTTCCCCTGCCACTCCCAAGCCACACCCACCAAGCTATGCCCACAGAACCTGTAGTAAAAATTTTTGAAACCCACCACTGCCTCCCGGGCCCCATTTTCAGCCACGATGGCCTCTGCCAGCCCTTTGCCAGCGAAAATGTTCCAGGCTCCATTTTTGGCCACAATGGCCTCCTGCCACCCTCTTTCAGTGAAAACGGAGCCCGGCAGGTCCATATGTGGCCCACCCGGGCTCCGTTTTTATTGGCAGAGGGTGGCAGGAGGATTCCACCCCCCCAGTTCCACCCTGGCCACCACAGGTGCCCCCGACACAAGTGACGTCAAGATGGCCATGCCCACCCCAGCCTTGCCCATCCTGAGATCAAACACAACCCTGATGCGGTCCCCAATAAAACCGAGTTTGACACCCCTGTGCTATGCTGCATTGACGTTTGTTTGGCATTGGGCCAGTATATTGGGTTTACCCAATAAAGTTCATAAATCATGGTTTATGGCCAAGCACAACACTGTGGCTTTAATTAATGAAATACAGGGTAAAACATGACTTGACACAATATGTAGACTCAGCCAACTAACACTTATTCAATAAACATTAGTTAAGCAAGTCTCTGTGGGCTGACTTTTGGGAAAATGCCAAGTAATAATCTCTGTCAAGTAATCCAGATTCAATAACCTGAATATTCAACCAAGCTATGCCTATCTTTTCTCAATATCTAGTTCCTCCCTAGAAAAACTCCAGGTGGATTTTAAGGGTCTTAAAACTACATTTTGAACTGATCTTCACAGCAACCTTATAAAATGGGTTAGGCAGAGAGAAATAGACAGAATGCAAGTAGTCCTTGACTTACAACCACAATTGAGCCCCACATTTCTGTTGCTAAGTGAGATATTAAGTGAGCTTTGCCCCCTTTTACGACTTTGCTTGCCATAGTTGTTGAGTGAATCATTGCAGTTGTTAAGTTAGTAACATGGTTGTTAAGTGAATCTGGCTTCCCCATTGATTCTGATTGTCAGAAGGTCGCGAAAGGGGATCCGATGACACACACACACACCCCGGACACTGCAACCGTCATAAATATGAGTCACTTGCCAATCATCTGAATTTTGACCACATGACCATGGGGATGCTACAAAAGTCGTAAGTGTGAAAATGGTCATAAGTCACTTTTTTCAGCGCTGTTGTAACTTTGAACGGTCATTAAACCAACTGTTGTAAGTCAAGGACTACCTGTGCATAGGTGCCAAAATGTACCCAGTGAGTATCTCAACTTTAGCTCAGACTTTCTCATTTTACGACTTCTAAATATATTGGATTTTGACAGCCATAATCTCCAGGTGAAGATTATACCTAGGCTTTCCCAAACCACAAAGCAGATTCCTTGTTCCGACAAAAAAAAACTTTTATTTAATTTACGGTGAATTCCGCTCCAGCAAAGTCTTTCTTCTCCCACAGTCTTTCAAGATAGTTCACAATTACTGACCTTTATCAGGCTTGGAGAGGGGCCAGGCCGATATCTTTCAGACTCCACAATACTTGGCAAGAATGCAGGAATGAACTGATTGTCTGCTGAAAACTCCACTTCCCTTTCGCTCCTCTTTCATTCTCTATGGGAGGGGCCCTTCATCGTCCACCTGTGGCCTTACTCCCAAGTTGACCCTTGTTCTTTAGCTGTTCCCTTCATCTGGTCACTCTGCGCATGCACGCACTGGGAACAGGCTCCAGCTGTTCGTCTGCCTCACTGATGTCTGACTCTGAAGGCAGCTGATAGTTGGCATACGGCCCTGGCCCCATCTCTGCCTCCGACGCAGAGCCCTCACCAGAGCCTTCCCCAGACTCCAGGACTGGCCCACGTTCCTTCCCAACCTCCTCACTGTCCAAATCTGCTGCCAGTTCCGCTGGCCACTGGCGGGCCACAACAAGGAGAGAGTTGAACCTGTCAAACTGTGGGACCTTTCTCTTATTCCAGAAACTTTTTTGAGGGGGGTTGGGTCTGGATAATCAGTTCTGTTTTGCATAGCTGTGGAGGGCAGAGGGAACGAAGAGCAGCCATCAAGGCAACTATGAGATAAGAGGGATTTGAGCCCTAGCCAAGAAAGTAACCTGAGGAAACATCTCCGACAAGCCCCTCCTTAGTTCAACACAAAGATAAAGAAGAACCACATTTAGTCTTGCAAGATTCAGGGATCCATGTAGATCAAAGCCAATCAGAAAATGTTCCTCGAACAAATATTGCTAGCTTTCCCAAACAATTACACTATGTTTAATACGGAGACAGATCACTAGTTAATCTTTTGCCCCTTACTGATTGCTTTTTTTTTCTGGGATTTGGTGTAGATTTCCCAACACTGCTTGATGGTGACAGAAACCAAACATATAACTCCTTGAATGCAACATATAATATCGCTACTATGCTTTGCCCCAATGGTGTTTTTTCAAAGTTCTGAAGAAGCTTCTTGGATGAGAAGCGAAATGCCTTCGAGGAAAAACAAAGGAAGTCCAGTTGCCTTTTCAAAAAGCACCGTTGGGACAACTGTGACATGCATGACAGCGAAACTCCATAGACATTTACTATGCTTTTGTGCACGCTTGCTAATCTCTGTTTGGCCAGAAAGGGGAATCTGTGTTACCCCCGGAACCATAACTACGTTTAGGCTTAGCAAGTTATTTGTAAACAAATGAATATGTAGGAGGGAATCTGCCCAAAATATGAAACTCACAGTTGCAGGAGAATATCTGCAGAGGATGCTTGTCATACAAGTCAAGATAATGGCCAGGGATCATATGAATAAAGTCTTACCATCACAAAAAAAAAAAGAAGAAGAAGAAGAAGAAAGGGGGGGGGAGGCAAAATTTTGGTTGCAGACATCATTTTGACTTTTTTTTTTTAACCTCAATTTGGACACTCCTGTCCTGTTTGATGAACTTTGGTATTATTTGCGAGCTTGGGGATTTCCTTTTGAATTAAACAGAAAAAATAGGAGCGTTTGATCACTCTGATATTGTTCTGAATTCCATGCTTTTAAGGATAATTCAAATAAAATGGAATGAGAGCCAAAGAACAGCTGTGTGAATGATCAGGGAAATAGCCCCTCTCCAACTCTATGATATGGAAAACGAAAGTCCAGTTGCCTTTTGAAAAAGCACCTTTGGGATAACTATGACCTGGGTGACGGTGAATCTCCACAGACATACGTATTATGTATTTGTATTAAAATTGAAGGGTAGATAAATCTGGAAAACTATACCACAAACAATGCGTTCATTTCAATTCCTCAGAAGTTCTCTCTGTTAAAGGTAAAGGTTCCCCTCACACATGCGTGCTAATCGTTCCCAAATCTAGGGGGCAGTGCTTACCTCCATTTCAAAGCTGAAGAGCCAGCGCTGTCAGAAGACGTCTCCGTGGTCATGTGGCCGGCATGACTAAACGCCACAAAAGTGCACGGAACGCTGTTACCTTCCCACCAAAGGTGGTCCCTATTTTTCTACTTGTATTTTTTACGTGCTTTTGAACTGCTAGGTTGGCAGAAGCTGGGACAAGTAACGGGACCTCACCCCGTTACGCGGCACTAGGGATTCAAACCGCTGAACTGCCGACCTTTCGATCGACAAGCTCAGCGTCTTAGCCACTGAGCCACCGCATCCCTCGTTCCTCCTCTCTGTTATCCCTTGGTTAAAAGAAAGGCAAGTTGAAATGTAGAGAAACAACACCTAAAATACAGGACTTCGACATTCTGATAGGTTGAATACACACACAAACACACAAAGTATCGAGTGAATTAAGACACACAACTCTGGATCAAAGTCAAGGCTTAAAACAAACTGGCAGGCCTTGTGCTCAACCCTAGGTGTCATTTCAATATAAACAGTTGACACCGAGCATGATTGGAATTCTGAGTAATCTTTGAAGACCAAGCCTATAATTTCTTGGAAGCAATATCCACACAAACAACTGTAGTACTGACATGCTGTTACATGACAGATCTGCATCTGTCAGATGTCTCCAGCGGTGAAGACAGTATTTTCCGGGGGTTAAAAAAGAAAGACCCAAGATAAACCCTAAATCTTCACATAAGTCTTACCTGCTCACACCTTTATTGGCAACTCCCACTTCCGGATGATGTGCTTGGAGAGACCTTGAGCTCTATGGCATGGTTCTGGCCAGGATGTTGGAATTAAGAAGGACTTCTCCTAGCTCCGCCCCTTTCCTTTGAACCACCAGCAACACCTATGGGTGGAGACAAGGAATTCCTGCCGTCATTGATCAACGCAAGACTTGACAAGCAACAGGCACCGATGGCTACAGAGGTTTCGTAAATCGTGGTTTCAGATGAGGTGGAGGTGAGGTGGGCTAAGTAGAAGGCTGAGCAGCCACCCCAGCCTCCGTATTTTCCTCAGTAGGTATCTCTACCACAGAGGAACATCAAAGTGAGAGATTCTTGAGGTTGCCCTCAAAAGTACCCAGAGTCAGTTACGGATCCATGAAAGACTCAGTGGAGAGAAGCATACAAAGAGAAGTCCAGTCCAAGCATGGGATTCAGTCCTGTCAGACTGGTCTGGGCGAACCGGTAGTTCTGACGATCAGCTGGCCACGCCCACTCGCCCCTCCCTACCCTGCCCTATATTTCCTTCTTTCTCACTCAGCTGATTCACGCGGCACAGCTGATTTCCGTGCCTCTGCTGTTCTACTTACTAAGGGTCGGCCTTAGAAGGTAAGCAGCTGAGCTTCAAATTGCTATAGTTTGAACTCTGCGTCCAACTTCCCCAGCTAAAATATGTGGCAGTTTAGAAGCAAAAAGAAAATTGTTTTCCAAAACTGACACGTGTTAGGCACGCGTGCTCGCAAAGAACGTGCTCACCGAACTGGTTTTTAAACCTGTAGCGTCCCACCACTGGTCCAATGAATCCAGAACCAAGCTGAAATAGTGCCACCAAATCTTAGGTCAGTGTTGGCTAACCGTTTTGCCATCGCGTGCCAGGAGGAGGGGGAGCACGGGGGGGTCGCATGCGCATGCGCCCACACCCATAATTCTATGTGCCCCACCCGTGCATGCGTGGACGACCCCCCCCGCTCCCCCTGCTCCTGGCATGCGATGGCCCGGTGGGCCTGTTTTTTTCTCTCCCCAGGCTCCAGAGCCTTTCTAGGAAAACGGCCCATTTGCCAACTTCCGGTGGGACTGGAAGGCCTGTTTTTTGCTATCCCCAGGCTCCAGAGCCTTTCTAGGAACCTGGGGACGGAGAAAATGGCCTTCCCCACCCCACCGGAGGCCCTCTGGAGGCCAAAAACAGCCCGTTTGCCAACTTCTGGTCCCCACTGGAGCCTGGGGAGAGCAAAAATAGGGCCTTCTGGTCCCACCAGAAGTTGGCAAATGGGCCATTTTTGGCCTCCAGAGGGCTTCCGAGGGGGTGGGGAAGGCCGTTTTCTCCCTCTCCAGACTCCTAGAAAGGCTCTGGAGCCTGGGGAGAGCAAAAAACGGGCCTTCCCCACCATCCCCCAAGGCCCTCCGAAGACAGGAAACAGCCTGTTTCCTTACTTCTGGTGGGCCCAGAAGGCCCAAAAATCAGGTGGCTGAGCTCGCATGCCCACTGATATGGCTATGTGTGCCACCTGTGGCACGCGTGTCATAGGTTCGCCATCACGGTCCTAGGTCTTGCAGACAGGCCAGGAAGATACCATAGTTGGTGGTACTGAAAACCACCAAGAGTTGTAAAAGGACCAAGATATAAAAGGACTTTCTCCAATCAAGTCTCAACGAGGGTCATCCAAGAACATTCCAATTCCATACAGGTAGTCCTTGACTCCCAACAGTTTGTTTAGCGACCATTCAAACTTACAACAGCACTGGAAAAAGTGACTCAGGACCGTTTTTCACACTAATGGCCGTTGCAGCATCCCCACGCTCACGTGACCAAAATTCCAATGCTTGGCAACTGACTCAGATTTATGACCATTGCAGTGTCCTGAGTCATGTGAGCCCCTTTTGAGACCTTCTGACAAGCAATGTCGATGGGGAAGCCAGATGACCATGTTACTAGCTTAACAACTACAGTGATTCACTTAACAACTCTGGCAAGAAAGGTTGTCAAATGGGGGGAAACTGACTTAACAACGATCTCGCTTAGTAACAGAAATGTTAGGCTCAATTGTAGTTGTAAGTCAAGAATTACCCTGTAGCTAGATCTCAACCCCGGTTGAAAAGGGTCCACCTGCCAGTCCGCTTCTTCTAACGGTAGGCCAAACAATCAAGTTCCTATTACAGACCCAGCAACCTTGACTAAAGGAGAGCTGGAGACTGGATGAAAATTATTTACCGTGTTTTTCAGTATAAGACGCATCTTTTTCCCTCCTAAAAGAGGCTGAAAATTTGAGTGCGTCTTATACTCTGAATGTAGTTTTTTCGAAGCTTTTTTTCAGCCCTAACGAGGCGCTAGCGAGTGAAGTGATCTCTGTGCTAAGCTTTTTTTCAGTGAAGTGATCTTCCTGCTTTGCCTGCTCCCTCCGACTCTCAGCTGTGAAGCTTTTTTTCATCCCTAACGAGGCACTAGCGAGTGAAGCGATCTCCGTGCTTTGCCTGCTTTTCTCATTGCTTCTCTCTCCAAAGATCAGCTGTGCTTTAGAAGCTGCTTTTGATCCCCAAGCAGGGGATAAAAACCAGCAAACTAATGTGCTGAAGCTGACCAGACTAAGGATGATAGCCAGATGAATACCTTGTAGGCAGATTTTTTTCCCCCTATTTTCCTCCCCAAAAACTAAGCTGCGTCTTATACTCTGGTGCGTCGTATACCCTGAAAAATATGGTATCTCTTCCGCATCCAGGAAGGGCTTCCGAAAGAGAAGGAGCCATTGCCACTACCTTGCCTACAATTTCCAAAATCCAGAAAAAAAATATCCCCTTCAACTACCCAGAGGAATCAGATGACACATGGAGGCATCCCACAGGAGACAAAGGTCATCCTAGAGGTCACTCCACCCTCTGTCTCAGAAGTCACGAGCCAAAATGAATCCCAGGTAACTTGGCAAGATGGCGTCCTTCCACCACCCAGGTGGAATCAAGACTGAAATGGAACTGAGAAACTGGCTAAATTTTACATTGTCTAGTTCAGGGGTATCAAACTCAAGGCTTATTATTTATTTATTTATTTATTTATTTATTTATTATTAATTGATTGATTGATTGATTGGTTCGATTTATATGCCGCCCTTCTCCGGAGACTCAGGGCGGCTTACAATGTGTTAAGCAATAGCCTTCATACTTTTGTATATACCTGCATAGTAGGGCTTTCGCCCCCCCCCACAAGTGGTGTTCTTTTTTATACAAAGTCAGCTTATTGCCCCCACAAACCGGGTCCTCATTTTACCTATCTCGGAAGGATGGAAGGCTGAGTCAACCTTGAGTCAACCTCTGAGTCAACACTTCGTCTGAATTTATCAGAGGAAACCCTTATTCTCCAAATATTCCCAAATCTTTTGCTATGGATTCTGTGGTCTGGGGCTCAGACATACTTGCAAAACCTCTGGAGAGGTCCAGGTTATTTATTCCTGCCATATGTTACCTGTAACATATTGAATATGTTGAATAAGCCTAAGGAAATGGGCTGGAATCATATTTCTCATTTCTGGAAGCCTATTTTGTCCCAAAAGCATGCAAAAGTGTTTAAAAATAAATGCAAGAAAATCACATTTTTATTCACAAAAAGACCTGGAGGGATTTTTTTCCCCAACTCATTGGGAAATCAGTACTATTATGAGATTATAGAGGGGGTTTTAGGTGCGGTAAAGAAAAAAAAGCTTACCTAAGTTAAATGATAGATTTAGGCATACCAAACTGGATTAAAACAATTTGCAGTCCTGTGTTATACCTTAAAGTTCAGAGAACATACCGTTCCCTGTTCACCTAAGGTGAAGAACAAAACTCCAAGGTGAATATGCAAAGAAGAACTAGTTCCTATGAGCCAGCAGTGTGCAGCAGCAGCCAAAAAAGTTAACACAATCCTGGGTTGGACAAACAGAGGCATAGAATCAAGATCACCTGAAGTATTAGTACCGTTTTATAAAGCCCTTAATAAGACCACACCTGGAATACTGCAACCAATTTTGGTCACCACACTATAAAAAAGATGTTGAGACTTTGGAAAAATGTTCAGAGAAGAGCAACTAACATGATCAAAGCCCTGGAGGGTAAAACATATGAAGAACGGTTGCAGGATTTGGGTTTGGCTAGTCGAGAGAAAAGAAGAGTTAGGGGTGACACGATAGCAGTCTTCCAATATTTGAGAGGCTGCCACAAAGAAGAGAGGGTCAAATTATTCTCCAAAGCACCTGAGGGCAGGACAAGAAACAATGGTTGGAAACTAATCAAAGAGAGAAGCCATCTGGAATTAAGGAGAAACAGAGAGGACAATTAACCAGAAATCGTGGGCGCTCCATTGTTGGAGTTTTTAAGAAGAGACTGGACAGTCACTTGTCTGAAATGGTATGGGTTCTCCTATTCTATTCTATTCTATTCTATTCTATTCTATTCTATTCTATTCTATTCCATTCCATTCCATTCCATTCCATTCCATTCCATCCCATCCCATCCCATCCCATCCCATCCCATCCCCCCCATCCCATCCCCCTGTGTGGTAGCAAATGACAAAGCAGAGCTGGGTGCCCCCCCCCAAAAGGAATAATGCGGCTTTGGAGAATGATGATATTTTTGCTACAAGAAACTAGGCCCGCCAAGGATTTTATGTAAAAGCTTTTATTGACCCATATTCTTTAAAATGGGCGGTTGGATCTCATAAAGCTTCCATCTGAAAGAAGAGAAATGTTATTAAAAGCATAAAGATATAGAGTGAAGGACATCCGTTGATGATCGTAGGCGTGACGGTGTAATTTCCTGGGCAACAATATGGAGGTGTATTTCATCATTATCTTCACCACTATCTCGTGGTACACCATTTATCTTCTTTGGGAATGTGTTCTTCCCCAAACAGACCGGCCTTTCCTATGAACGTGACAACCAACCCATGTGGGGAATATCATTAGGGACTTGTAATTATGAGCATTCTGTCCACCAGCTGAGAAATATTATCAGCAAGAAAGAAACACAACCCAAAAGATAATCTGAAGGACAGTGAGGTTGGCCCATTTCCACACATCCAACTATAACAGTAACAAAGGCAGGAGTTACAGGTAAGTCCTCTACTTACAAGCATTTGTTTAGCAACTGTCCAAAGTTACAA